TGTTGACCACCACCAGCGACCGCCGTGTCCAATTGCGTGTCAAAGGTGCTCCAAGAATCGACCTGTCCATGCCGCATGCACATCAATCAGGTCGCATGCTCCGGGAAACAGACTGATCGACCTCCACATTATTGCGTTGCACATGCCATCAGCTCTCTCTCACCCTTCTCTCGCTCACCAGAGCTGCGACGCCCTTCCACCCAACCTAGGTATCAGAGTACAGCGCAGCATACGGGCTTCTGTATTCTGGGATCTCTAGAAGAGCCAGCGGAATCGAGGCGAGAAAGCGTCTATTGCTTCCGTGCTTGAAGGGCCGATTAAGCACGACGTGAAGACGTCAGTCATTCGTTCTACGCACACGCCCACCAATTTTTCACTCCAATATCGTGGTGGACAAGGACGGATACCCCGCCAGTTGAGGGATCCCGCATGAGCTTGTTATAGCTGCCTGGACTCATTCGATCGTCCTACGATCCTCCGCTGGAGACATGTCTCTACCCGTGCTCTCACGGCCTCTAGCCGACCCGCCCACGGGCGCACTACCGCCAATTCCGACAAGCAAAACTCCCAGAAAGAGCTTGGGCCAGACACCCTCACGACTGAAGCAACCTTCCAGACCGTCCGCACTACCAACATCGCAACCTGTTCAGTCAACTCCCGACCTGTCGCCCGAGAAGGCTTCGGGAACATCTGGAAGCAGGGGGGTTCGGAAGACTGTCAGCATTGGCTCATTCCCACAACCACCGAATGCGCACTCACGGCCACCAACGTCTGCCTCAATGGCGTCTAACACATCTATCAAGAAGAGGACTTCGGACGGCGGGAACAGCGTACAAGCATACTCTGGGAAGTCGAAAAAGTCACCTAGGAACAGCACCGCCCCAAGTTTCCGCACATCTCAAACGCCCAGTCTCCTAAATTCTGCCGGCGATGGAATGACAGTCTCGGCTCGATACAACAAGAGAACATCTGACGCGCAGTCTAGCGTCCATTCTCCCCCTCAGAGCCGCAGCTCTTCTGCCAACGGCTCTTACTCGACAAGTGCTACCACATTCGAAGAAGGCGACGAGGATAGCCGAGGCCGGACGAAAGAGCTGGAAGATAGCAGCGCCGATCCAAAGTCACTCTCCAAGGGGAAAGAAGTCAAAGGCAACGTTATTGTCAGTGTTCGGGTGCGTCCTGACGCCGGTGCTCAGAATAACACCCAAACAGAAGGGGAGTGGATGGTCGATGGACGAAGAGCACTGGTAGCATACCGTGGAAAAGAGGGCGGCGATTACCACCTTGACAACGTCTTCACCACACACGATGACAACGCCAAAGTCTACGATTCCGCGGCAAAACGGCTGGTTCGTCGAGTGATGGAAGGCTATCATGGAACGGTCTTCGCCTATGGTATGACGGGAACCGGAAAGACGTTTTCGATGCAGGGGACCATGAGCAGCCCTGGTGTGATTCCGCTTGCCATCACCGATATTTTCTCCTACATCAGGGAAACCCCACACCGGGAATTCCTCCTGAGAGTCAGCTACCTCGAGATTTACAACGAGAAAATCCATGACCTGCTGGCTGTGCCCACAGGCGGGGCGGTTGGGCAGCAGCAAGAGGAAATCAAACTGCGCGAAGACAGCAAACGAGGCGTCTACGCTTCTCCCTTGAAGGAGGAAATCGTTCAGAGTCCCACACAGCTGCTGCGGGTCATACACCGGGGTGATCAGGCTCGTCGGACTGGTAGCACTCAGTTCAACTCGCGAAGCTCTCGAAGTCATGCCGTGGTGCAAATCGTGGTCGAAAGCCGTGAGCGCATCCCCGGATCTGGCTCATTGCAGGAGAATGGGAAGCGAGTAGCCATGCTCCCTGGTGGTGTTCGTGTTTCGACCCTGAGTCTGATCGACTTGGCTGGATCGGAAAGAGCCGCCGAGGACAAGGAACGTCGCGCCGAAGGTGCCCACATCAACAAATCACTTCTCACTCTGGGCACTGTTATTGCCAAGCTGTCGGGAACGCGAGATAAAAATGGCAATCTGGTGGACAAGGATGGCAAGCACTTGCCTTACAGAGACAGCAAGCTCACGCGCTTGCTGCAGCCAGCATTGTCCGGGAACTCGCTTGTCTCGATCCTGTGCACGATCCAGATTGGAGCTGGCCTTGCCTCTGCCGGTAGTAACCACATTGGTGAGACCTTGAATACTCTCAAGTTTGCCGCTCGAGCCAAAAACAACATTGTGAGTCATGCAAAGAAGGCAGTGGAGGAGCTGGGCAGTGTCAACTCAGGCCTGCTGGAGCGTTATCGGTCCGAGATCGCAAGCCTGCGAGCACAGTTAGAAGGGCAACAGAAGTCGGCCGCGGAAAAGGAGGAACGGCAGTTGGAGAGGGAAGCCGAGCAACGCCATGAAGAGCAAATGCTGGAGATGCAACTGGCGCGGACGGCTCTCAAGGAGCGCATTGAACATCTCAACCGGCTCATCTTGTGTTCCAAGTCGACTGGAGTCAACAGCGGAACAGTGTCGGCCTTGGGTATGCACTCACGACTCTCTAATGGGACTGAATTTGGAGGTCCCCGGTCTGTGCGGTCATCAGCAAGTCAATCCACGCTCGGCGTGGCACCCAGCCTTGGACGACATCCTTCCGTCGCCTCGCTCGGTGGTGCAGCATCTGCGTCGGCACATCTCTCATTCCCCAGCATCCCTGACGAGGATGAAGAAGCCGGCGGTGATTTTGGGGACGGTAGAGCCTCCCTCCAGGCCCAGGTTCGCGCTCTCCAGGCAGATCTACAGGACAAGACGCGATACATCTCGACTCTGGAGAAACGACTGCTTCAAGCAAGGCGATCCAGCCACTCGCGAGTGTCCATGGCGTTTAACAAACCCACCGGTGACGAAACGGAAATGCAGAGACGGTTGGACGAGAAGGATGCCATGATTTCCGATCTGCAGAAGACCGTCTCCGCGCTTCGATCAGCCGTCCGGAAGCGTGAAATCGCAGAGCTTACTCCGGAAATGTCATCTTCGGAGTTCAAACAGAACAGAGCGCAGGGGCATCAAAGCAATAGCAGCAATAGCAGTTCCCAGACGGGCTCGCAACTCAGTGGACCGACGCACCAAATATTGCCCGGAGGACCACGCTCGCCGCTGACAGCCAGTCCGTTGACGATCCTCTCGCCTCAAAAGGCGATGGACAAAAAACGCAAGACGGTGGACGAAATGTCCCGAATGCTTGACGAGATGATCCAGGACAAAGTCGAGAGCGGCAAACTGAACAACAGACGCTCCTCGTCCGTACGAGTGGCGTCGAGGGGATCATCAGCACCCCGACGACACTCGAGGAGGATGTCGGTGGCTGCCAATAGTCCCACCACAGGTCCCGGCCTCGGGACTATGGTGGCATCGTTGCGGGAGCACGACCCGGTGCTCGAACCAAGCAGTCCCAGCTGACGCAAAGATTGCATTACTTTTCAGCATTACGAATGACGACACGATCAGGTTTCTTTTGATGTTCTTGATGCCGCCAAAGGCATGTTTGGCTGGGCTTTCTCGGGGACAAACCGATGAAAGCCGAATTGGACGAGATGCACGGAGCACGATTCTATCCTAACATTGAGCGGTCCTTCTCTCTTTGACAGATTTTGAGCTGGAGAACTTTTACATTTGCTTGCGAGCTTTGACGGCGAAGTCGTTCTTTCACCCCGCCCACTGGGTCCGACAGAACTTTTCATTTGTTCACGATATCCGGAGGGGAACAGGAAGAACTCTCCCGGAAGCGATTCCGAGCAAGAATCCGCAGTCAGATACCCCCCATAGTAGCTGTTACAGTAGTATTTGGGCCGGCCAAGGGGCCTTCGTTGATGTGTATTGTGTATGTATTTTGGACTATGAAGCTTCTCAGCGCCGGACTCTGTTGGAATTCAATCCGCTCTGACTTGTATCGCACACTGAAGCAGCCGTAGTACGGGGTACCTCGTATGACCTCATTCATCTTGCAGTTCGGCTCGATGCTTCATGCAGTGTTTCAGGGGTCGGACGGTTGGCGAGCTGCGCGGCCGGTTGTTTCAGAAATCGACCAACGGCAGCCGGTAGAATGCTGGGCGCACATCAAACCTTCTTTGCCTTCCATCGGCCACCCGCATCACTGGTGTCGGTGGTCGACCGCTACCAGCACGGAGTCGCTGGCAGTTTCGTTGGCTTCGCCTCGAATCGGTCGGTCTCCTAGTCGGCGCTTCTGGCTTCACTCTCGGCTCATCTGCAGTCAAGTGGTGCAGCCTCTGGATGCTTGAGAGGACTCAGCCCAGAATTGACAGCCGGTTCGTGGGGGAAGTGACTGGTCGCGTCTTCCGGTATCCGCTGTTGGTACGACATCGTCTCCATCCTGCTGTGGACCAGGCATACAGTTCTCTGCACATCTTTACCTCAGCCTCCTCCCTGGCTCATTTTCTTCTCACCTATTTTCGTGCTACACACGACGGAGCTGGGTCTCTGCATTCAAAGGCGATCAGCGCTGGGCTCCGGGCTTCTTTTCGTGTCATCTGCAGCATCTTGTCGTTGGAGCCTTTTCTTTCCTTTCTTTGTTGCCATTACGAACACTTACGATTCGGTCTCTTTGTTTGTCCACTTTGCATTTCAGCTTGAAGTCTCAGCGATCACTCTTTTCAGTTCCATCATCGAGCATTTTGCCGGTCATTCATTGATTCATTGAAAGGATATTTCCGCACTGTGAGCGGTGCAGGCAGGCCAGAGCGTTGAACACCCTTTCATAGAGTTCGCCATTGTGGACTTAGAAAGCCACCACGAAGCAGCAAGGAATTGTGTATAGGGCTCTTTTGTGACCCATCAGCCACGACAACACCACGTTTCTAAGATCTTTACCCCTCAATATCGGACGCTTTCATCCGCACTGTCCTGCTGCAGGACACCGATCAACGCAGCTTCAATCGCCTCTCACCGGATGCATGCATGAGGGCTCGATCTCCCCGACCCGATCATGCAGAACAGCAGCGCAAGAAGATGCTCCTCTCTAGCCGCTCCAATCCACCCAAGCCGTTGAAATTTGGCACCAACAAGTCGGACCGCTATCTGTCTATCAAACACCTGTTACCTTCGACACCGATACCGTCACCCTCGCTGCCGTCAATCCTTCCACGCCATGGCAAGAAACCGCCCAAGCTCAACTCACGCAGAATCGTCCGCAGTATCCTGTGGCTCTCGTTCTTGATCGCCGTCTACTATCTCGTCTCGTTTGGCAAGCGTACATCGCATCAACTCGCGGAGCTGACGTTCCTCGCGTCGTCCGGCAAGACATACGAGATCATCGAGGCCTCGGAGCTGCCCGACTATCCCACGCCACTGGCCGTGACGGATGCCAAAGGGAAGCACTACTGGACGATCTCCATACCGCAGAATCTGCGCTTCCCGCTCTCTCCCACCGAGTATGCGGATATCTGTTCCCAGGCCCTAGAAGTCGGGAGGCACGTCGCGGCCAAGCCCTCCAAACCCGAACACACTGCCAGTTACTATCACGAGGATGCGAGTTTTATCGACGTGGCCGAAGCCCAGGCTTTGAATTTCCTACCCCCCGAACCGTCCTCGGCATCCCACAGCTCCGGAGATGGCTCCCTCCCTGTATGCGAGCGATCGTTGACCTACATCCTCGATGCTGCGAACGCGGGCTTCGGCTCCGCCCTCCTGGGTATCTGGCTCTCGTACAGCCTCGCGCGGCACGAAGGCCGCGCCTTCTTCATCGACGACACGCACTTTCCCTACGGGAACTATTCCACGTTCTTCACCAGCATGCCGCAACCTGACCCTCCATGCCGCCTACCGCCGCCCTCGCACCGCGTGCCCTGCCCCCGTCAGGCCAGCCATCTGGTCGTCTCTGCCGCGACGACGCCGTGGATATTCGGCCCGGCCTTCCACGCGCACTTTTCGCGACGCCAAATCTTCGACTTCGCCCGTGAGGGCTACGAAGCCCTCTTCCACCTGCGGCCCGAGGATGGCGCCTACGCGCTGAATCGGGCCAGTAAGCTCCGCGCGGCTACCGACAATGGCAATGCTGGCCCCAACAGCGACGGGGCCAGGGGCGACTCTGACAGCGACGCGGTCGAGAACGGCCTCGTGGGGATCCACATCCGGCGCGGCGACCGCCATCCCTTCAGCCTCGCGTACGCCCAGAACTACATCCCCCCGGAGCAGTACATGAGCACAGCGCACCGGCTGGTGGGTCAGTCGCCGCACTGGCGGTTCCTGGTGGCGAGCGACGACGCCGACATGTACGAGCACGTGGACCTGCAGGGAGCGCAGCGCGCGCAGGAGAAGATCTCGCTCGCGAGCAAGAAGTCGTTGGAGCGCATGGGCCACGGGGGCGGTGACGGCGGGCGCCGCGGCGCCCTCGGCTGGGAGGGCGGCTTCTTCAAGGACGTCTTCTGGGGGCTGGGCCTGCCGGAGGAGTTGAAGTGGGGGCCCAAAAAAGTGGGGAGTCCGATGCCCATGAAGGAGAAGCATCGGTTCGGGGAGAAGGGCGCGGACGGGCGCGAGAAGAGGGTCCATCATCATGAGAGCGCGCATTTGGGGAGGAACAAGAAGACGACGGTGGCGACGGGAGTGACAGGGGACCACGGAGAGGCGGGAAACGTCAAGGGGTTGGTGCAACAGGATCGGGAGGTGGAGAGGGCACTGGACAGGGATTACCGTACTGATCCTACGAAAGAGGCGCTCCAGTTGAGAGAGCTGCTGGGGAGGGCCTACTTGCTGGATCTGGCCATGTTGGCGCAGAGCGACAAGGTCGTGTGTGGCGTGTCGGCCACCGCGTGTCGCATCCTGGCCGTCATGCTGGGGTGGGAACGCGCGTTTGAGAAGAAAGACTGGAACAATGTGGATGGCGGGTACGAATGGAGAATCATGGACTATTAAGGCTTCTCCGATCACGCTGGAGGTGCAATGAGAATCCTATTACATCTCCTGCTAGCCAGGGAGGAAATTGCTGCAGACCTGAAAAGGACGAATGGAGGAGAGAAATCAATTCAGTCTCATTGGGGGTCCCCTATGTCCCTCATGACGCATCATACGGATCGAGAGCTATCGCTAAAGGCTGAAGCTGAAATGCTGGTCTGGGTAAAGCAAACGCCCGAGCTGTGGCATGCTCCGGTGCTGAGCCCTAGATGCCCTCCGGCAGTACATGAAGAACCGTACTTTTACTGGGGCAAATATGTGGCGCCGTCTCAGCACAATTGAATGTTGAACGCCATCGCATTGGATCTGATCGTGTTCCCGCGCGTTGCAAGGATGCGAGCGCTATCCCGTGCATGGAGGGCTGTCTCTCCGTCTCACACCCTGCTGTGGACGTGGGCGACGCGGCAGGCGTTCACTCCAGGCGCCGTCCCAGGTATGCGTGTTGTAGTTGGACCTCAGGAGTTCTGGACGTCCTCGGCTTTGCGCACCAGAACCTGAGTTGGCGACGGGGTGACATGGTTACATAGAACATGGTTGGCGCGAGTGAAGGAGATGTAGTCGACCAGATGCCGATGTACTGGATGGAAATTTGTTTGTTCGAGGCGAGAGCGCCTGAGAAACCATGTAGACCGCAGCAGCAATGGTCGGTAGATCGAGTAGACTTTGATAGATACATAGATGGTGGGGGTTGGCCATCAGAGACGGTGTCGTCGACCTCAACTGGCTGCTGCACGACGGGTCGATTTCTTCGCCAGCTTTGCGGATTTTCGTGCGCGCTTGTCGTCGCGGCGGCGGTGGCTGCAAGTGTCGCAGTGTCGCAGTTCATGATCCGCGTGTGATCCAGGTCGATGCTTTCTGCTTGGGTGTTAGCGTCCATGGCTCAGATCTCGACGGCTAACTGGCGAGTGCAAAAGGGAGGGAGTACTCACAACTTCCAGTTGAACGAGCGGTTGCATTGGCCTGTTTCTGGTCGGCTATTAGCGGACCGTATACATGAGCAGGACAGTATGCGAGATCACTCACCCTCGTAATGGATGCACCGACGTGTCTGCACGATGGCCTCGTGGACGCAGCAGCAGAGGTTGCACTTCTCGTAGACGTACTGGGTGTAGCACATGTTGGCGATGTGGTGCTAAGACCTGTGTGAGAGAGAGATGATGTAGTTGATGAGGGTTGTCGAGGAAGGTGGTCGAGAGTGTTGAAGGTGTCGAGGACGATGACTACAGTTTAATTGACGAAGCGGGCAGTGCCTTCATCTGCAGTGACTTTCATCTGCAGTGACTTCAAACTGGAATGTACGACGTCGCTGTGGTGGCAGTGAATGTCAACTGCGTCAACTGCGTCACATTGTGTCAAAGTGAAAGTGTCTTTTCCACTGTCTCCCTTCCTTGCTTCCTGTACGCCTCCCACTGCGCAATGAAGGTAAAGCGTTTCTGGACTCTCGCTTAGGCCTCACTCACCATGCTCTTGATAGGTTCGCTTCGTGCGCCGTCGACCGCCTCGGCAGAGTCGTGGCTCTCGTCGAGCTAAGGTCCAAACTGCAGTTCCTCCGCAAGCGATTCTTGGAATTCTCCTCTCCAAGGCGGTCTACTCTCTGTACAGTAGGTGCCCGGCTACACGCGTAGATATGTAGCGGGTTTGCCAGGTGTGCCGTCATGGCGCGACACGTTGTTCTCTTGTCCCTCTTCTGCTACCTACTCACAGACCCAACTCCATTGCAACGACGATGGCTCGTGAGTGTCCTGGTAGTCGTCGTGAGGCTCGATTGGCTAATGCTCGTATTCCAGCGTCGCTCTCCACGGTAGCCCTGGGCGCACCAGCCGCTCTGGCAGGATTGGCCTATCTGAATGCTCGATGGCGAGTCTCGGTCGACCTCGAACTTATCCTCAGTCTCATCGCCTCCCAGAGAGCCTTTGCGAAGCGCGAAGCAGCCGACAGGGTCAATTCCTTCTACCTCATTGAAGAGCGTGCGCAGAATCCCAAGGTCGCGGACAAGATCTTTATCATTTACCAAGGGAAGAAATGGACATTCAAACAATGTTACACCATGGTTCTGCGATACGCAGGCTACCTGCACAGCACGCACTCCATTGCACCTGGCGAGGTCGTTGCCATAGACTTCATGAACTCCCCACAATTCCTCTTCCTTGCCATGGCGATCTGGTCCTTGGGCGCGCTGCCAGCGTTCATCAATTACAATTTGGTCGGCAATCCCTTTGTTCACAGTGTCAGAACATCGTCCGCAAGGGTATGTGATACCGTGACCTTCCAACGTCTGCCCAGCCGGGCATGGCGTCTCTGGTGCTCTAGACATGGGCGTTGACATATTGCAGTTGTTGGTTATTGACCCCGAAGTCGCCCCAAAAGTGCTCAGCGAGGAGACAAAGGCTGTCTTTGCAGCTCCAGATTTCCGAAATCAAGCATTCCCTCTGGAAGTGGTGGTCCTGGACACCGGCCTCCAGTCATCTCTCGAATACTTCCCACCATATCGGGCCCCGGACACTGCTCGAAGTGGTGCCCTCGGTCGATCGCCATGCGTCTTAATATCCACTTCAGGGACGACCGGCCTCCCCAAAGCGGCCATTGTTCCCTGGGATCGCACCGCAGTCGCCTCAGGTCTCATCTATCGGTGGTTGGGATTACGAAACGTGACGTCGAAAAACCCCGACCGTTACTATACGGCAATGCCAGTTTACCACGCCTCTGCATTCCAGCTGGGTTTCCATTGCTGTCTTATAGGCGCGTGTACTCTGGTCCTAGGCCGGAAATTCTCAGTCTCCAACTTCTGGGATGAAGTCATCACCGCTGATGCTACCGTTATTCAGTATGTCGGAGAAACCCTGCGATATCTTCTCGCCGTCCCTCCGCAACCCAACGATCGCACAAAGCACAAGGTCCGTCTCGCATTTGGTAACGGCCTTCGACCGGATGTATGGGACAGGTTTCGCTCACGCTTCGGCGTGGAAACCGTCGCTGAATTCTATGGCGCCACCGAGTCCATAGGGGCGTCCTTCAACATGTCCCGAAACACGTTCTCATCAGGGGCAATCGGTCAAGTGGGCCTCTTGGGCAGTCTGCTCCTCAAGCTGAGGCAAACCGTCGTCAAGGTCGACTGGGGAACCGAGGCACCATATCGGGATCCCAAGACAGGATTCTGCGTCGAACTTCCGCTAGGCGAACCCGGCGAGGTTTTGTATAGGATAGACGCTGCAGATATCGGGGCCAAGTATCAAGGCTACTTTGGCAACAAAAAGGCTAGCGACGCGAAGATTCTCAGAGACGTCCTCCAAAAGGGTGACGCCTGGTTCCGTTCCGGGGACGTTATCAAAATCGACAAGGAAGGACGTATCTGGTTCCAGGACAGGATAGGAGACACTTTCCGCTGGCGGAGCGAGAACGTCTCGACTGCCGAAGTGGCACAAGTGCTCGGGCAACATCCAGCCGTGCTGGAAGCGAACGTTTATGGCGTAGCGATACCGAACCACGAAGGCCGCGCGGGATGTGCTGCCGTGCTCCTTGAGAATGTGGACACGAACACGACGCCCGTACCGGCGTCTCTGCTCGAAAGCCTCGCCACGTACTCGAGGAACAGTCTGCCGAAATACGCTGTGCCGGTATTCCTCAGGATCGTCACGAAAGTCATGGCTACAGGGAACAACAAGCAACAGAAACACGTGTTGAGGCAGGAGGGCGTCGACCCGGACAAGGTGGGCGAGGAAAGAATATTTTACCTCAGGCCCGACAGCGAGCGGTACGAGCCGTTTGGCAAGGCCGAGTGGGAGGCCGTGAAAGCTGGCAAGGTGAAATTGTGAAGCAAGCACTGCAGTCACTGAAATATACCGCTCGACCGCAAGGAGTCTAGAGGCGTCAGCGATAGAGACCTGAGTCGATGGAGACAACAGAGCAGAGCGTCTTTTATGATTCAGACATCGGCTTTTTAGGAGACCTCATGTCTACCTCGGTACCTAGCTATGTAACGCTCGATACCGAAGTCCTAAGTGTAAGGCATTACGTTACGATCGGAGATTACGACCTGTGAGCGTTTCACCATTATACCTTATCGTAGTCCTCGTTCCCGTACGGGATTCCTCCTCGATATATTCCCTATTGAAAGAGAAAGTGAGAGAGCGAGGGAGAATGGCGCATTGTAGCTATATACATAAAAGCTGCAACACGCATCGTCAGGACTGAACTACTATGCTCCATCTTGAGCACAGGACCCGAAGTTCCGACTCGACTCGACTCGATATGAACTCGACATGACGATTGAACGTTTTCGATACGAGACATTGACGGCTACAGCAGTATCGATAATAAACAAGTCATCGTGGCTAGAGCTAGACTGGGACTAAGACTGGGACTGCAAGCGAAAACTGACCCTGCGTAAACGAAAAAGGACGCATGAGCCATACATGCATGCATGCATGTGTATCCCAATTGATATGCATTCATGGCCTTTCATTTCATTCGCTTTCCCCAAGATTCATTCCCGGCATATGAGTGTGTGTGTGCGAGTTTGACTGGAACTGTGACTGTGAGTGTGAGTGAGTTTGGAGTTGAGTATGAGTCGATGAAAAGCATCTTTCGCGGTAGATCCTGGATATCCCGTTCATTCCGTTTCTCATTCTCATTCCTTATTTCTGCTCTGTGTGGCATTCTGGCTCGATACTGTCGCTCCCTCGCTCACTCACTCACTCATCATATTCTCCTCCTTTTATATCATCTCCTTTGTTCTCCATCTCCACACGTTAGAGCTCTTCAGTGAACCTGGATCCCTCGCCGCTGGGTCGCCCCTTCGTGACGGTCGAGCTCATCGGGCTGCTTACGTCGACGATCCTCGCGGAGCCGCTGTCTACTTTCGACGCACTGACTAGTCGGCCCTCGTCGAAGGTGTCCCTGGCTTCCTCAAAGTCTTCGTCGTCGTCACCGTTCGTTTGTGCGTGCGTCAGCGCGGGAGTTGTTGTTCCTGTGACGGTGCTGTGCCCGGTCGCTTCCGTCGAGGTAGTCGATGGTTCTTGGACTTTGTCTCTGGGCAGCTCAGTTCCTGGGTCCTCTTCTGGGTGCGCTTGAGATACGCCACCGCCTGATACAGGGTCGGTGGTTTGGGGCTCCGCGGCAGTCGCTCGAGCGCTTGGAGCTGGAGCCGCACCTGTCTGTGCAGCAGCAGAACTACCCACAGTAGACGAGGTGAACGCTCCGGGTTGGCGCTTATCCTTGTCCCGTCCTGGGATGACCTTCTTCAAGAATCGCTCGCGGAAGCCTTTTCTCCCTCGGGGCTCTTCGTCGTCATCCGTCAAGGTCGCGACTTGATCGTACCCGGAATTTCGTTTCGACCCTGTGCCGTGGTCGGTCGAGTACCGGGACGAGGCTACGTCTGCGGCGATGACGTAGGGTTCTTCGCTCAGTGACGAGGTATCCGAGGGAGGACTAATATCCCGTTCTTTGGCACCTCCTTCCACGACGCCGGGACCAGGTCCACTAGGACCAGTCGCGGCTCCCGGCGCCGGCTCGTCATGAATGGGCGAGACTCGTCCGTATGGCTTCGCCGACCCGCCGTACATGTCTTCAGTCTCGTTGTCGCTACGGCCTGCGAATGCGACGTCACGGATGGAGTCAGTGGCAGCCGGGTCTTCCTCGCTGATGGGCTCAGCTGTTTGAGGACGACTCGACAAGGCGTCATTCGGCCCCGCCTCGGTGGCCACATGTTGATCACGGTTAAAGTCGTCCTCTGCCTTGCTTCCTGTCCTGAAACGCTTGAAGAAGGACTTCACTCGCGAATTACGCTTCGAAGGCGAAGTCGGCGACGTCTGAGATATCGGCGATGTTGGCTCATGAGGGGGACTGCTGCTCGAGTATGGTGGTGCACCAATATTCTCCTTATGTTCTCCATCCTCGTGTGGAGGTACGGCAGCTGCCATGGGTTTCGCTTCGTCCTCAGCATCTGCCACGGCAACTGCATGGGCGGCTTCACCCGGATCCATTGTGACTTGGCCATGTATGGCCTCACCGGGATCGACGGTGACTTTGTCGTGGAAAGTCTCGCCGACGGGCTCAACAAATTCGGGCGCTGCGACTGCTGGAGCTTCGCTGCCACCGGTAACAGCCCTTGCTCCTCCTTCGGCTGCATCCACCGCGCCTTCACCAGCGGCAGCGCCACCAGCACCTGCTGCTGTTCCCGCTGCAACGCCGCCTCTCCCCAGGAAAGATGGCAGGAACCGAGGTCTGCCAGGCTCCGGGAGTCCTTTTTCTGCTTTCTCCGCTCGCCGACGCTCTTTCTCAGCTTGGACTGCGTCTTCGCGAGCTTTCTTCTCTGTACTTTTTTGCTCGGTTCGTACTCGTCTCTCCTCATGTTTCTGTTCTTGCAGTACGCGTTTCTCTTCCGTCTTCTGGGCCTTTTGTTCGGCTTTTTCACGGTCTATGGTCGTCAGTGACGCTTCCACGCCAGCATTGCGGGAATACTTACCAAGCGCAGCTTTCTGCTCGGCTTTAATCTCGGCTTGGCGCTTCCTCTCGGTCTCTTGCTCAGCCTTGAGTCGCTCTTGCTCCAGCCGGAGCTCCTCATCTCTTGCTCTTTGCTCTTCAGCCTTTTGGGTAATCTCATCTAATGTTGGCTGCAAGCGAGCTTTCGCGATCGCCTCAATTTCTTCCTGTTCCAGGTACTTTCCACCTCCTATGTGAACTTTTCCGACGTGCATCAGTCTTTCGTCGCTTTCCCTTTGAGCTCTGTCTCGAGCTTGACGTTCCCAAAGCTCGCGCTGATGGGGACTTGTCTTGCCGGTGTCTGAAAATACCTTCTCATCCATCGCGTTCATCCGGGCCGTTACATTCTTATGTGCGGCCGCAAGCAGTGCGTCTCGATCAGCCTGTCGCTTCTTACTGTCAACCTCGGCGAGCTTGCCTTGGAAGAGTGACATTTGCTGGCGGATCTTCCGCGACTCCTCTATGTCGGAATCATCGTCGTTCTCTGGAATGTCGGACCGCCGCCGACCACGCCTTAAGAAGGTTCGTGATCTCTGTGGCGGAGTATTCTGCCCATAATACTGCCGATACTCGGCGTGCTCGTCATGTAGCTTGGCGAGACGGTCTTGTGCCAGCTTGCGGGCCGTTTCTTCTAGGTTTTCATATCGTGGCACTTCACCAGTCCGTGCGGGCTGATTTGCAGCATCTGATTGAGCCCGCCGACGGGCCGTGTGCGCTGCATAATGGCTTTGTGAACGATGGATTCCCCTGGCCTCGTCAATCTGTGCTTGTTGTATGGCAAACATCTTCTTCGCCATGGCCACGGCAGAAGCTCGCAGCATATCTTGCCGCCTCCTCTCTTCAACCTCGATTGCGACTGGGGGATTGGCAGTATACATTTGTCTGGAGACGTTGTTTCTGGCCATATTCTGTATCCTGGCCGCATCGGTACTGGACATCTCGCTCTTCGACGACGGGGGGGTGGCGGCATTGGGTGGTTTAGAGTTGTGAGATGAGGTAGCTGCTTTCAACGCCCAAGCAGAGTGACCGTTTGATGGTGCTGGGCGTACAGGTGCCGACCCTGCGCGCCTTCGTCCGCCATTCAATGATGCAGTAGCCGCTAGCAGTGCTTTCTGGCGTTCATCGCCTGAGATATGTCTTTCAGTTATCGCAGGTGGTGACTTTGGGTTCTGCAGGGCTGACGATGCTGCAGAGTGACCGTGTTCTGTTTCTGGGGCTGTCCAAATGTCTACCGACCCAGCATCTCGATGCGCAGCTATCGCGGCCTGGGAACCGGCCCGGCTCAACTCTGGCTTCCACAGAGGCTCCATCTTGTAATCCCTGGCCTTTTCTGCGGCTGTGCTCGCGTGAGGTAGTTCGCCCGGTGTCCAATGCTCGAATGCTTTCTTGTTGGATTCGGCTAAGCTCGCGGCAGCACCAGCCGATGCTAGTTTGACGCCGCCAGAAGAAGGAAAGGAAGGTAAGTCTTGAGCTCGAGCGTATTTGAGGGACTGGGCGGCACCTGTATGAGCGATTAACAGGCGGTCCACTGGGGATATGATTTGGAGAGGGAGGGCAAGGGCGGGGTTGACATACTTGCGGCAGAGAGCCGACCCTCCTCGTCCAGAATGGAGGATGCGCTGTGCTTTCCTGTCGTGGAAGAGTCGCGATGGACAGATAAAGCTGCAGAGGCAGCTACGGCGTGGTCAGTTGGTGGGACGCTCCATGTTGTGCGCATACTCACCTTGGTCCTCGAGCTTGTCGGATGGTGTGAAGGCGCTGCGATGGGGATGGGCATGGGGATCTCCATGGGCTGCGACGCTGGCAGACATGCTTGGCCCTGCTGCGGAACTGGTTCGTCCGCTTATGTGCTGAGAGTAGAGTGAGGGTCGCGCAAACACCGCTCAGTCAATTTACCACAACATGGACCTGGTGAGTCTGTGCGCAAATTGATTGTGAGAAGAGCTTCAGCTGCCATCTAGATTAGCAAAAGAGGAAGTACTGCAAGAGCTGCAGTACTAACTCTGAGCTCTAGTGGCGTGCCGCTCGCTCATCACGGTCTCCTTGGGTCATGACCAAGAGCTGCGACTTGTCGATGTCATCCAAGCGAGCCGTTTACCACCTACGTCATGCCAATGGGAGCTCAAGAAACCATCAAAGTGCCTGGGGCTCGGTTGCTCCAGGCTTCGTCAGGCCCTGAAAGAGGACCCTGACACCCAGTACAACGGAAAATCTTGCATCATGCCCTGATCAAAACGTCTACTGTACCTCGTCTTTTATTGTCATTTGGACTGATAAAGACAGCATACTGTCTACGGAGCATGCCCGTGCAGTGAGGGGCAGATAAGTGGTGCCTTGCCCCGTTCTGGACCGGACCCTGGCATTACCGCCTTCAATCCTCGACAAGAGATAGCCTGAGGGGTACCTAAAAGGCCTGGGACAGAAGGTACCAAGTACTTTGGGGCTCGAACGAGCGACGCGGAGCCGGGGAGCTCACCCCAGAGCTCCTCCCGGTGCCCCACAACGACGTGCAGCTGGTTGACGGTGGTCAGTGTCAGCTCTGACATGCGTTTCTGCAATACGAGTTGACGAACATCCCAATGTAAAGTCTCAATTCTTTGATCCCATCTTTCTTCGCTCCTCACATGGCGGGTACTACCGCCGCAGCAGACACGGCCATAAGCTACTGCTTCGATAACCTGCTGAACTTTCGCGATGTTGGGGCCCACGTCAACACAATCACGGGACGCACGGTGCTGCGGACTGGGCTTCTGTTCAGAAGTGCTCGACCGGACGAAGCCAGCCGATCTGACCGTGATCAGCTGGTAAATAAGTACCACGTCCAGACCATCATTGATCTTCGCTCCAAAACGGAGCACATAAATGCGGCGAAGAAGCGGTCAGAGGTCGATTCCGGTGTGGATTCGGCGGCATTGCCCACCACCAACAAAGCTTTTGAGGACGAAGTGAGACGACCAGTTGAGATCCCAGGCATTCGATACGCATACATCAACCTCAACGGCAAGGGCTTTGAGCGACATCTCATTTGGCAACTGAAATACACCAGTCTAGCCAAGCTCGTTTTCTTAATGGCTCTTGGGTACCGAACTGAAGGTATCTCGGTCCTCGGGAAGGAGTTGATGCTTCCACGTGGCCTGATCGGTCTCGGCATAGACACTCTCGATTGCAGTGGTCCCGAAATAAAAGAGGTCTTTGACATCCTGGCCGACTCGAGTGCTTGGCCAGTCATGATCAACTGCACCCAAGGTAAAGACAGAACTGGAATAACAGTTCTTTTGGTGCTTGTGCTCTGCGGCGTCGACCTGGGCGCCATTGCCCAGGACTACGTCAAGTCTGAAGAAGAGCTTGAGCCAGAGAAGGCTGAAAGAATGAAGGAGATCGAAAGCATCGGTTTGGACGAGTCGTTTGCAGCATGCCCACCAGATTTCTGTGAGAAAGTGGTCCAGCATCTCAAGTCTATGTACGGCGGTATCGACACTTACCTTGCCAAAATCGGGGTTGACACCACCCAATGCGAACGGGTCCGCCAGATCCTCAAGGCCAACGGTTGACGGATCTGATCGCTGTCTCCTGCATTCTGGCAGCAGATCATCATCCCAAGCTAATGATACGGTCAGAAGAGCTGTCAATTGGAGAATAGGAAACGGACAACGACTGGGCAACATATTCGCTATTCTTGGAAAGTGAATTCGACTTTCTCTATGCCAGGTCCGGATCTCACGGCCTAGAGGCTTTATACAAGATTCCTTCAGTCTTGTGCTTCTAGACTCTATACCCGTACCCCAGATTTCCTACTCGTCCCCATACAGGTAATGGGGCATCATGCATGATTAAGGCTTTGTCAGCACACTCTCTGCAGGTCAACGTGGGTCAAGATAGGGTGCTGACTTTGATTGTCGCTGTGAACGGGCAGGAGCGGCGAAATTCCACCAGGCAGGACTGCAGCCCGGAGCTGCAGTCACTTAGGTGCCACTGAGTACACGGTAGAGATTTGGACTTGTGTGTGGACAGATTCCGGGAGGTCTATTTGTACAGGGGGTCCTCTCAAAATTCGACAGGAATTGCACTGCCTACCTAGGTACTTAGCGAGCGAGCGGTAGCACGCCGCAGCACTGTGTACGAGAAATAATCTCCGTCAAACCGTTTAACTGCAGCCGTGTACTGACGGCGGGCTCGGAGCCATTGCATTATTTTCTGGTAGGGAGTCGGCAATAGACATCCGAACTCTGGGTGTCCACACTGGCGGCTGAGCACGAGGCAGGCACTGCTGTCGGGGTTTGAGAGAAAAAGAGAGGTAATTGCGAGAAATGGATCCATGTCGTCATTTACGGGTCCGGCAAGCTACGGAACGTTTCGACGGCGACCGATGATTGGCTCTGGCAAAACCCCGGCTCCCTCGGGGGAATGACGTTGACAAGACTGCCCAAGGAACAGCAGCAAGAAATGGCTCCTTGTAGCGGCAACTGATTGTACTCGGACGTGTAACTCGGACGAGCAATTATTTCTCTCTCCCAGGCCAAGCGACAGTTGCGAGCGGCTTCGCTAGGGCGGTGCTCGTCCTCGATTGCCGTCTTTCCTTCTGTGCCTACTATCTCCTTGTTTTAAGTCCGCTTAACGAGGAAGAGCCTTCCGGAAATCTCTTGCTCACTGCAGATGCTCATCTGTTGCGAAGACCCGCACGTCCGACTATCAACCAGTCGCTGTCGTAGAAGCATCCTACCTCACTGATCAAAATGGTGAATAGGTGTGGGCCGTCTTTGTCATTCGGTCGCTGCTGTGCAAACGCCAATGCGACGGCGACGCAGTCCCGCTCCATGCATTGCCTCACGACTTCCCAGAATGATGTAGTGTGCTTGGTGTTTGATGCCGGTGACTTACTAACATCTTGTAAAGTGGTTGCAGTTCTGATCTACGTCATTTTTCACTCTGTTCTTACAAGTGATATGCATTACTCGCCTTTACTCATATTCCCTTCATCTGCTCCTCGTTCCAGCCAACGTCTTGACTGCTGTCTCTGGTTTCATTCTCGCCTCGCCCACACAGCCAGTCGCTTGGACGCCAACGCAGGCCTGTTTCTTGTGCTCATTCACATCCCGGTTTCCGCTGGCATACACCCCGACACCATCCAACATGCAGTGGTCCAGATATGATCGGTGGTGGCTCTCCGCCTGGATCTTTCCTCTTATCTCAGCCCTGATGTAGGTCTTGTTCACTTTGGTTGTGCATTGGGCATCGGACTCGCAGCTAACATATTCTCAGGTGGCTCGGCATGTTGCTCGCCATGTTCTGTACTTGGGAAGCCCAAGGTTCACCCCATTATCCATCCATGGAACCCGACCAACGCATTGCCTACATCTCCGACGTGGGCGCGTTCGGCCTGAAGCCACTGTTCATCACCGGTTCCGTCATCACCACAGTCTTCCTCGATTTGGCATTCGTGTCCGAGCGCTGGCTCCGGCACTACGGCCGCCTGGCACCCAACACCTCACGCGTTCAATCGACCCTGTCGGCGATCAGTATATTCTTCGCTATTGCGGGTACCTGCGGTCTCATCTTCCTCTCCATATTCGACACGTACCATCACTCGCGCGTCCACAACGGCTGCCTTTTCATCTTCCTTGCTGGTTACATCATCTCCGCCATCTTCCTGTGCGCAGAGTACCAACGTCTCGGCGTGCACTACCGCCAGCATCGTGTGTTAAGGTTGTCCTTCTGGATCAAATTAGCCTTCATCTTCGTCGAGGTTGCATTGGCTATCGTCTTCACCGTCACTTCCTGGAGGGATCAAGAAGACGTGGCCGCTGTCTTTGAATGGGTTGTCGCTCTAATTTTCACCTTCTACGTGCTTTCATTCTTGCTGGACCTGTGGCCCTCGGTGCGCTCGAGGCATCATGTTCCTCAAGGCTGGCGCGAGAGGGAAGCCCACCTAGAGAAGGAGGCCCAAAGAAATGGGGGCCTGCCGCCTCTTGATCAGGGACCCGCACCCGTAACATCCGAGCCCAACCAAGGAACCTATCACAACCAGGAGAGTGAGATGTACTATGATCGTGTTACGGGACAGTATCGTGGTACCAATGTGACCGGCGGTCAAGGCTCACATCTTCAAGCCGCCAACTCCACACATCCGTCCGACCACGCCGACCTCGGCCGTCAGAAGAAGTGGGGCATTGGAAGAATGAGGTTCTAATCGCCCGTCACTTATCAATCATCGCTCCTCCATCTGTATAGATTGAGCGACGAGTGGGAACAAGAATTTGCTGAAACTGCATGCCACCGATTCACTTCAAAAGGATGTATTTGAAAGATGACGACTTTCACGAGCGCGAGAGATGCAGAGACATCATGTTAAGCATTGGATTGGGTAAAAGAACATCATGCATGGCGTTGGTGGTTGGGTGGCCTAATGTGGTCAATGGGCATTTTCGATTTCTAAACATGGCTTGCATACACGAGGCTATGCAGCCTCTCTCTAGGCAGCGGTCCGCAGCCATTTGGGTTACGACTCAAGAACAGTGGGGAGAGCGAGAAAGGACAAGTGATCTGAATATTCGCTGTAGATAATCAATAATTCCCGTTGAATGTTCCATCCAAGTCATATCCTTTAGAATCTAGGCAGGTTCCTCCTATCCAGCCAAACGCAATCATCGTGAACGCCTTGGTCGGCTAGGCTCTTATTCAAGAGGACGGAGAGACAAGACACTTCGTCTCCGTATCTTCGTGTACGAGGGTTTGCCGCTCTGCCAGTCTTGCATCCATTGATAACAGCAAACATTGCCAGGCGATCAGCAGTGGGTGGTGTGTTTCCACCACCGAGTGAGCTCTAGGAGCATGAACATAGTCTATGACATGAACAGCAGAAGAAGGTGCGCACCAAAACACCGGGGCGCTACAACTCTTGAAGGACGCTCCACCAGGGCCAGAGCAACGCTGCCTTTCCCACTTCTTCAACTGATCGCCCCGCTAAACAGCTTCGCCGCAAGCTCACTCAATATCTTGGCCTTCTGACCCTGATCCAGGGACTGGAACACTTTATACACCGACTTGCCCTTGGCATCCCGTATAGCACCGGCTTTGCTACCGGCGATGGCGCCCGGCACCATCCCCACAACGTCACCGAAGATGAAGCCCATCGCGCCACCCGAGATTCCTCCCACGATCGTCCAGAATCGCTTTGTGGGCGCGTGGTTGTCGTCCGCCAGGTCATCCTCGTGCATCATCTCTTCGAACGCGCTCTCGAACTGTTGGTCGGCGAACTGACTCTGCTGGCCGTCTCCGCCACGTCCGAAGCCGAACATGTTGAACCACGAGGGCGTGGCCCCGGCCTGTTGTGGCGGCGGCCGGGGCACTTCTTCCTCGTCGGCGGAGTCGTCGAAGGTGAAGGTGCTGCCGCCGTGGAACTTGCGGGCTTCGTCGTAGTCGCGCCGCCGGGTCTTGTCCGAGAGGGTATAGTATGCATCGTTGCTGGGTTCGGCCCCGTCAATTGCACCGTTTAAATGGCACGCCGCGTGTCACAAGCGCCAGTCTGGTAGACAGCCTGGTGAGCTCGCAGAAAAAAGGCGGGCACGCACTCACATTGCTTGAAAACGCTTCGTTCGCTTCGGCCGTTCAGGAGAGTCGACTGAGACGCGGTCGGGATGCCACTTCAGGGCCGCTTTCTTGTACGCCCGCTTGACTTCTTCTTCTGTGGCGTTGGGTGCGATTTCGAGGATGGAATCTTCGCGACTGGGTTAGCGACTAGGTGTATATCTAGACAATGCTATGCGAAACCGACAGTAATCTGGGAGGTCCGACATTATTTCGGAGACCGGAGTGTGCGAAGAACTCCTTGTACGCTTTCGTGAGGCTGCGAATCTCGCTGAGTGGGACAGGAGGAGTGGGAGGGCTGCAACCCCCTCTGGGTAAGGGTAACGAAGGCGCAGAGTAATCCCAATAGGTAGGTCGGATTTGTCTAGGAAAGGAGCATCAATGTCTTCAAGAAGCTGAGTTTACAATCGAGGGCGAGTTGTTCGCAGCGGGAAGGCCTCCATGCGCCTGGAATATGATGCATGTCATTGTCCCTTGGAGTCTCCTCGTCCCTGTGACGTCAACGGATCGCTGGTTCAAGCCACTGTGGCTTGAACAGGCTGACTCATCCCTGAGCATGTGCTCATCCGCCTGCGCACTTCCCTATCCCTGGGACTCCGTTCGGACTTGCTCAAGTCCCTCCGTCTGGTGGTCGATCCATTTCACGATCTTCGAATAGTCCTTGCATACATGTACGCTGCCCCATCCTTCACCATACTCTGTGGAATTTCCCTCAATACTAGTGTCGATCGAACACATCAAACCCTGCCGCAGATAATCGAAGCAATGAGCCAAATGTGCATCGTCGACATCATTTGTGCCCCCTAGCCGAAGCACGCCGTAGGTGCTGAGAATAATTCTTAGACAGTGCAGCTGGTGGATACTAGTAACCATGTACGCGTCCGACCCTCCCAACAGCGTGAGTGTGGACTGATACGGGGGATTGTTGATGTAAGACTGTCCATCGTCGATGTGGATCATCCCCATTGCCGCTGTGGAAGTGATGAAAATTAGCTGGAGATTCGGGTTCGCCAGACTCGGCCTCCCTAGCTGAGGGAACGACGTTGACTTACAAGGAAAGAGAGTTTCCCAGCCCTTGTACACCTCGGCGAAGGCGTTGTTGTCAGAGAACATGTATTTGTGCGCGAAACGTTGATCGGGAATCCAGGTCCGCTCGACGTTGATAACTATAGCCACAGGCTGAGTACCGGGCGACATATGTCAGGGCTTCACCACTTACAGTTGGGCACTGGTGTTTGCCGAACCAGCAAATGTCTCTTGCATCGGTATAGAGCAATGGATTCTGCGAGGATCACCAGGAACAGTATGATATTGATGCACCGTTGCAGCAAGATCTGCCTTCGAGGTTTTGAATCCGTGTAAGGCCGTACATCTTCCGGGGCGAGCAATGCTTCTGTCACATATGGTTCCTGGTGTGCGCTGATGTCGCTAGCCGGCGACCTATCGTGGTATGTCTCTTCTTTGTGACTGGACAATGGCCAGGGAAAGCCCATATTTGGTTCGGTCGGGCACAAGCTGGCTTGTACACGATGATGAGGTCGAAATATTATAGAGAAATAGCTGGCGTGAGACTTGTCCTAATGGTGAGAATGCTGAATGCCTTCACTCTGCATGTCGTGACAATTGGCAAGAACGAGGATAGGAGAGGAGTAAGGTCGGGCTCGTACTGAAAATACAACCTTGAATATCGAAGCGAGTGTCAAGAGAAGCCGGACCGCGATGCATTCATTGCTCCGGCGTGCCTCTTAGTGTCCTTTGCCGAGTGTCGGGTTCCGCCGAGTCATCCTTCTCGGGTTGAAGGCCATGTCTCGCATTCGCATTCAGAGATCACCCCATCATGGGAGGAAGAAGCTCCCGAACATTGGATCCACGCTGGAATGTCTGCAAGACACTTCGGACTGCATACGGGTTTGTCCGATGGTCAAGCTGTCGTTCCTCTCTAATTTTGTGTCACTCGCGATAAGCACCCAAACTCCTCGGACTCGCAGATCCCACGGCAATTTTCATACGCGCCATGCACTACAAGTGACCGAACTCGGAAGATCCCACGACAACATCCCAGGATTGGCGAAGGCACGACTTTTCTGGTCTCGCAGCCTCGGGGCCAAAGATCTGCCACTGCAATTCCACTGCTGGTGACCCCCAGAACGTGGGACGACGCTTCACCTTCAACAATGCGACATCCGCCAGAACAGCAACTACGTTAAGTCCTCAACATCCTAATGGCACAGTATGCTTGGACGAGGATTGATGCAGCAGCTTCATGGACGGAGCCTGACCTTCGCCCTCAGCCATGGAGGGACTTTTGCCGCTGGCCGATCATCCTCATCTGCGCCCTTGTTCTGCTGTTGACCAACTCCTCGACAGCTTTTATCACTTGGACACTGAACCATGGTCGATCCCACTTGATGTACTGTGAGTGACCCCAACCATGATCTTCCTGAACTCGTCGTCTCACTCGACCATCTACGAGAAGCTCCCGCAAACGAAGCCATCGAGTACGAAATACGCACTTTCAGCTCAAGTTCGGTCCAGGAGCCAACGATCTACCTCGGTCCCCCAAACGACGACGTCGACCGAGCTTGGGAAGATATCTACGGGGGTTAGTGGATGAGAAATGACCATGAAAACCGCTGCTCACAATTCCGTAGCTTACCAGCGAACTCGCATTGACGCAGCCTCAGCTGCGAAACTTCCGAATAAAACGGCCAGTATCGGCGACGATCCAGGACACTACTTGATCACGCTTGACGTGTTCCACCAGTTACATTGTCTCGATTTCGTGAGAAAGCGGTTGTATCCCTCGAGGTACAACACAACGTCCGACTTGGGGGTGGACAGGGATGGGACCCGGGCGTTGGAAATCGAACACACTGGTAGGTTGGATGTGGTGGTGATTTCCATCCCAGAGTCTAATTTGTTTCATCCCAGAGCACTGCATTGACACCATCCGGCAGTCGCTTCAGTGTTCGGCAGATATTATCCCAGTGCTTTACAAGTGGGATGGATTCGTGGGCCAAGTCAAGGGGGATGCCAGGACAGTGCATTCATGCCGCAACTTTACCAAGATCCAGGAGTGGGCGGCGGCACATAGTGTCAAATATCAGACAGATAAGGGATAACATATGTGTCCGATAATGTCGCGTCAAGTGTTGAATTTATTGTCAAACCTCTTGAGAGACTTTGGACCTTGAGATTCTACAACAGAGCAGAAATGCACAGAGTGTGCAATATGCGCCGCCCGACCGTTGCCTGTACAGAGGTGTGTTCACCTCCATAGCGGAAACAAACTGCACCAAGGCAGCACCAGACTGTAATTAGCACTCGACTGCCATTTCCTCGCATGCGGTATAGCACGGACGTCATCTGATCACAACTCTTCGTTGTGGCTGCTATGCTACAGAAGACGCACTGGTGGGCTCGGCAGCGCGGTCATCCAAGGGTGTAGGTATCAGGCGGACAAGGGTTTCGCTGTTCACAGAAGGGTCAGACACCTCTACCGAGCGCACGCGAGCGACTGCAAAGGCAAAAGGATGTCTTACAGCACCATGCCGGCCCACGCGACCACACAGCACAGTCTCGGATTCTTCGCTTCGGTCGGCAGCACAGAGTAAGCCGAGTAGACTCCACGCATGCGCCCATTTTCCGACCTGAACAGATGGTGAGTTGGTCTCCGACTCGTTCGTAATGCGAGGCGAGAATGGATTTCGACGTCGCATCTCATCTCACCGTTGTGCAAAGGACGAGCGGTCTCGCTTCTGCACCTCCTACCCGATCTCGATTCCGAGAAATGAGAAAGAAGAAGCGAGAATGAGCGAAGGTGTGTCGGACTTTCGCACCGGATAACGGTCTGTCGGCGATGAGACGCGATATAAGAACGCAGAAAAAGGCTGCTTCCTTGACAAAATCATCACGCAGCAAATCCAGTCATCTGAGCACTCCCGGCAAAGGACACGATCCGAGCGATCCGTCCACAGCAACCACAACAAGCGATCCAGACACCTCACTCGAGGAAATCCTATCCAACACATTCAAAATGAGGGGCCTCTTCGCCACTATCTCCGTCGCCATGGCACTCTCTGCCTCCGTTCTGGCAGGACCCATCCAGTCCTCCGAGCCCCAGTTAGAGAATGGAGAGGGCCCAGCTGGCATTTGCTTCGGTGGCTGCGGTCCGGGGATCATCAAGCGCGAGCCTGAACCTGTTGCCGAGCCCGAGCCAGTTCCCAAGCCCCAGCTCGAGAACGGCGAAGGGCCTGCAGGTATTTGCTTCGGTGGCTGCGGCCCGGGGATCATCAAGCGCGACCCTGAGGAATCCTCGGTCGCTACCTTCTAAAACCTGCCAGATCCTACCCCAGCTGCGACTCTGAACTCCGCTGCGCCAGCCAAGCCAATCGCCACCGTGGCATAGGTGTTGTTTGACGCTTAACGACAGCACACTACAGCAGCTTTCACGGAGCCCGCAGGGTTGTCGCTGAAGTCGGCCTGGCAAGAGGACTGGAGAATGGACCGAAGACTCATAGAAATTGTGGTGAAGGAAAAGGCAAGCCCTGAAGACGAGAGACGGGTATGATTCAAAAAATTCAACTTTATGATCACAACCAAAAAAGAATCCAGTGAAGATGTCGAAGTATTATCCATCCTAGAAGCTCTAACATTCGCTGGCGTTTCCTGTACTCTCTTTAACAATGAACAGAACAACACAGAACGTGGAAAATGGATGGCAATAATGATACACTTTCACATCATCTCATCTTCGACGCTCGGCGGAGAAACTTCATTTGGCTCTTCGGTCCGAGCTTTTATCTTGCAACTGATCATCCCAGCGACCAGTTTCTTTCCCAGTATGCCTTGTTGATGTAGGCAGCAGCGGCTAAAGGGCGTTCATGTGTGAAGTTCGTGGGTTCATGATCGGCCCTCAGCCTACACATTTTGAAGACGGTCGTCTGAGTGAGATGGAGAACGCGTGGATATATATCAATCTACGCGTCAATACGCGTCTGTACGTGGTTTGTACGCGACGCGACGTACGGCGTTTGCGGTATTTCGTACGTCGTAATCCGGATTTTCCTAATATTGATTCCGAGACACATCATTTTCTAAGATCATCACGTCTTTTGGAAAAAGACGGAGTACTCTTCACCATGGGAACTAAGCAGGATTCTTCGAGATTGATCTTCCGTCAATCCAGTCGTGAATGGGCCCCACGTCCCTGCAGGTATGCATCTGATCCTGATCCGCGTGCAGCATGTTCCCATTCACGAGCCACCGTTTCGGAATCGGGGTGAGATCCATGTGGCACAGAAGTGACTGCCTCAGAAGCTCGATACAATGGTCTGTTGTGCGCCATCAGTCGTGATGCTGAACACTCACCACCACAGGGAGTCTCACCTAGATGCAGCCGATCCCCTGCCATGCCCGGCATGACTGGAGTTGTCCGGTCGAATACGATATCTGTATAATACTCACGATCCAGCGCCTGTCGAATATAATTCTATGGGGGATCAGCAGATCGCAGGGTGTAATGCATCGAGCACCAAACATACCAGACAGTGCAAGTCGTGATAGCCGCTCGGTCTGCCATGGTGGTGCGATAAATCAGTAGTTGTTTCAAGGCATGAAACGAAGCCTGGAGAAAGGGAGCCACGGAAAGCTTACTCGACCCACACGCGACCATGCTCATAATCATCCTCGCTCAAGGCCAGGCCGAGTCTTTCAGCTTCGTCTGAATAAAATCCAGCAAAGCGAGCTGGGCCTCTTGATCAGTCGCCCAGGATTCGGCGTTGCGAAGCATGCAGCACACTTACGGATAATCAACGAGTCCCACGCCCGGTCGATCTCTGGGCTGGGCTGGCCCACATATACGGGCTCGCTCTGGTTTCGGCTCAGCCTCCAGATCCCGTCGTCGCCCACACGGAATGAGCCGTGGAACTGAACATGTTTCAGGCGGATCAAGGGTTTGGTCTCATCTTCGACGTCGTCAGCTAACGTGCCATAACTGTAGAGGACACTTGTCGTGCTGACATATTTCTGTAGCGAAACCTCCCTCATACGTGCCCCGACCATGTCGTATGCTCGACCCGGGCCTCTGCCGCCATTGCCACATGACTCGTACCATCAGCAGGGAAAGAAGTACAACAGACGCCCACAAGAGATGCAGCCTTCTGAATGCCCTTCTCTCAGGACGTTTCAACACGGCTTCATGGTCGTCGAGCTTGACCTCGGAATAGCCGCGGGATGAGGAGGTCATCATGGTGGTTTGGTTGCACAAGTAACCAGCGGCGCAAAAGGGGAGTCGAGTTCGGGAAATGCGTTGCTGATATGGCAGATTTACTCCACAGACGGAGGGTCTCGCTTTCCCTTCGTGCGTCTCGGGTTGCATGTCAGAGACTCGCCTCGCTCTCGGATCTCGCAAACCCCAATTCATCATATGATCTTCGCTTTCGCGAAATGGATCCGAGTCAGCGCCATTTCTCAGTTCATGCGACGATCCACGGGTACACTGCGAATGCCACAACCAGAGCATCAACATAACACGAAGCACAATCTACACCACATGATTCCGCTTGGGTCTTCGCGCTCGCAAACACCATATTATATTGCAAGACCTCCCGGCAATTCGGGAAAGCACTGTCCATCAAAATGGTCCAGCCTCTCGGATCCTCGGGATTTGAAGCACTTCAGGTGCGGTGGAGGCTGGCGCAGGAGGAGAAGAGAGGAGGTCCGGCTTCGAATCTGAAAGCCTGTGGTATACTTCTCGGCGCTTTGGTAGCGGCAAGTGTGGTTTTCTCGGGAATTTGGGTGATTCTCAAGAGCGCGTCCAATGACCCAGTTGGGTACCGCGACAGTCCTGTCGACGACACGATGAGTGAGTCTGCTCTCTGCTTGCTTTGACCACCGCCAAGCTCAATCATGTCAACAGTCCCAATGGTATGGAAACAATTCAATGAAGACGTCCGCTATTCGGGGGCCCCCTCGAATGCCTCAGATATGGCGTGGAGCGAACTGCTGCCATGTATGTTCTGAGGCCACCCCCCCGCCATCCGTTGATGGACCACTGACGCGGCATGTTTGTCGCTCTCCGAGACAGATGGCCAAGGTTTTATGAATGTCGACAACCCGCGGCGACTCACAGATAAACCGGGCATTCCAAGTGCTACCGTGGCTGGGAAAGAGTCGTATGGGCTCTCTGTCTTCCACCAGCTCCACTGCTTGGCAAGTCGAGAACTTCCACACCCTCCTCTGCGTCGGTGGAAGAGGCTAACCGAGTCTACGGTCGGCGTCACAGTACATCATCCGGAGCATCTTTTACGCAAATCTCCCGTCCATGGGAGTGCAGAAGCAAGAGACACAAGGGCACGCGGGCGCACACCTGCTAGGCCATGCCCGCCATTGCTTCGACTACCTTCGTCAAAGCATCATGTGTGCAGGAGACGTCTCGTACGAGTCCGCCATTGTCTTGCCGGACGGGAAGCTGATCGACGGGGTCGATGGTTGGGGCGATTGGCATATGTGCCGCAATTGGGACACCATCTGGGATTACGCTGTCCAACACCGGGGTCAGAACTTCAGTGGAATTGTGTAGTGACGTGACGAATCAGTGATTGAAGCCAATTTCCAATCAATTTATCAATAAGCATTTTTCTGCGCTTCGTAGAGCCCCTCTCTTGAAGTGAAAACAAGACTTCTTCCAGAGTCCGTGACGCCCTGCCTAGGTAGCGCATAAGCGATAGACTCGCCTAGAGTTCGATGCCGCGCTCTTGTCAGGGCTCGGGTTATCTCTCTGAAGCCGCATCCCGAGAACACGGTCAATGTGAGGCGTTGTGATTCGGGTTGCGATGCGAAGTCGCCACACATTCGGTTGCACGCACTACGGAAATCACCCCGCCACGCCTGACTGGCTCGCTCACTTCGCCTTCACTTCTTCATCCACGGTCATGTATGCCAACTCTACCACCCGGCCATCGCATATCATTGCATTACATGCGCCGCGAGCGATCGCTGAGGACTGACTGTCTTCTCTGTCTACTCTCTGGCCGATAGGTAGAGTCAATGTGCCAACCTGGCATCAAACCGAAGGCTCGGCACGTGTCCGACAGGTCGAGCTCCGCGACAGACCCGTATTAGCAGCAGTCTCTCTCGCGGCATGGCCCGGAGCTCATCGCTTTCGCGGTTCAACGCGAACTCACTCTCATGGTTTGTCAATTGCCTTGTTCCTGCTTCTCAGAGGTGGCGACCATGCGGAGAAACTGTGGTTGACAAACTCACAGGAAAGACGGAGTTTGACATTAACAATACCTCGGTCGCGCGCGATCAAACACCAGCTCCCCATGAATAGACCAATGTCTCCAGCACGGTCCGATACTTTCAGGCTCTCCTAGCCACGGCGACTGCTTGACACCTAGACCGAGTCCGAGGAGGAGTGTCCAGACACAGGGTCCGAGTTCGACCAGCCCCTCTACAGTGCCGCGATCGAGAGCTACATAGGTCTGAAGGAGTTCTCGTCAAGCACAAGCGCCAGTGCCAGAAAGAGATTCGCCGCCTCAGAGCTGTCTCTCGAGCATCAGCAGCCGAGCGTCGATGTTCATCAACTACAATCAGAGCAAAAGTGTGGTCGCAGTGACCAAGAAGATCGACTCTGCACTAGGCAAGGTCGGAGCGATGGAGGAAGTCGAGACCAAGGTTGGCATTCTTTGACAGAAGCTCGAGTCGTTGGAACTTGTGCCCAGTTGCGCTGGACTCGTCCCCTGTTGGGACAGTTGTGCTCTCGTCATGTCTTGGGTCACCATATACTACTGCACACGAAACTCAAAATCCAGAGAATTCCAGTTTGCCTGGTTGATTGTCCAGTCCCTTCAAGCCAGATACGTATTTGATGGCTCAACCCCGTCACTGGATCAGTTGGCGTCCGAGCTACAAAGTCACTGCTGTTCGACTCCTTTCGGCAATTCGCTCGCACCGTATAGTCGTTACTGTAGCGGCGTGAGCGGCTTCGCTAGACACCCTCGGAGCAAGCCAGGGGGCGCCAGCCTTGCCGTGCGGGTGTGTCGGGCTTGGCGCCCCGCCCGGAATAACCGCCCTGCCATATTAATGCACAAGCGCTTACTCCGTACTGCGGTAGGTACTCTATAATTATATGTCATACGCCGCCACCCGAGATACCGAATACAGTAAGACCTCGATATAAGGATGTGGCGTTTTCAGGCGGATCTGTCACGAATCGTACCCGGGGCCGCGCGCCGCATCCGTGTGGTTTCCCAGCGGGGAGGTAGAGGGAGTCCATAGTTATGGATGAAGTTCGTATCTCATTGGGAGCCCCGTAGGGTCTGACTGAGGACTTGAGTTGACCACGAAGGTCCTTTCTAATGATGGGTGAGGGAGCACCTACATATACCCGTATATTCCCGTACTGGACCAGTGTGCTTAGTACTGATCCCGCCGAGCCATACTGAGGCATACTGATCACACCACGTGACCGGGCTCCCGCTGGTCCCTACCTGAGGCACCCCTAGTACACCGCTAAGCCACGGGGATACCTTTCTGTCCCGGCCCCGTGGCCTGCGACCATAAGGTCGCCCCATAACAGGATTCCCTAAGAATGTTGTCAAGGCACCCCTTAATACGTAGGGCTAGCTTTCTTGACGTTGGTTACTACCTATTACTAAACAGTCTCTAGATTTGTTTAATACCAAGGGATTAGTTTAGTTGACTTAGGGATTACCTACCTGATACCCGGAAGTACACCGAGTAAGGATACTACCACAATTTTCGGTCAGACGTAAGGATAGTCCTATCTTACTACCTACCCAGGTAGATAGGATTATCCTTACCTAGGCACCATACAAAGTTTTGGATTTTCGGCGGTTGCCGCAAGGATAACCCTGTGCGCTATTCTTATAGCACGTGATTCTTATATCCAAGTCTTACTGTATACATACACGACGCTTGACCCTGTTGCATTGCGCTACAATATGTGGAGTATGTGGGAAGAAAGACCCGACACATTCATCACATAGTATTCGCCGCGTCGTGCGTGGTGGCGCTCTGAGAGCAACCCGCCATCCTACGCATACACACTCAGACCATGTAAAGTCTCGTCTGCACGCGTAGACAAGCCTCACTGCACAGCTCTCTTTTCCTATTGTACTTTGCTTGTGCCCCAGTGTACTTGTACCCACCCACCCACTCTAGCCTGCACCACTTCTCCGTCTGCAGGTGATGTATTTGCGCCGGATCGTCGTCTCGACTCGTTCTGGGTCCAGATGCCGCGACAGGAGCATATGCTCACAGTGCAGCGTGTGTTCGTAACTGCCGATATAGCTGTCCAGGTATCCCGTCTCGGTGAGTGCGCGGTGCAGCTTCTTCCACGTGAAGGTGCAGTGCGTCGAGTGGTACGCGTTGGTGACGTACAGCTCGGCGAACTGGCCGGTTCGCACGTCTTGGAAGGATAGTGCTCTTGCGTCCGCCGTGGAAGTGACGGTGACGTTGGGCTCTGTGAACCAATTCCACGGCTGCGTTGGCGAGGCCAGAAAGTCGGTCATAAGGGCTTCGTCGAAACACGGCTTTGGCACCCACGTGAAGCTCATGACGTCGAAACGGCAGTCCAGGCTTTGTGCTTCCTCGGGACTATTCCCGCAGGTCAGGGACTCGGCGGGCTCTTCTGCGTTACTGATCGAGATGGGCCGGAGTACCAGGAGGATCGCTGTTGCGCAGGCAAGGAGCAGAGCCAGGAAGACCATGAACAAGACGGCAGGAACCTTCACAGGAGCCGAGTATCTTTTTGGCGGCGTAGGGTAATAGTCGGCCGAGGAGGCGTCGCTGTCGTTGCCGTTGTTGTTGTCGTCGTCGTCGCCGATGATGCTTTCGACCTCGTCTTCGTCGAACCTCGCGGGATGGTAGCACTTGCCATTTTTCAAGAGATGTGGGCGGTTCATCGACGAGATGAGTGGCACGGGTGTAGAGGTCTTCAGTGGGTACAATCACTGCGGTTCCTGGCAAAAAGCCGAGGACTGTTCTATGGCAGATGATAGAATCTCAAGAGAGGATGGGAGCAATGCAAGCGGCAAAAGCAAGACAGCATCCCATACAGGTTCAACGTCTCGCTCAACGTAAAGCGAGCTCGACCATGGACCGAGAGATACGAGCTTCAGTTGCGGGTGGACTGTACGGAGCATTCCCACATGGGCTAAATTGACGAACCATGCGGTTCCCGAGTCCGAGCTCACGGATTGCATCGGTAGCCAGCTCGCATGATGAGCGATCCGAACAGCAAGTATTTTCCTCGCACATCGCATTCCGAGCATGATGTTGCAAAGAATCCGAGTCGGAAGAGCTCTCGGTCGCCAAACAGTTGTGTGTGGATGAAGACGTAACTTGGCGGGCGGAGGATATTCGCAAAGCGACGTGCCAAGTACGTAGTCTGGTGCCGTGCGATTAAAAGACTCCACGGTTGTAAAAGGATCCAACGCGATTCCGAGAGTTACGGCTACTCGGATCAGGAGGCGCGCTCGGAACATGTAAAACAAATGATACAGGTGACTTCGTCCTTGGATAAGTCAATGATGGACGAGTGGTCGTGGCCCTCATTCGCCTACTCTGTGTCTTTTTGGCGGTCGGCCATCCTAAAGCTTTCCTTGCAAGCCAGTGGAATGGTCGTGCTACCGAGTACGGTACATGAGTTCACAACGTATCACGAGGGATACGCCGTTTAAGGAAACCTCTACAGCCATCCAGTCCTTACCGTATAGTATGGGTAGACGGCACACACCCACTTTCACTGTAATAATAAGACCTGGTGGAACTAGGGTTAGATAAGTCAGCGATTGGTCAATGAAGAAGATAACAAGAAGCCAATGGGATGGCCGCCCGTCGGTTCGGCCCTTCGCTTACTCCGCGCCAAGCGCCGCTTTGCTGCAGACCGCCATGACGGCGTATGAGCTTCTCGTATTGTGTAGTCTCTGACTGGATCGGGCAATCTTTGCTTGCGGCTGCAGACTGCAACGTCGCCGGCATCGAGAGAACCTCTCTCCGAGGTATATTCCCGGTTGATAACACGGGGTGGAGACTGTCCTGCGTCATCATTCAGCGCCAGTCTGTGCTGTGCGACCATGAATACGGCGAGGAACAAGCCCGCCCCACATCAACGCAAAAAGCTTGCCTGCATAGAGCCACATCCTGTGGCACATGTGGTATGGACATTCCACTTGGAGTGGTTGGTCAAAGCGGCGACTCGTCGTGGGATTTAGGATGGTATCACCGACCAATGGCCCGGCACGACGGACACTCTGCTGTAATGCATCTAGATAACGGTCTCGCATATATGTTGTGCGGAGTAATGCCCCTACCTCAAGGGCGGTACCTTTTTGCGGACCTAGGGTCGTGCAAGTTCGCCGAGCCTAAGGGGTACTGTACCGAGTAGTTGACTGGAACAACGAACCTGGGTGATTAGGAACCTCAAGACCAACTGTGAAAACCACCTTGACGAGCAGCCGAGCGCCGCTTCCATATCGAGTAGGCGTGGCAATCGTCGTAAGATAGCTCTGTAAGCATAAGCCCAGGACTGATTCCACCTGCTCACGACGTTGTAACAACGGAGAAGCTAATGGCCGCACCTCCCAGTGGCGCCCTATGGATCTTGAATGTCTGGCTCATTCATTCTCCTTCCCGTGCAAATCGCGCCAGTGGCCAATTCAGCAGCTCGTCGTCGTACCCACAATCTTCAAACACATGCTGGATGCCACTCATTTCGTACTTCGCGATGTCGCTAGTCCACCAGGTTCCCTCGACTTCCGTCCAGAGAGACATGATGCGTGCCCAGACGGCCAGAGCTAGGGGGTTCTTATCTTGGAGACCCTGGGTCAAACACTGCGGAGGGTTGAGCGCGGTTTGCACCAACCGGTGGCGGATCGCATCCTTGGACCCTGTTTGGTAGAGGCAGGAGTGCACCGCCATGAGATGCCGAATCAGCTCTTGCTCGTTCGTGTCTTTGGAGTTCATGTCGTCCAATCCGTCGAGCATGGCCACGGCGTCGCTGTACCGTTTTTTGTTGTGGACCTCGCTCCACTTCCTAGTAAGATCCAGTGAGCTGAAAAACTTGTGCACCGTGGACTGGACACTCTCCAGCCACGACCAGGTGCTCAGATAGACCTGCACTGCGGCAATTGAGGTCTGAAACGCTTCGTTCGGCACGGCATATGACTCTGTCGAGCCCGTCCGAAAGCGCCACGAAGCGATGCTTAGCAGAAATGACGAGATGACAAGCTGTTCAGCAGTGAACTGTGAGACCCGGCTTAATTCCTCTCTGGTACTTCGTAGAGCGAGTCCATAGAAATGGTGTGATTGGACGACCAGCCTTTCGTCACTCGGTGTCGGGGACCTGAGATAGAAGGCTGCGATCATTGCCACTGATTCCAGCAGAAATGGACACCGCAAAGCCATCTGCGGGACTTTAACCGTCCATAAGTGGCGTATTTCCGGATCCTCGATCAACGGCATCGTGTTGCATGTGGAGGACATGAAATGCTGGAAAAGTTCTAACTCCGACTGCGGCTGGGACTGTGAAGGGGATTCACAGGCTATCAGGGAGCGTAGACGAGTAGGAGTCCGAAAATCGGTAATGTTCAAGTTGGTGGTCCCACTTGAAAGACCTGACCACGGCATATCATCTGGTGCCACAAGGTCTGCGCTGGATGCCGAGTCCGGGGCTATCGACGACAATAAGTGCTCGTCTAGCATGGCGATACCCAGAACGTCGTTCGACAGCCCCTCGAGGAGTTCGGAACTCTCCTCGTCGGATCCTGACCTTGAATGCTTAGGTCGACTTGATCGTGATGATCGTGAGGGTCGTGAGGACACTGTCAATACAACCGAAGAAGACTGGTGTCTTCGCCCATGCCCATAGTTACAAAGGGCTGCATCGTCCTTCCCATATCTGCGCGTACAATTGTTGCATATCGGCCTGGTCTCGTCGCACTGTAATCTGTCAGTTGGACACTCCTGCCACTTCTTCCGGGGAACGTACTTTGATCTTTCTCTGTTTGCACGTCCTGCAACCGCTCTTACTCTTTCGATGCGTCTTGCGAGGCCCTAGACTGAGCCTGAGGGCGTCTGTAGACATGGCGGTCGGCGAACAACGTGCAAGATCGGGGGTTGAGGTCGCACAAGAATATGACAATGCTTCGCCATGATTTAGTAGAACTTGGACCTCAGGATGGGTCCCTGTCGTGCATACCAAATCCACGCAGCAGGGGTCCTGAGTCTCGCCGATGGACTCCGGATCCGAGTAGACGCGGGCGAGGTGTTCGTCGTTCTCACCGCGATGACCAGGAAGGATCCAAAGACTTCAACCATAAGCCCAGTTTGCATGAAAGTGCCACAGATTGATTGGACTCCTCAATCGGTTTGCGACGTAGCAGGCTCCGCCGGGATGGTGTTGCACAGGTTAGGCCTCGGTCATGTGAAGATCGCCCTCGACAGTGAAACAGGGGTTCCAATTATTGCCGGAGATATATATGGGGTGAGACTGGAAGTTGTGACGGGGGAGTATCGCTTTATCCGCTCCTGCCTTCTTGCACCCCAGTAGACTTGCTTCTGTTGCGAGAAGAGCTTCCCACAGTCTGGGCATTCCCAGCTGCGGTCCTTGGCAGTTCAGCTAAGGGGTTAATGGCCTCATACCTGTCTCCTGCACCCGGCAATTCGAGGACAACTGTTGGCGGAGTTCTGTCACACTTCGGGGGTCTCACGACGCTGTTGCAACAACCTAGACAGCTGATGCCTCAAAAGAGACAAGAGAGTATGGATGCCGAAGCGGTAGAGAGGGCGCAAGCAAGGCTGGCGCCGACGGAGGCCCTGGACAAGCTTTTGACGGGTGGCTGAACTTTGGAGAGCTTGAATACGACTGCGTATAACTCCGGCAATCGACGTGTCAAGGTCTCAACTCATTTAGTTGCGTACGAATCACAAAGAGTTTACCCGGAGCTTCCAAGCAGCGAGCATCCAGACCCGCCCGCAACGCAAGCTCCATCTCGAAGAGGATCAGCGGGCTTCCAGCGAGGCGATAATAGTGATGTTGCATTGCGCTGCAGTCAAGGCTGTTCACGAGTTTTCCTCTGGATTCGCGTGAAAAGATTCCAGAAAAGAGGGACCTTGCCGCTATCTTAGCAAGGACAAACCAGGAACTGCCGCGAAACACGGCGACATTGGTCAAGGATTGATGAATTTTCGTCCTCTGTTGCTAAGTGGAAACCGTCGGTGCCACTGGGGTCAGCAGGACGGGGCTCGATACAAGTGAGAATTGCCTCAGGAGATTGATATGAGGATGGCCTCCGTAAACACGGTGTCAGGATTGGTTGAAAGCCGACTGAGTAGCGCATGAGGATCTAGTCCGACGCAGAGGAGGAATCCCCAGATCATCGACCAAGCTATGGAAGTGGGAACTTCAAGTTCAACCTTTGATTCTCTAAATTCGATTTCGACGTCGCGGTGGAACGGAGCACCCTATTTGGGATTAGTGAGAATGGGGAGCTGAGTCACGAATCAGAAGCAGTTCACGTGACTCGACCTTGCCGCCGGCCCGAACGCCGCTGAAGGTGGGGAAAGTCGCTCAGTATAGCCTGCCTCCCTCGTCTATCAGCAGATACAGGCCACGTGCAAGATGCATGGAGGTGGTCCAAAGTACCCAGTAAAAGGAGCTGCGCGAGTATCCCTTGAGAGGCATGCCGCTGCGTCTTGTGGGCGAGGATTATGTACGCAGCCATTTTCAAGCCTCGAAACAAATCTACAGTTCCGCGCAATTTCAACCAAGTATCAAGTTCGATCGTAGCAACTGTCTTGCTCGGCTACTCGGGTGAGTGCACAACTGTGGGGCCCAGGAGTGCTGGTATAAGTGCAGGACAGCAACGAGTCTTTTGCGAGCCGCTGAAGAGTACAGCTCATGATACGACATCATTATGCATCGTCATTTGACCAAACCGAATGTTCACACAGCGGTCGAGAGCTGACGCTAGTTTTGGAAGGAAAGCAAGGCCAACATGACGAGTATTCTTCTCGCATTGAACATGGTTAGAGAAACCAAAATGCCGCAGCAAGTCCGACCAGAATGACCCTCGTGGTGTGACCAGAGAACGCATCCTACTCCATTGCCAATCCATTGCTTCCTCATTCTCCAACGTGGAACGGGTGTGGTCAAAAACTCACACACGGATGCAGCCCGCTGGAGCGTTCTACCATGCCATTAAAGATTGCGTCAGCCTATCTGCATCTGGTGTGCTGGAGTATCGCATGTCCTGACCACGGTGATATGCAATTCCAACAAAAATGTTCGCTGAGAGTGCTGGATTCGAGCTGTTACAGAACAGTGAGTGCTACCAGACACGGCCAGCCTTAATGTCCAAGCTTCCACAGTCGCTCCAGCTGTCAACCGTTGGAAACGCCATGCTTTCCATATGAGCATCCCACGGGCGAGCCATGAGGCTTTGGGGCGATCAAGCATCTCCGGAGCTTAGCTGCTGATTTATGTCGCGATGGGATGTAGTCAGGCTTGCAGAAACGGTGACAATGACCGGAGTCGACCGCTTTTGAGACCCTTTCCTCCGCTGCTTCAATGTGACATTGGGGAGTTCCAAATGTGGACTTTCAGCGAACCGGGCCAGCAACATCTGCACTGGGATCAGGAATGGTTCGGATGGAATGCATTTCATAGCGATATCTCCGCTGTGGAAAACGTCCTCCCGCGTACCCAAAGATTTGTTTTCTCCACCATACTGTGGACACCCGTGTATCGAATTGGATTTGCTCAGCTGGCGGTGATTGCATGGACCCCAGTATCGGTTGAAATTGCTGCACTCTGACTGCAGCCATCCGGAAGGAACAGGCCCGTGGTAGCACTGCTGCTGAACATACAGGACTTGGCATGGAGAGTTCTTGCCTGCCAGAATCTGCTGGGTTACAATTCTGAGCGGCGTCACTGGCTATGTCAGTTGTGAGAGACAAAATGTCGTGGCATCTGCCGATTGTTTGCTCAATGCTCTCGACGGACAGAACGAAGCCCTCGCAGATGCACAGATGAAACCAAGCTACGGCCGTTTTGTGTGGGGAAACTCTAGAAGTATACCTGGCATGAAGGCTCGTCGGTGAGACAATCACAAAGCGTTGACCGTATGTAAATCGCAGGAGAAGAAGCACCTAGATAAGTTGTGTTGAATTTTATGGGTGACCTGAGGCTGAGCAGCGTCAAGGGGAAGAACTGTGAGTGTCATGATCGACCGTAGTCAGACGCAGCAAGCGCAGCCTCGTCCAGCCTTGCACTGCCGCAATGAGGGACGAGCAGCTAGCAGTTAGCAGCTAGCTGCATTGGCCGATTGTGGTCCCAGCCACTCTCTGCCAGCCACTCGCATTGGGGTGTGTGAGCCCTCGGCGACGTCCAGCTCTACTGTGGTACGTATGCGTACTATACACCGAAGGTGTTGTTTCAACTGTACAAATAGTACTCTTCTAGAGCTGCGCAGTCGATTTGAATCCAGAAAGGTCCCGCGATAACCAGTGGCCGAGAAGAGGAGCGGTCAAACAGGACCTGAAAGTACCCCGATGCACCAGCGGCATATTTCGCAAAGAAGCTGAATATCACCCCTGCCAAAGACGAGAGTCCCCTCTGCGTTACTGGCGCAGGGACAAAGAGTCTACACCAAACACTGAGTGCGGCCCCTCTCCGACCCAGCGTCTCAACCATCTCCATCCAATCCGTCCACCTCGCATCGCATCCTCATGGGCTTCTGGAATCAGGGAGTCCGAAGCTCGCGCTCAAGAAGCCGCAGCCGATCTCCCTCTAGACGCTCATACGTGTCGCGACCCTCATATAACCGAAGCGCTTCCTCGATCTTCTCGGGGTTTGGAGGCCGCGCCTCATCGTCGAGAGGCTATGGACATGGCTATTCCTCACGCGCTAGGCCTCGGTCGGGCTTCATCAACCGCATCCGCCGTTTCCTCCACGAGATATATGAAAAGTTCAAGAGGCACCCCTTTCGCATGTTCATGCTTGTCATCATGCCCCTGCTCACCTCAGGTGTCCTCGTCAAGCTGTTCTCCAGCATTGGAATAAGGTTGCCAACAGGCATGCAAAGAATGATGGGAGGACAACAGACGAGGCAGACAGAGAGGTTCTATGCCAGAGGTGGCGCACGGGACGTTGCCGCTGGTACCTCCCTGCCTGGGATGGGCGGTCCCGGTTGGGGAGACAGTCTAGGCACAGTGATGGGCATTGCAAAGTCGTTCTTATGAAAGAATTGAACGTTATACCAGGCGGGTCAGCTGCATTGTAATGACGATGACTTGAAAAATATACCTTGGCGGAAAAGAACAGGAACAGCAAGGTGTCTGGAGCCAGTATCATCTCTTTCAAACGGTTGTGGACCATCTATGGCTCAGGCACAAAAGCCTGGTCCCTTGGCCAAGTCGCTTTATTTGTTATAAGGAGAGACAAAGACGCAATGAGTGGGAACGTCCAAAAGTGGTTGGGGCCTAGAGATGCGTCACCATTTCTCGTGCTCGTGGTATCTATCAAAAGTACGCGTAGCAGTCTGTGTCAGCTCCTAAGCCATAGCGCTGCTTCCTTAGCTCGAGGGCAACAATCACTTTTTGCCCTTCCTGCTCCGTTTCTTTATGCCTGAGACATCGGTGGCCTTTTCTAACTCCTTCTCGATGCCTGTGGAATCCACTATCTCAAAGCCAGAATCGGATATTTGACTCGAGCTCATGTCGATTCCAGCTGCTTTGTCTGAAACAACAACGCTGGGCAAAGATTCTTGCCCTGTCTCGCTCTCGGTTGTTTCAGGGCCTTCAACTTCAGGTATAGGTTTAGTGTCTTTCAGGAATGGATCGGCGCACTTGCGATAGAGCCAGATAGGTAGTCGTACCACAGCGGTATCCCAAACCGTGGGCATTGGTATTTCAGCTGGGTCGAGCAGGAATTCTTCCACGTCACCGTCCTCGTTCTCCTCTTCTAGGTAGACATCCCCGCCTGAATCGACAACAAACACTTTGCCGTTCTCGGCAGTCACACGGCGTCTCTGGCCTGTCGAAGCTGGCGCGGCCGCAGGCGCCGGCCTAACAGCTTTGGGCGCTCCTGTCTTGTCTTTCTTCGTTTGCCTCTCATACTCTCGCCGTTGTCTTCTATTCAGGTTGGCCAACGGATCTGGTTCCTCACTTGACGGAGGAACTTCAGCTGGGGCTCCGAGCCCAGGAATGCCGCCGATTCCAGATTCGTCCCCCCATGCGGCCTTCCTAGCAAATTTCTGATATGACTCCAGGAGCTTGACTCGATTTCGGTATGTGATGACCAATGCGAAGTAGTGAGCTGCGCCTCCACCAGAGAGAAACAGACCGACGAGGACCGTGCCCAGTCCGGGACGGTATCGAGAATAGTAGTAGCCTGTCCCGCGCCAGCGAGGGAAGCCGTGGCTCAAATAATGATCATAGCGTGACCTTGTTTCAGGGTTCTTCAGTATGTCGCTGATGACTGCTAGACGACTGTATCGTTCCGTTGCCTGCTTCATGAACCGAGCAACCTCCTTTTCCGTCGGTCCCCGGACCACGTTGCTTCCCTTTCTCTTGTCGCCCTTGGATTTCTTCGAAGTCGGCATCGACCGGCTTGCCAGCCAGGAATGTCGGGCTTTATCGGGGTGTAATGATCGACTCTTCTTTTTGAGGGCCTTCGTGATTTCATCGCCATTCGCAGACGACGAGACGCCGAGGACATCGTAGAAGGTAACGCCGGGTCCTTCAGAAGCCGTGACCTCGTCGCGCAGTTTGAAGATCTGGTGATCCTGCGGGTCAAACGCCGCAACGAAGAGGAAGAAGACGCAAAGGAGGCCGACTTGCAGGATTCGCGGCCTCATCTTTACATCCCACCCCCTCCTTCGAGTTGGCTGTCGCCCAACACGCCAAGTGGCAGGCAGCTAGATGCGGTCTTTGGGACTGAATGGAGGGCAGTCTTGAAATGAGGCAGGGAATCGAATGTGATGGGAACTCTGCCCGACAACACGTGGCCGAATCACAGTGATGGCTGAGGTCTGGGAAGGCTGCCGCAGCCGGACATGCAGTAGCTTGCAGTATGAGCGAGAATTGAAAAAGTGTATATATCGGAAGTCCGTCCCACCTCACTCCTAATTCCGTCTTCTACTTCTAAGCTTCGCTTCTGGAGCTCAGAGCGATGGCACCTTGAGCCTGCGGTAGGCGGGTCAAGGAAGAAAGAGAAGAGACCTCGAACTGAGGTGAGTCTGCTTTCCTGGCGCAGTCACTTTCTGGCCACCTGTTGCCCTGACCGATGCTCAGGCTGTGTGTGGCTTGTTGTGCGGCTTTCTGGGGCTGATGGTTTGCTGACTACTTACCCGAGACTCCAGTTGGTGCCAGGATCAACCGGACCAAACCCCTTGCACGCTTCGGCTCCCCCCTCCAAATTATTCTCATCCCAAATCTCCTGCACAGGGGGACGCGGGACCGCCACAACTCAGCACAGTCAGGCACCTCTCAAAAGTCTCTCATCGAACCACCACCCCTTTGTTCCCTTTTTGTTCCTTTCATCGCAAACCACCACATTCATTCAACCTAGCCACGAGTATTCCGACCACTCATTTCATCTTCTCTTCCCCGCTGACGCGACGCGCTTCGAGCGACCAATGTAGGTGCGACTGCAGCTGAGCCTCCCTTCAGCAGCGCTGTACAACCTCAAAACTGCATTTGGGTGAATGTAAACTGACGTCTCTGCAGTCAATCTAGAGTCCTTCACAGCGTTCTTTCTGCCACTTGACTCGGTCTTTCGTCTCGCCTCGACCGCCATCATGTCTGTCCGAATTCCGCTCGACGCCCTGACGTCGCGTCTCAATTTCTCGGACCGCTTCAACAGTGTTCGCTCGCAATCCCTTGCCCAGCGCTTTGCCAACATCAAACCCATCTCCGAATTCCTAGACTTGAAGAGACTTTCAAAGCCAGCCAACTTCGGGGAGGTACAGGCAAGAGTCAACTACAACCTGAGCTACTTCTCCAGCAACTATGCCGTTGTGTTTTGTATGCTTTCGGTATACTCCTTGCTCACGAACCTGTGGCTGCTCTTCGACATAATTCTGGTTGTTGGCGGCATGTGGGCTATTGGGAAACTTGGTGGTTCGGATCTTGAGATTGGTACATTCAGAGCCACAAGCTCCCAGCTTTACACTGGCCTGGCATGTATTGCTGTCCCCGTTGCGTTCATTTCTTCGCCGATTGCAACCTTCCTGTGGCTCATTGGAGCTACTGGTGTCACAATTCTGGGCCATGCCTCACTCATGGATAGGTGAGCCTCTCTCTGCAGTCACCGATAGTTCTTTGCTAGTATGCGAAAAGCTGACGGACATGTACAGACCTATTGAGAATGCTTTTTCCGAGGAGGCGGTCTAGGTGGTCGGCCGCGAACTCCATACGATATGCCCCCTGGGGGAAGACCACCAAGGGGACGACCGGGGCGGAACAACGACAGATTTTGGGAATTACAACAACAACAACGCTCATGGGATTACGATGCTCGTGTGGAGGAGCTGGACACTGATGATGATTACTCGCCGCAAGGTGTCGAGCTGGACCAAAATTACGGTCAAGGAAGGTATCGTTCAGACGAACTCCGTTTTACTGGTATAGATCTAGGCGGCGGAATGGTCCGTCGAAGGCGTTCAGGTGATGTTTACACTGACGACTTTACCCCATCTGATGACGAGGAAGAATTCGAGTACGATTTGCAATCAGGTCTCATCCGGCGACCGGACATGCAGGTCGCTTACAAGGAGAAGGAGGAATTGCTTGTACAGCGAGCTGAGGAGAGAATTGCGCGTGCCCGGGCTCTGGGTAAGCCCAACGTCAAGTTGAGTCGAGCTGAAATTGATGCTTTGGAACGATCAGCGCGGCACCAAAATCCTCCACATCTCTCCGCGGCTCCAAAAACAGTCCCCAAAAGCAAAAAGGAGGCGCCAGTGGTCAAACGCAAACCCATCGAAGTCCGCAAGGGTTCGAGTGGTACCAATGCTAGATCAGTCAGCGATTCTCCTCACAAAGGAAAATCAGGCGACAGTCGCAGCCGCGGGAAGAACACTGCTGGCAACGACTCTGCACGAGCGAGCCGCGAGAACTCAGTCGCTGCACAGGCATTACCACCAGCGGACCCCGACTACGATCGACGACTCCCTTATCCGCAAGGAAGTAACATGGTTGGAGCCCGTCAAATTGACCGATCCTGGCGGGGCCCTCGTACGAACTCCAATCAGTCTCTGCGGCAGTTATCACAAGTTATGCCACCACTGCAACATCCTTATTACACAAATCGCTATTCTTCGAACCCGGATGTGGTATACAGCAACAGGCCAGGCTCAAACTCGTCACGCTCTTCCCGGCCTGACCCTTCTGAGGTGGACTGGGAACCTCGCGCTCGTTCAGCATCCAGCCTTGTCAACGTCCCTCTGGACCAATTGCCATACCAAACCAACGTCGGAAGAGCGCCACGCTTTGACCCATCGGACCCGCGATTTGCTTCACCTCAGAGACGGGTCGCATCTGGTACGATGGCCGGACAGAATCAGGCTGCTCGTTATCGTCGCCCGCAGGACGAACTGTTCCTCCCTCCTGATGGGCAACCCGAGGTGTATAATTACCTGACACCGGGTACAGAGGATGACAACGATGACGATGACGACGATAGCGACTATGATGCGGGGGTGCAAGTCAACGTTACTGAGACACCAGGGGGTAATTACACGATACAAACGAGGAGTGCGACTGCGGCTGCATCATCATCATCATCACATAAGCAAAAGGGTAATGGTAAAAGTACAGCTGGGAAAAACAAAAAGGGAAGATAAGCCTCTCTTGCGGATCGGGGCTCTCGCATATTCATAGATACTTGATGTGTTCCTAATCTCATGACGCTCGAAGTTCTTTGGTACGCGCACTGAATAAATGACCTGGGCAGATGAAAGGTTCCAATCTACGCTCGAGAGACGTTCCTTCCTACTTCCATATTTGCAGCTGTCCGTAGGCGAGGTGAAATACACGGCCGGAAGCGAAGAGCGAACCACGGAGACCTCAACAATGCGGTTTTCCGAACTTCCACCCTAGCATGAGAGCGATCGCAGATCCGGCCTGATTCGACTAAACTCCGCCAGTACCGCCCGGTAGTTCTTGTACTGCCAAGGTGAACATGCCAGAGTCGACATCACCCCGGTGTCACCAGAGAGCGTGCGGAGCGAACCAAAAGGTACATCAGGGGCACAGTGATGAATACATGTAAATTCCACGGCATCTCCTTCACTGCTGGCTTCGTGCAATTGTAGATGCAGGTAGAGTGGTTAGGCACGAGTCTCACATGTGAACGAGTCTTCGACCACATCCAGTAGCTGACAGGTGGTTAGGGGCGCCATCTCTCGAGGCTGGTTATGTTGCCATTTCTCGTTGATGGTGAGAATCTCGTAATTTAACCATTGCCGTTGATACTGAGTTACAAAGCCACTATGCGAACCTCTGTACGCGCTTGAGACGTATATAGATTCACATGCATGATAGATAGGCTTGTCCTCTCCCAAATCTACTTAATGACCTGTTATTAAGCAAAATGTCCAGTCCCGCTAACTAGCCGCCTGGTTTTGTTCAGCTTACCATATCATCATAGTACTATGTAAGTAAGCAGTGGGGTCGGCCTGTCTTTCCAATGAAGATGAAGCCGGTGCCAACTCAGTCTCAAGAGGATGGGCAAAGGAATGTCGGGTCGCGGTCAGTTTGGTCCATGCTTCCAGAGACCTTCTATAATGAGTCAACAACAAAGCGCTTCCATCGCTTATGTCGCTTGATGGTTGTCTAGCCGCCGAGCCTGGAGCATTGGGAGCCGAGCAATTGATTTGGCTATCCCGCTCGTGGTTCCAGGTTGTCCTCACCGCCAGCTGTCCTGCCTGGCTTCAGCAAACATACGGTGCCATGTTCTCGCTCTGTCGGCTGGGTTGGCGTTGCCTAGGATGGAAAATTCTCCGTTAAAGCACATCTACCAATTGCAGTTCTGCTACATCAGTAGACTTGGGCAAAGGTCGAATTTAGGTTGTTCTGGGTTACACAGAACTGTGCTGCAAGGTCCATTTTTTCATTAGCTTCGGCGGAAGATGCCTGTCTCGCCGAGGTTATTGAGCAGCTGTCAAGATGCTGCTTTGTCGACATCGCCACATCCAGGAGAGAGCTGTGCCAGCGAGCATGGAGAGACGGTGGCAATTCGGGCTCGGAAAAAAGGCCTTGCTGTCTACACCGCAGTCCACAATGCGGCAGGACACAAGTGGTCACATGAGCATGAGAAACGGCACAGTTGTGATTCATAATACGAGGCTCAGAGCCTTGCACAAACCGAACATGCGCGGACGTTCGAGAAAGTTGGAAGGTGGCGCAGGGTCCTGCGTGACTTGGTACTTTTAGCTCTGGGCGAATGCCTTCAGGTGATCTTTATTAAAGCACATGAGTAACTCGTACTGGCAGTCAATCGAACCACAGGGTGGCAAAGTCGATCCCAAAACCCGGTAGGGCTTGCCTCCGGAAAATGCCAAGGGCGCCCGAGGCCGCATCTGAAGTTCCGAAGAGCCGGGACTGGCTGCCCGTCAGTCCCAAAGGGTTCCACCACCCACCAATCAGATCATGCCCGTATTGAAACCCCACCTGCTGTTGTCGTCGTAGTCGTACTCGTACGAGGACATATCAGAGAAGCATTCGAGATCGTCTGGTTCTGCCGCTCTCTGCGAACCGACGTGAATGTTCCAATCCCCGCTCTAGCACAACCTCCGCGCTTCCGTTATCATCAGCACGGCATGAGAGGCATAGTTTATGTTGCATGCACGTGTCTCGAGCGGCGGAGCAGTCCGTCACGAATCCCCGGTCTGTTTGCATAAGTCGCTGGTGTGGCGCACAAATTTCTCAGAGGCTGTGACATTCGATCTGACCAACTCCAGACAAACCGTTATCCAATGTTGCAATGTGGTTGGACCGCTCTACACTGGCGTGCCCCATGCGGCGAGTTCTGGATCTCTCTACGACTATAAGAGCTTGTCACAACCCCGTCGGTATCAGCACCGGTCTGGCCCTCAGGCCTCGTGGCTTCCTGTTTATTCCAGAGCCAACAAACCCGTGCCACACGCAAAATGGGGCCGATATCTTGACACCGTGACAAGAACCGCTGCGCGTTCGTTCTTCGCAAATTTTCAAGCCTTCACGCGGTTCTGCTGAGCGCCTTGGGCTCGTCCTGCTGCCTGCAGCCTGCTTGCTATCATACCAAGCAGAGATTGAACACGTTCGAGCACTGGCTGGAATTGTGCTCATATCTTTGTGGGACAAAATACCCTCCTTATCATCTCCCTGGGTCTAGCGACTGCATAAATTGAGGTAGGATATTGATCACTGGCATCGATCATCCTTTTCATTTATTTTCGCTGTCGCTTTGGCCCACCCAGAACTGTCTACCTTATTTTCAATTCATGTCATCAAATGATAATCCCCAGCAGGATGATGCTCCCAGCGGCGGTGGACGAGGGGACTCGGGCGGACGGCAGTCTTCGAATGTCATTGAGTTCGTCAACAGTGAGGACCCCAATGTCAGAAGTGCTATTCAAAGGCATACGGCCTATCATTCGGCAGCACAACGTCGAGAAGCAAGGTCGCGGCTGCTCCGACGTTCCAGCCAAGCCAGATATCTAGAATGGACAAGACGTCCCACGACAGACACCGACCTCGCGACTTCGTCCGCGAGCAGTGCCAGTTCAGTCTCTATATCCCCTGCGCCCTCACAGCGTGAGCGATCTGAACAACCTACTCGACCATCAAGCCATGAACGAGCATCTAGCTCGAATACAGATCAAGTGTCCGCGGAACCCGCAAGTGGAACAATATCTCCAGCAACCCAAGCAGGGATTTCTACTGACGACACAGTCTTGGATTTCTGTAAGTACCACCCCGGCACGACTCCGGTCAAAGCATGGACAGACTAGTCAACTCATGGACGTCGAAAGACAACTAACGTTGCGGCCACAGTGACCTCAACTTTCTGCGAACATTACCAGTCCAGAGATATTCTCGAATCTTCGATAGCGTTCATGCTGGAAAATGATACTTCACGACATCTACTCTTTGCCTACGCCTATGCGACGAGGAGAGCACGTCGTGCTGCCGACGGAAATCCTCAAGATCAAGTGGGTGCGGAAAGAAACCTTGGTCGCGGGACGAACATATTGTGGAACCGGCTTCAGATGGCAGGGCACGCTAGCTCTGATGCCAATGTGCAGGCCGTCCTTTTGCTGGTGGCATATTCCGCAGACTTTGGTCAGGAGAATGAAGTTCGTCTGCACGCAGATGCGCTGAGGACGATGGTTGATCAGCGCGGCGGTACTGATGCCTTCACGAACAACCCGTCGCTGCAACATCAACTGTTGGTGATTGGAAGCTCGCGCCGGTTTCATTTAACGCTGGACTGCGAGTCTGGTTGCCCGGATCTGCTGCGGTTCCCAGACGAGCTTCGACTGCCTCAAGGGGCAAACCATAGTCGAATGGATACCTAGGCACTCTGCAGACCGGCACAATGTACACTATTGTCGGCGTTGGCGGATTCGTCTTTGAAGGAATTACACTCTGTCCCCTGAGATAGGAGGCTGACTTTGCCTGGAGAAGGGAGCTTTAAATCAGTAACTCGCCGAGGCTGGTTCTGGTGCGAGCTGCACGATGGTGACGACTGTTCATGCCACTACTGTATATAACTTGTTGTAGACATCAGATTCAAGGACTCCGCTGAGCGGTGGTCCTACTATGGTCTACAGTGGCACCGTGCTTTGAATGGCCGTATAAGGTCTTGCGGCTCGCGAGCGTAACGGACTGAGGTTTGACGCAGCCATGGCTACGTAGCCTGCCTGACGTTTAATCTGAGCCCAAAGCTCGCGCAGGGCACCCTAATCCCATGGATTTTGGTCCAAATGGGCCTTCTGGCCGCCAAGGAAGACGACGGCCATGAAATACTTTGCCACAACAATGATAGAAATCGACATGTCGTATCTGAGGCGGAGAACATGTCGTGGAAGTATATCCGTGTACGGTTGATCGCGCACAACATTTAGGCGGATACTACGGAGATGCATGGAGGCAGCCACCCCCAGTCACTCTACAGCGGCGGCAGCAAAATTGGCGGAGGGAGAACCGAATCTATGCATTTCCCGGCGCCTCTTTAACGGATGCGCTCGTCTGCCAACAATTCCGTGTCTTCCCCACGACTGATCTCATCGCATTTGATGCCTGCATTTGCTCTTAATTCCAGTGCCCACGTTCGCAGATAGGCAGCTCTCCCAGCTCAGGACAGACTTCAATCTCCTCTCCCACCTCCCCAGACCTCGTCGCAAGGGTTTCGACTTACTCTGCATTGTGCTGCGCAACCTCGATCCTCCACAAATCTTTCCACTTGCACCCCGCCCTGCGCAAGCCCTTCCGGTACAGCCTATTGATTTGTCGCTACAAGAATTTGAAGCCCAAAGGTCCGTGGAGATCGTGCTTGAGCTGCAGGACTTTCTGAGACTTCTCTGAGCATAGAGTCTACACCAGCCGTCGCTTAGGAGGCAAGATGTCAGGCGAAGCGTGGCTCTACCTGTTGGCCGTGCTAATCAATGCCGTCAACCTGTTCCTTCAAGTCTTCTTCACTATCATGTACAGCGATCTCGAATGGTATGCAATGGGTCCTCGGTGTCTGCCCCTCGTCTGTATATGAAGCTAACCTGACGCCGTTACAGCGACTACATCAACCCAATTGACCTTTGCAACCGCCTCAACACATACATCGTTCCCGAAGCCGCTGTCCATGCCTTCCTCACCTTCCTCTTCCTGATCAATGGCTACTGGCTGGCGCTGATTCTCAATCTGCCTCTTGCCGCATACAACGCGAAGAAGTACGTGTGCTGAAACTGCTAGAAAGGAGCTGCGTGAGGGCAAGTACTGACAGGTCTGCTCGGCAGGATTTTCGAGGGCCAACACCTTCTCGATGCAACTGAAATCTTCCGCAAACTCAATGTACACAAGAAGGTTTGCACAACCTGAAGGTCTGGTAGAGTGCTTGGGTTACTGACATGAGTGTCAAACAGGAATCATTTATCAAGCTTGGTTTCCACTTGATCATGTTCTTCTTCTACCTCTACAGCATGATCGTTGCCTTGATCAGAGATGAATCCAATTGACTTACACAATGATCATGCGGTCGCGATGCACCACGGGAATTACTCATGATCCACAGGCACGCCATGAGACGCGGCAACGGGGTAATGCGGTTAGAAGGAAGATCGCTGGCATGGCCACGGAGATGATAGCGGCGTCGACCGTAAGAGCCAAATGATCAAAACGAAGGTCTCTACAGCACTAAGAGGAGGTGCACGCTGAATGGGGCAAATGGAAATGAAAAAAAGTGCTGGGTGTATATAGACGCCTGCACCACAGTGCTTCTGGCGATGGAGGTGGCAACGCAATGCCGTTGAAGTTGATTGAAGACCTGGTTGTCATATCCCCTGACACACCAGTATCAGCTCGTCCAATACCAGGTCCTCTTCGTCTTCAACAACTCGCGAGGGCATGCTGAAGGTTGATATCCGCCCTAGCCCGACGGCAACATAGACCCGGATAAGGCCTATGTCTACCCGACCCGGCGACTCTAGGCCGGTGTTTGTTGCTTCGCTTCCTACCTACACCATCACGCGTACCAGACTGAATGTCTGCCAGATGCCCTCGACTTATCTTTCGTTGATGAGGGCGGGGATACGAGTGCCATGCCTTGTAACTGGTCTGCTTGGACTTGGCAACATGCAGCATGCAGCAAAGCGCATAGGAGAGCAGCGAACAAATAAAGCGCCATGAGTAATTTCACGTAGGTCAAGCTCAAGTATTTCAAGTGGCCCCAGCGAGGCTGCCACCCCTTCACAAGGCCGGGATGTCCGCAATCTGGGAAGGTGTCCCGAGATGTCTTGGTAGCCGCCTCGCAGATCTCGAAGAGCGACGCCCTGAACTTTCTCCTGGGCCTATTGTCACCTTGATGCACTGTCTGGTTGCCGTCGCACTTCAGTATCAGGCAAAATGTCTGGTCTACTAGGCGGAGGTTACGACTCAAGTGATGATGAGGCGCCCGCGCCGACGGCCAAGGTGTCTCCGGCTCCCCGTAAGACAGTGGTGAATGCGGCGCCAGATGTTTCCACAGAGGTTTGGTCTTTATCGCCCCATCAGGATGCTGGTCAATCTAACAGGGAGCAGGATACCGAACAATTGCAAATCATGCTCGCGAACCCGACGAGTAATGCGCTCACGTACAATGTCACATATGACAACCTTGCACGACCTGTAGAAGGTCCCGCGAACCCATTCAAGTCGACGGCGGGGAATGCCCTGAAGCGCAAGAACGTGCTCACCGGGAACGCGGAGGAAACGACCATATCGGAGAACACGTTCCGGACAGCGCACAGGACATATCAGAGTCTAGGCTACACGCAGGATCCCAGTGTCAGTGGTGCGTTCGTGGGCAATCAGTCAGCCGTCGCAAAATATGGCGGGAAAGATGTGGTGCAGCTACGGCATTCGAAGGAAGACAGTGCAGTCATACGGGCGAAGAGGCAGAAAAAGGGCGACAGCAGTATCGTCGACGGGGAAGGCGCATACCTTGGGCCCTGGGCGAAATACCAAAGCGACGACGTTGCCTATGAGCAGGCAGAAGCTGCAGCCGACCAGGAACTGGGCTCGGACGAGGAATGGGTCGAGGAGGGCATCGCGCCGGCACCGCTTCCTGCGCCACCGAAAGAGGCTACGGCATACGCAGAAGATCTGGCTGGGGCGGAAACGACCGAATTCCACGGGGAATCGGAATTTGATTACCAGGGTCGGACTTACATGCATATTCCCCAAGATCTGGACATCGACCTACGGAAAGAACCCGGCTCGAGCCAAAACTACGTGCCCAAGAAACTCATACACGTGTACAAGTACCACACGAAACCGATCACCTCGTTACGCTTCATTCCGAAATCATCACACCTACTACTATCTTCGTCGGCAGATTCCAAGATTGCACTCTGGGATGCTCATCACGATCGATCTCTGCTTCGCACGTTCTCGGGACACAACAAAGCCATCACAGACACCGATTTCCACCCAACAGGACGTTCATTCCTGTCGGCGTCGTACGACCGCCAGATGAAGCTCTGGGATACCGAGACAGGAAAATGCATATCTCGGTTCACGACAGGAAAGACGCCGCATACACTGCGCTTCCATCCCGAGGGCAATGAATTCATCGCCGGGATGAACGACAAGAAGATTGTCCAATTCGACACTCGCTCGGGCGAGTTGACTCAGGAATACGACCACCATCTCGGTCCGATCAACACACTCACATTCGTGGACGAGGGTCGCCGATTCATTTCCACCTCGGACGACAAGTCCTTGCGCGCATGGGAGTATGGGATCCCCGTGCCGATCAAATTTATCGCCGATCCGTCCATGTATGCGCTTGTTCGCGCAGCTCCACATCCATCAGGGAAATACGTCGCATTCCAGTCCGCGGACAACCAGATCGTCGTCTACGCTGCGGGGGACAAGTTCCGCCAGAATCGCAAGAAGGGGTTCCGCGGGATGAACACCAGTGGTTACGCAATCGATGTGGCCATCTCCCCGGACGGCGGGATCATCTCCAGCGGCGATTCCGGAGGATTCGTATGCTTCTGGGACTGGAAGACGGGCAAAATGTGGCACAAGATCCAAGCTGGAGGGGAAGGGTCTGGCGCCGTCACATGCGTGGCATGGCACCAGCAGGAGAGCAGCAAGGTGGCGACCGGCGGGTTGGACGGCGTCATCCGGTATTGGGACTGAAAAGGCGTGATGCCGGTATTAGCATGCCGCGCGAGGAGAGCTTACTGCAATTAGCGCCAGAGGTGCGATGGCAGCGAAGGAGAGCAAATACCGGGGAGAAGAGGGAGGAGCAGTTCTCGCATTGAAAAGTGCGTCGATCCAGGTCTACTACCTAGGTACACACATATGATACCCCAGAATACACAGTCCAGTATTCACGACACGACACAATTAGTCGGCACTCCGACCGACCAGTCTTGGATGGCATGGCATTTCAATAGACGACAGAGTAATCCTGATCCAGTTCTGGCACAAAAAAATTCCTGCTAGTTTGCCAGAGGCCTCGACCTCGCGATGTCTTCATTTTTAAGTGATTGGGCGAGGCGGAGTGCTGGTCTATACAACCATAATCATGGTCCTAGGCATGCTGCAAATACTGACTCGCACGAGTAGGTATCAACATCCAGTACGTGTCAGATGGGGCGCAGTGCCAATCCTGGTTTTACCTTTCGACTGGTTGCCGCACTGGCGACCCGTCGTGGCTAGATATCAAGGGAGGAGCTGTCGTAGAGTTCAAGGAAAATAGTAAAGAAGACGTATGGGATGGTCTTTGTTCGATCATTCTACATTTTTCGAACGCTTTGTATGTATGTCCGGTCCCCTGTTCCCGTGCACGGGGTACTGTATTCGTACAATGCTTTCTCTCAACGACGCCGAAACCCCGCCCTGGGCCTACTACCCCGGGGGTTGGGGGGCTAACTTGCCATCTTGCTCATCTGGGGAAGATGTCCATGGCGCTCTCGTACCGGTGTGCCGAGTAGGCGGGCTGCTTTCTCTGCCAGGACGACAGATTCTCCGTCGTGATCAGGTTATGGGCATTCTCGACTTTTTGCCAGTCGATCCGATCCCACCACGCGGTCAGGTACTGTCTCTTGCCCAGCAGGCCGTAGTCCCTCATCCATTGATGCTCCCACACGTTGACGCAGAGGATGGGTTGCATGGGCAGCAGGCCCGCGTGGTATCGGTTCCGGTGGGCGCTGAAGTCGCCAAACGAACCGGCTGTGGAGCTGCCGACGGCGATGTCGCGTTCTTCCGGGCCGGACAGTCCCAGACCTGACCGGCCGGACAATTGATCTGAGATCGACGAGCCGGGCCCGAAGGTCGCCATGTCGGTGTCGTCGCGTCGTGGGGCGGCCTCGGGGTAAGGGCTGCCGGCGTTGTATGTCCGCAGGATCTTTAGGTCCTGGCCTGACTCGCCCTTCATCAACCACACAAAGCCGTTGCCAAACATGGCGTCGGCCGTCTCCAGCATCTCCTCTCTCAGCGTCTCCACGTTGCCAAACGTGTGTTCGATGCTCTTCATGGTCAGCAGGCCCGGTTTTCGCGCCGCGGGATCCTCGGTCTCGGTCAGGCACTCCTCCCAGAAGAACCGTGTGAACGTGAGCATGGCCGAGATGTTGTACAGATACGCTTTGTCCGACCGATGCGCGTACTTGACGTGCAGGGCGTGTGTCCCGGTGTCCTCGTCGACAGTCCCCAAAGTGAGCTCGTTGAGCTGGTCGGCCAGGTGTTGGCTGTACTGGACGTATGTTTCTTGGTAGGCTTCAGCGCTGAGGAAGCCGGGGACGCCGTGCCGGGCGAACAGTTCTTGTCGTGCCTGATTCGGCCATATCGGTACACCGTGTTTACATCGTCGTTGGAAGGGTGTCAAGGTGAAGGAGGGAGAGGTGTGTCTCTGGGAAAGACAAAGTCAGTCACCCGGCATGGTCTGGCAGATCGATTGAAACTTACAGGTTGCGTTTGCTTGACAAAGGCGCGCAGCAGCGACTGCGGCCTGGTCGCAGGTCTTGTGATCATCGAAACAGCGTGGTTACAATGCGGCCTCGCCTCGCTGCCCGATGGAACTGGATCGTGTGATTCTCTCAGTGCTCTGCTCTGGTCTGCTCTGCCCTGCTCTGCTCTGGGCCAAATTTCTCGAGACAATGGCTGCGGTCGTCGAAAGGGGACTAGTGCCCTGCCTGCATCTGGCCAATCCGCAAGCTCAGACAGTTCCACCAATCAGCGGGCTCGCTTGCTTTGCTGGGCCTCGCGTCTGAAACTCGTCGGCCACCTCCACGTCGACGCCTGCTTTCGATCCCAGTCACCATCTCTGTCGACAACCTATCGTTTCATATTGATCGGGTCTTTTCGCGCGATATGGCGCCCTGCATTGCGGCGCATGGTTGCGCATGATCTCCATACGCGGCAAGCCACTGGCTCTCCTCGAAGCTTCTCTCGAGTACACTTCATACAGACTGCATATTCATAGTACCACGAGATCGTATGGACATACAAGGGCCAGAGCTCTACATACGTTTTTCGCCGCCTGATGGATGGGCCCACGATCAGCTTCGGGCCCTTCTGCGTCCTGCTTTTGTTCTATAATCGGCGACATCTCTTTGTAAGGCTTGTGGTGGATGAGTACTTTCCTTTCCCTTTGTCACTCGCCCATCGACTCTACTCTCAAAGCTGTTTGTTTCCTCATTCTTCGTCTGCGACACCTATTCTTGGGGCCTCCTTGGTGATCGTTCAGTCCTGGTGACTATATTCTTTATATCCTGTGACCTTTGGCCACGCAGGCTTCTTGCTTATACCCCCCCGTTTGCTTGCTTATTTGCTTCTTTTCACGGGTATCAAACCCAGTACATACCACTCCGCCATGCATATCTCAAGCCTTTGTACAGTGGCTACGATCCTGATTGCTGCGGCAATCATCTCACCCACATCCGCTTTTGACAGCACATTACCTCCACGGTTACCGGGTCTATCACGGAGAGAAGACAACTCCTGCTCTGCAGTCGATCCGAAGTTGCCCAGTGGCTTTAGTTGCCCGACCGGCAGCAACTGCATATCTCTGGATGCCTCATCATCGGCACTCTGCTGCCCTGAATCAAGCTCATGCGACAACATCCAGACGATTTCGTGCGATGTTGCATCGCAAAATGCCACGTCGAACCCGACGGCTGGGATTTTCACAATAAGATTGGGCGATAAATTGCCGACATGTGGGACCAAGTGTTGCCCGTTCGGATACAACTGCGTCAGGGACGGCGCTGGAAATTCAGTCTGCACCATCATCAAGAGCACCAGCATCGTCGGAAAGACGGAGCCTTCCTCTGGTAACACGTCCAGCTCTTCAACAGCCACCTCGTCCGCAACGAGGACAGCCACATCGACAGCTTCGACAACAAGTTCGACAACCAGCTCCAGTGCAGTCAGTGCCTCAGCCGCACAAGCCACGCCACGATGCAACAAATTCCCGATTGGCGTGTTCTTGGCAGGTCTGTTTCCCGGCATGTTCGTCGGGGCGTTCCTGATGCTCGGCTGGGTGATTTGCAGTGGACGACACCGCAAGCCCAGCTCTCGAAGCTCCACTGGCTCGTCCATCTCGTACAAACCCACCATATCAGACCCCATTCCAATGGCAGGTGGTGGCGGGTTAAGAACAGACTTTCTGCGCAAGACCACTGACCGAGCCAAGTCCATGTTCTCAACCCAGGGCAACCGCAACAGCGAGCAGTATGTGAACAATTGGAAGATGCCTACACCGCCAGTTCCAAACAACGTCCCCGTCGCGCCTGTTGGTGTACCTGTGACGCCGGAGCGAAGACTTCCGCTCGATTCAGACACGGAAAGCATCAAAGTCTACTCTCCACCGAGCGCAACCATGCGACCACCCAACGCTGCGCACATCGCACCTCTGAGAGGCATGGCTACTCAACGACTACCGTTCCAAAACAACAGTAACAACAACATGGGCAGTCCGTTCCAGACCCCTCCTAACAATAATACCTCCACTAATCCCAACAGAATGAGCGCTACACTGCGGGATGAGCGAGGTGTCAGCGTCTTCTCCGAGGGGTCGGCGGAGAATGACGGGCCGACACTGACGCCCGCACGGTATGACGGCGGCTTCAATCCTACGAAGCGAACAGAAGTCAGCCGCCCCAACACCACCTTCACGGAAATGTTGCACGAGGCAGGATTCCCTGACCCGATGAACGGCACACCGGCTGTGCCGAAGATCCCTGAGGGATATACGGGCAAGAGTCGTTTCTGATTCGATCACTTTTGACGAGTTTCATTCCTTGTTCGCTACGACTGAGCAAGCCTCTGATGGCAGCGTGCTACGTTGGGATTTGAGCCACGTGCATTGTTGGTATGAGGGATTTTGATATCTACATAGATACTATCGCTACTCTGGCGGAACGGGGTAGCGTCAGAGATAATGCAAACTAATTCTAACAGGAAGTCACCTCTCAAATCGTCTACCATTCTCTTCTTGTCATCTCCGTTGATATCCAGCCATGATCTCGTGTACTTAGGTGTACGACACTATGCATGTCATATTGTACCGTGGTTGGGCTCCATTCCGCATGCCACATGCTCAGCCTCGTCCTGTCGACTGTACAGCCTCGTCACTTTCCCCGCATGAGGCTCTGCCCTATGCCGTAATTTCTAGAACCAAATGTCCAGGCTTGTGACGCTCCACGGGGATCGTCTCTGCGCAAGCAATACGTCCAGGTCTCAGTTCACCACCTCAGCCCATCTTCGCTCACACATCCACTCCACCTCCTGGCGCGCACCCTACCGAGTAAGACAATATGGCCGACCGCGCACCCTCGCCTACCCCCTCCGAACGTGCCCGCAAGGACGCCGAAGACCGCAAGCGCGAAGAAGCAGAACAAGCCACCCTGCCGTACAAGTGGACGCAGACGCTCGAAGAGGCCGAAGTCAGCGTGCCCATCCCCGGTAACCTAAAGGCCAGGGACTTGGTCGTCGACCTGAAGAAGAATCACATCAAGGTCGGGGTGAAAGGCCAGGACGCCATCATCGATGTAAGTCACTTTTGTCTACATGAGTTGTCCTGATGCCCTGATGCCCTTCCCTGCGTGAGACGGTCGAGGAAGCGAAGATCCGCGTCTGGTCGGCACTCGCACTCCCGATCTATGATCTGCCATTCTAACGCTTGATAACTCCCGATCTATGATCTAACGCTGAATAACTCCCCCAGGGCGACTTCCCGCACCCGATCCAAGTCGACGACTCGACGTGGGTGCTCTCGACCAAACCCGACGGCGGCAAGGAGATCCTCATCACGCTGGCCAAGGCGCGCGGCTCCAACTGGTGGGCGCACATCGTGACGTCGGCGCCCAAGATCGACACCACCAAGATTGTGCCGGAGAATTCCAAGCTCAGCGAGCTGGACGGCGAGACAAGAGGCATGGTGGAGAAGTACGTGCTGTGATGTGACTTGATCTTTTTGTTAAATGCCTTTTTCAAAAACCTGTCCCTCCCCTACCCTTGAGCTCCACCCTCTCTCAAGGGATCGGACGGGCCCGACCACTAACTAACGTTGGGGATAGGATGATGTACGACCAGAACCAGAAGGCCATGGGTAAACCGACGAGCGACGACCAGAAGAAAGATGACATACTCAAGAAGTTCATGAAGGAGCATCCCGAGATGGACTTTTCAAAGGCTAAAATCGGCTGATCGAACGAGCGACTGTGTGGAAGGCGATTGTGACACCAGCCGACGTGAGACTGGATGAGACGCCACAATATGCTGTCACGTCTGAGACGGGCTCACGGGCGTGTTTATCCTGACCAGTTTTTCCTTCTCGCTGTGTCTGCAGGTTAGCGGCATGAATATGCTTCATGTACAGGAAAGGCGTCACACGGATGATGAGAAACGATTACACCAACGCATAGCGAATGGAGTTGACGCATCCATCTGGCAGGGGAACTGCACCATGGTTTGCTTCTTCAGGTGTAATGTGGAAATGGAATTGCTCTTCAGAGCACGGTCCGTCAGATATCGTTATCAGAATTTGCCCTCCTCATCAGCCATCACTTGAACAATACTCCGTAGATGCGGCCTTTTTCATGCTTGGCACAAGGCGAGCCGGGGAGCTAGCTGTCGATGTGCTCTGTCTCAGAAACACCGGCAAGCCACATGTCAGCTCCAGAGACTGGACCATGCCATCACTTGCGCAGAAACAAATATATCAGAGCTCATCTCTCTTCTGTGACGCGCCAGCCTCCCTCAACCTCCACATCATGATCCCGTGTCTGGGTACCTCCGCGCTCAGTAACCCTCCACCTTGCACACTGCCAGCTGGAGTGCCCATGAGAAGCGGATTAGTCTGATTCAGACCTAGCGCCCAGCTGGTCTCGCTAGCATTGTAGTACCCCGTCGCATTGGCCACGGCAAGCGTCCCGTTCAAGACTCGGGCAGCCACGTCGCGTGGCATGACTGTCTGATTACCCCAAACGTCGAACAGATCCCAGCTCTTTTGCGCGTTCTCGTTGGTGCGAATGCCCCCGAAGACTTCGACCAGGCTGTAACTCATGGTCCGAGTGTTGTTGCCAGCATTGATAAAGGCCACCACTTGATCGCCTCCAATGAGGGAACCCTGCCAGACTTGCACCTCCCCAAAGCCCCACTCATCCTTGTCATCCACTTGTTGTCTCACGGTTCTCGCTACGGCGCTCACGCTCGGATCCTGGCTGATCGCCAACACCGCTGGATTCATCAATATCGCATAGTCTTCGGGGGACAACTGGTCCAATTTGTTTCCCCTAATGAACACTGCTATTAGTATCCCGACAACTTCGAGCGCGAGGAGACGAGCATATTGGGTTGCGGGTAACGGCAAATCCAGGATCTTAGGAGTACTCACATGATCAGCGGAGATTTGATGGCGGCCCACATGCTAAAGTGGACCTTGTATTCGTCGTAGGTCATTCCCCCGTTGCCAACTTCCAGCATGTCGAGGTCGTTGTAATACCCGGCTTGGTTCTTGCTGCGAATGAACGAGGCCTTCCCAAGGATATTCATGACCGAGCAACCGTACCCAGGTATCTGACAGTAGTAGTCGTCCGGACCGCAGGGGCAGGATGTGGTGGGCATACTGAAGCTGTCCATGATGTCGCCGGAGATGCGGGCACTGTTGGCAATGGTGCTCGCCCATTCCCTGGTACGTTCCACACAAACATTAGGACTGGTTATTCGCCAAGCATGTGTAAATATAAGGGATGACGGGGGTAGGTAGCAACGTACCAGGGCTTATCATCTCCCCAATTGCACAGAGAATACACAAAGTCCCTTCCCGTGCTGTTCAGGGCATTCGACATGGCCGCGTACCGATCCTGACTTAGCTTCGGAGTCCCCGACAGACCCTCGTTGTAACAATTGTCGTATTTCAGATAGTCAGCCCCCATGGACGCCCACCATGCTGCATCTTGGCTCTCATATCCTAAACTACCAGGATAGCCCCCACAGGTAAACCGACCCGCGGAGCTGTAAACGCCAAAGTCCAGACCGTAGTCGTGCAGTTGGCTTGCTATGTTTTGGAGTCCAGAGGGAAATTTGGCCGCGTTGGCAACAAGTGTGCCGTTGGAGCTGCGATTGAGCTCCGTCATCGCATCGTCGAATATCACGACCCGGTAGCCCAGGTCGCGGAATCCAAGAGACACGAGCCGCTCCGCATTGTTGAGTATGGTGCTCTCGTTATACGCCAAGCCATATGCATTGTATGTGTCCTAGAGCATGTCAATGAGATTTCATCCCGAGCCAGGACATGCAGAGGCGCAGTGGGCGTGAGGGTGGAGTCATTGTTGAAGCTTTTGAAGGATGTAGCATGTCTTTGCGCGGCCACAGGGGTCCTCTTACCCAGCCCATCTGAGGTGTTTGAGCGAGGCCGTTGTAACTGAGGCTTGCTGCAGCAACAGTTTCAAGCAACGCAGCAGCCAGAAGCCATTGAGATATCGGTGATGACACTTTGAGTTTAGCTCCCATCATGTCTCGAGTTGATGTGCGGGTTCAAGAGAAAGTAGGAGTGAGAAAGAGCAAAGCGGGAAGCAGGAAAAGAGGGAGACTCTGGGAGTCATGACCCGCACTTATCATTCACAGTGTAACTTGAATGCATGAGCAGGTTACATTCAGGAACCGTGCTGTAGATTGTTGGAGCTTTCCATTGAATCTCCATCCAGATGAATCTCGTGTCGAAGCACAGCATCTGATTCCCCGCAATCCTGGAGATTCGTCGTATAGCTAAACAGTCGATCTACATTTAGTGACGCCATGGCTGCATAAGACGCATGCGCTGCCCCTTGCTTGAAGCTTGTCCATGGCCCCTTTTTGGCAAAAGAGCGGTGCTGGTTCGGTGTATTACCCGGCATAAGTACGGTATCGCAAGGTTTGTGGGTGAAGCCCGCCGCGGCTACAACCCAGAAGACATATTTACCGCAAGCGGCGGAAAACGCTGAGGAAATGCCATTACCGTCTCAGCTGAGGTTCAGATGTTGCCAACATGATGTGACGGTAGCTCCCTTCACGCCGATAGCCACAATATGCCCTGATCGAGGTATAGCCGCCGTACGAACGCGATTCGGCGCGGAATTGCATAGGTTGCCTCCGTTACCTCGAGTCTCGATCTCGCTCAAAGTGGTGGGCACTTTGGTGGAATGGACTGGCCGTCTGCGGGTGTACCGAGTCCTTGTCTTCAGACGTCGACTCGTCACGTAAAATGATCCCGCTAGTGTCGAAGCAATATAGCATGTCTGACGGTTGTGTTTGAGGAGCTCAAGTCGGCCTTTTGAACCCCATCATAGCCAGGTTGATGTCAGGTGGCGGCTTCCTTTGCAGGGATTTGGGGGACTCCATTCCGAGAGAGCTGCCGTCTGTCGCGAGCTCCGGCTCTTCGTAAATACTGGCTGACTCGTTTGCGCCAAAGAAACCGTCCCACAAGCCTCGTTTACACACCAGAGCTCCTACTAATACAAGTGGCAGCTGCCAGACGCTGGCCCAGAAAAGGCCTCGAGCACTGCCCCCGGCGCCCTGCTGCTTCCAGAAGCGCACTGCTTCTCGAGCCATCCATACGTTGCACGCTGTACTGACGAGGAGAAAGCCCGAGTCGACATAGCCTCCCCAATATAGAGCGCCACATATTGGAAACATGGCAATGGAATAGCGAAGCGCCACACGAGCGTTTCGAGCGGGGTTGGTCCAGGCCAACATTTGATGACCAGCATTCTGATAGTCGGCTCGGATGGTATGTGATAAAGACATGAAATGTGGAAACTGCCAGGCGAACAAGAGGGCAGCCAGAGCCCAGCCCCCGAGCGAACCCTCGGAAAACAAGAGATCTTGCCATGAATGGTGTTCCGACGTCGCTACCTCACCGGCTGCCGCGCACCAACCCATCAAGGGAGGAATGCCACCAACCACAGCGCCAATCCAGGTATTGGCTGCGGATATCCGTTTCATCGGGGTGTATACCCCGGCGTACAAGAAGATGTTGAGAGCACTCAGACCGGCGACTGTGGGGTTTGTACCGAAACCAAGGAGTAGCAGCCCAGAAGCGCCGCAGAGGAAGGCAAAGACTGCCGCGGCCCGCGGTGAGATCAACTGTCGTACCAGAGGTCTGTTTCTCGTCCGAGACATCAATGCGTCATAACGTTGCTCGAAGAGCATGTTCAGAGTATTCGCACATGCAGATGACAAGAAGGTGCCGGAGGTCAGGAACAGCAAAGTCAGTGTCGAGGTCGAGAAAGTTGAAGTCACAGGCGATGCCATGGAAGATAAGATGTCAGGTATAGGATACAGACTGTAGGCACTCGTGGTTGTAAGGACCACGAGCAGGGAGAGACGTGGCTTCGAAAGGGAGAGGTAGGTAGCCATTCTCCGTCGAATAAAGGCAGATGTAGGCATCGCGGTCGCAGCAGTCGCCAGCTGAGATGAGGCATCTAGAGGGAGCGGTTCCTCTGAAGGGTTCAAAGCAGCTTTCCGCCTCTTCCTCTTCCTGTGTGGGAGTACATCGTCTGTTTGGGCGTGTTGGACGGCTTCGAGAGAACCCGTAGCGGCAGTCTGGCTGCGCGCTGGCTCGATCGCGCTCCGGGATTCCTGTTCGATGGCCGGAGCTTTGGTGGAAGCTTCTTGTTCCCTAGTTCGTATAGTGTTGAGAGCCACCTCTTGTTGCCCGCTTCCTGATGTTTCTGCAATGGTGCGGACCGCAGCCAGCATTCCACTTTTGATCCATCCTCTGTCGATTGATGTGTTTTCAGAGAAATAGTCTTGTACAAAGTTCTGGGAATGGGCAACGCTTCTTGCTGCCTTGTCGGTAGGTACGAAGCCACCGTGAAGCTTCCTGGTTGATTGCCACGCAGTTCGCAGGAGCCCGCTTGTCCTGGATGGTTTGCGGATGGATCGCGTAAGGCCAGCTGAACAGACACGAAAGCCACAACCAGACAGTCGCCCAGCTGCCGGAGCAGCGGCCATAACGGCGGTGATTCAAATGGGCGCAGGGAGCGAGACGCGCATCGAGTTCGTGGTGTGACAGTGACAAAGTGAAGTCGGAGTGAGTGAAATGTGAAATTGATCGGAGCTTCCAATGCGGAGACCATTCACACCATTCAATGCCTCAATACCTTCTCGCTTTCCACCATCCACCATACAGAATATGACTATGCAATGAAGTCTACGAGATGGCCGAACTCACAACAGACCAAGTCAGATCTCTTGATCTGACCAGGCAGAGATTGCTAGCCCTTCATCAATCGCTTGTCTCGCTCAGAGACAGCCTGGGAAACGCGAATCCAATCCCTTCCTTGTACACAATAAAGTCCTGGTCAGAAACAGATGCAGATAGCTAACGCATGCCAGGCCAGAGTTGCAAACTCATGCACAACTCATATCCAATAATCTCCAGACCATCACCTCGCAGCTGGGAGAGGCTGGCGAACTGTTTCGATCCACTGTCGCCTTCCCCACGCCACAATTTCCCGGCGTGAAAAGCCAGAATATCTTGGATGCATTACTGAGGAGTAAATTTGAGCCGAACATAGAGGACTGGGTCAAGGAAGGAGAAGACATTGCTGCTCGACAGCGAAAGACTACGTCTCGTGGACTCTCAGAAAGTGAGCGTAACGATTTGTGGCAGTGGGCTCCTGGTGCAGCAAACTCAGCTGCAAGAAAACAGACTTGGGGTGGAGACTACACGCGGGCTGAAATGCAAGGAGGCATTGAGAATGTAGTGACTGGTCTACGAAGGCAGCTGGTTGAACCCCCAGAGGGCGAGGACGAGGAGGAAGCCGACGATGACGACGATGAGTATGAGGTAACCGATGAGGAGGGAGAAGAGGGAGCCGAGATGGACATCGAGAAGCAGCAACCGAAGCCCGAATCCAAATCGATTCCAGAAACTCAGACAGCTCCGCCTACACCTGGTCTGATGCCTCTCGCGAGTATTCACAAATTCATGACGACGGGACGATGACAGCAATTCCGGACCAACATCCCTACGACTGGATCACTGCTGGATACTTCCCCAACTGGACCATCCAACTTTCCTGTTCATCTCTGTGCCCTCGTGGTTCTCATTGAGCGAGCCCTGTCCTGCGTCAGAGGCCATCAAGTCGTCATCCCAAAGGAAGGAGACCCACTCATCATCGTCCGGGGAAAGGATCATGTTCTTCTGCGTGATCCACTTCACTTCCACGATGGCCCTCGGTAACACCGATCTGACAAAGTTCGAGAAGCCGATTTTGTCGTCACCGGTCAGTTGGTTCGCAACAGAGACACTGGCTTCGATAACAATACTCAATCTTCGAAGCGATCCGAGATAAGCAAGGCCCTCGGAAACCCATGATGCTGTGCATGCGAACGGTGTACGAGGCTTCGCATAAGCTTGCGCCGCAGGAGGAACCGTCAGAATGTGCAGCAGTCCGACTAAAGAGTCTGCTTGTGCTAGGAGCAGGTCTCTTGTGGTGATGAAGATGTTCAACTCTCGAAGGTCGCTCCCACCGGAGACACTTGTGCCATATGCCTTCTGCGATACCGAATACCCTTTATCGAATGCTCCGTCCCAGCTGTCTGGCACAAACGTTTGTTGATCGGTCGAGTCGGAGACGTCAGCTATCAATCTTAATATCGACCTCAGCGACCACGCTTCCGTCACACTTGCGAGAAGATGGAGCTCGAGCTTTCTGACGGCGCGTCGCTGAAATGGTGCCAGTCCTTCGAGAAACTGCTTCGTTGTCGAGGTTGAGGAACCCATGACGGCCTGACAATTCACAGGATTGAGTTGAAGAGGCAACAGCCGGGTTTCTTGATGCAGTTGCCGACATAAGAGGAGAGCTTGTACATTGGTGCTGCTCGTCCGGGGGCCTGCCAAGGCTGGTCTGGGCAATTTATACCTGTAACCCTGCCAGGGCCGTCAGTTGCAACGCTCGCAAGATCAGGACAGATGAGGACCTTACGACAAGTCCGCAGAGACTGATTGAAGCGGATGGCTTCTGTGGCGGATACACTGGAGATGCTGAATTCGTGAAGACATGCTCGAATATTCTCTGTCGGAGCTCGAACGGCAAACCGAGGAGTGGTGATACCTGGGAACCCATCATGTCGGGTGCGGAACGGCTGCCGTAGAAGGCCAAAGGACTGGGGACTAGCGGTATATCTGCTGTCCTCAACTGTGGTGGGCGTGTGATACGGGAGGTCGGTGTGCTATGCTGTGCTGTGCTGTGTGACGGCTGCCACTCAGGTCTGGATCCAGCTGTACACGACAGAAGTAGGGGCACGTCCAGTGCAGTCGGAGTCGCACAATCCTAACCCAAGGGGCCCCAATCCATCGACGACCCAATAAGTAGCAGCACGCCCAGTGCAGTCGGGTCACGCAGTGTTGACCACAAGGCGTCCCATCCAGCGACCAGGAAGGACAACGGTCTCTTTGGCTCCACTATACTACTGTATGTGACCCTCCGCCATGCCCCCTCTGCTAGTGTCAGCTCGCTATCCATACCAACATGTCCGTGGATGTGTACGCGTTCGTGTACGTGTCAGTGTCAGTATCAGTTCCCGTATCATTATAACCAATACCCACACCGCTGGCGTCCCGGCGAGACTGCCTCTTCTGGGCAATGCGACGAGATTCCATCATCCGAGTCCACATCAATACCAATCCCTCCGTAGTACTGTATTGAACCGCGAGCAACCACGATGGACCAACAAGCTTTGACAGAAATTAACGTGGAGAGAACAATACCATATAGTACTACCGAGAGCCACCAATGTTTGACACGATCGATGCTGTGTACAGATTACATACCTGGTACTGTGTAGTCTATTCGCAGTCCTCTTGCTTCAGTACCATACGCAGTAGGCCAGTACACGGGAGGGAAAGGAAGGGCCAGGGGGGTGATCTCGTTGATTACGAGGACGAGGACGAGGGCGAGGATGAGTACACGTACCAACCGATCCATCAGAGCGCTTATATTACATACCTCCCGTAGAAGAAGGGTAAAGCGCGGGCGGGTCTGAAGATGTATGCACAGTTTGTAATTATGTATCGCGTCGCATAGGTCCCACGGCTGATGATTTGAGTTCTCGGAACGTACAAGGCGGCCAGAAATCCTCGAAATAAGTATACTACGTCGCGAATGTGGACGCCTTGACACCCCCTTACTCAAGCACCGCCTTACCTCAGCTTACAGGACTTTAAGTATCTTGGTGACACCATTTGATATACTGTACCAGGTAATTACGGAGTAGTTGTGGGCAATAAGTCTGCCCGGGCACTCTGGACGGGCTGGCCTCAATTAGGTAGGTACTCAGTACAGCTCTGTGTGCGAGTATGAGTGCTCCCCCATGCGAGAGACTGGTATCCTGCCTCATCTTCCTGTGTCCCGGAACTATTGTCGGCTCGAGCACTTGACGGCCTAAGACGTATACTGTATGTCGTCCTTTCGTACGGAGTGTGCCAAGTGTGAAGTGTGATATGTGGTATGTGATGCGTGATATTATGCTAACCTCGTATACCTCGTACCCTACTGAAGGGCTCTCCCTCGGCTATATGCGAGATGGCAGGGCATGGCAGTCCACGAAGGATGCTAATCGGTTTTCGTATTCACATTAGTCACCTACAGTACTCCGTACAGGAGATCATACTCCCGAGTGCCGAACGAAGCAAGGTACATACATACAGTACCTCGTACAGGACCACAGGATCCAAAATTACTCTCTGTACTGCACAGGACTTACAGTATCTAGTAAGCCACGGCGCCCCATCTCCACCCCGTCCACACGGCAATGACAGTAGTCCGTACTGTGTAAGGTAATCATGCCAGGTCCGTTCTTTAGTGCCCTCTCGCCTCACTCATGCGCTTGAGATCGTCGAATGGGGGCCAAAGTTCCGGATGTCCATCCCTATTCTTCACGGACAAAAGGTCCCACGCAGGACGTATTTTCGTGACTAAATACCTTATGTAGCACCACTCTGTGGATATCGTTCGATCAATCAATGAGTCAATGACACAGGCAGAGGCAGAAGCTTCCATTTGCTCTGTCAGTACTGTACCTGTACCTGCACCTGTACCTGTACCTGTACCTGTACCTGTACCTGTACCTGCACCTGTACCTGCACCTGTACCTATACGTAATTATGCCGACACCCAGGCTTGGATGGAGAACGGAGACCCCGACTTCGTCCCATCTATGGTATGGCAAGAATATATGGACGATGAATGCATCCGGAGGGACACTTATGCTCAATATGCTTATACACAAACACTGGACAGATTCTCGAGCTGCGGGAATAGATGGTCGTACATAACGGAGTGCAGGCTATAGCATGGCTTTGGGCATGAATTTCATGGCTTGCCTGACGCCGAGGTCCTAAGAAACCCGTACGTCAGTGTCATCGTCAGAGCGAAACCTCGGACAAGTGCGTGTGGCTGGGCGTCGCTGGAACGAACCCGCCCCAAGCTCAAGGACAACCTGAGACTGGCGTGGGGATATGATGACTACTAGAAAACACGAACTTAACGCAGGCAATGGGAGAACATACCGCGAGGATCTCCTCGGTCCCTCCGAGGATAGCATCAAACTTGTACGTCCTGTGGAACTGCTCGACGAAGCGGCCCATGCCCGTCTGCGTGATGCCCCTACCACCAAAGATATTGACCGCATCGTCAGCGACATCATGGGCACACCGCGTGGCGTAGCTCTTCAACAACCCGATCGGCCCGCCCAGGAGCTTGTTCTGCTGCGCGTACGACATGTTGGTCATCTGGAAGGTGATGGTCTCGAGCCACGACTGGCACGCCTCGGTGAGGGAGATCATCTTGGCGAGCTTCTGGCGGATGACGGGCTGCGAGACCAGGGGTTTGCCAAACACGATGCGCTGGTTCGACCACTTGAGGCATTCCTCGACGACGGTGCGCATCCACCGGATCACCGAGCAGGCCATGGCCCAGCGCTCGTGGTTGAAGTTGGACATGATGACGATGAAGCCGTTGTCCTCCTTGCCGAGCAGGTGGTTGACCGGCACCTTGACGTTGTCGAATTGGATGAACGTCGTGGCCGCGGCGGTCGAGTAGGCCGTCTTGATCCGCTTGGTCTCGACGTTGTCGTCGCGCGGCACCAGGATCACGCTGAAGCCTTTCTCCGTCTTGCACCCCGTGACGAAGTAGTCGGCGAACATGCCGTTGGTGATCCATTTCTTCGTGCCGTTGATGCTAGTTACATTCAGTCGGGGCTCGCCCCCGGATGAGGCTGGGGGATGGGTCACGATACTCACATGTAGTGTTTTCCGTCGGGGGTTTTGGTCGCAGTCGTACGCAGTCCCGCCACGTCGGACCCGGCGAACGCCTCGGTGACGGCCAGGCACATGAACTTCTTGCCGCTGAGACACTCTTCTGTCACCTTCTCCATCAGCTCCTTGTCGTTGGCCCAGTTTCTCACGGCCGTCAATGAAATCATCATGCCCGCCATGTTCCCGTCCTGGAAGCCGCGCGCCAGAGCACGGGATAACTCCTGCGCGACGATCAAGTCGTGGAAGTAGTCGAACTCGTCGGGCTTGACCCCTCCGATCAGCGGACCGCGGTTTTGCAGGTGCTTGCCCGGACCCAGGCGCATGGCGAGTAAGTTGTTGGCGGCCATCTTGTCGACCAGTTCCTGCGAGATGTACGTCCCGTCGGCTTCCTTCTGCTGCGCTTCCGGGTAGATGTCGCGGTCGACAAACTCTCGCACCGCCCGCTGCAAGGCGCGGTGCGAGTCGTTGTAATACGGGGATTTGAACTGGGGAGTCAGCCACAGAGGCTCTGCATACGGCACCAGTGACAGATCGCCGGGCTGATGGTCGATGACTTCGGGTTTCTCGCCTTCGATCATGCCAACGCATAGCTCCGAATACTTCTGAAGGACTTCATGCCGGTGGAGGTTGTAGAATGCCGTGGTGGCGTCCTGGCCGGCGACTTGCTCGAGGACGTAATTGCCTCCAGGGTGAGCGTCGAGGAAGTCGCTCAAGTCGTACACTTTATGATCGATCTTTGATGGGTCGAACTGTTAGCGGGCGACGAAGAATGGACAGGCTGGACAGGCTGGACATATTGGGTAGGTAAGAGGGAAGAGCCTCGCTTACAATGCACCATAAATCGTCAGCAGAGTTGTGCTTCGCGACGTCCGCACGCGAGTGCACCTTGCTCGGGATCGTCTGGGACGACTTTTGCGCCATGTTTGCACTGCGAAATCAAGGTGCTTCTCCTGCGCTTTAGAGCAGAAGGTGCCTCGCGAGCTCGACTAAAAGGCCCAGCAAATACCAGTTATAGGGCTGGCAGCTTGAAGAACTCAACAGCTTCTGATAAATTAATTAATTATACTCTGGCCGAACCGACAACTAAGTGTCCCCCGGATTTTGTCGTGGCGATGCTCAACCTCGGTTCGAAGCTGATCATGAAGCAGCCATGCGACTCATCCTGGCCAATCGCCTACCAGCAGCTTACCGCCAATTGCAAGGCCGTCGATTGGACAGCTTAACCGTGCGGGCATGGGGCTGAGTCGACGAGCATCGGACATGGTTCGGCATTGGCATCCTGTGCGGTTGTTGTCCTTCACATCGGACCGGCCTGGCGCTCAGCGGCTGGCAAGAGTCTCCAGATTAAAACAAGAATGGTGGCATATTATCAAGGATCAAGATTGCGAGTAAGGGCCTCGAAACAGATGAGTAGTCAGTTGTGAGGCAAGACACCATGGTACGAGACCTCGGCCGGTGTCTTAGAGTCATTGATTATCTGCGTCGCGGTTATCACATCACAGCTAGCTCACTCGAGACCCAAAAACCGAAGTCGAGACGCCTTCACACCCATTACCGTCGCACTTGGACTGCAGTGTCACGCTTGTGCTCGCTTTAACCTTGCCGTAACCACGTCTACCAGCTCGACCGTCGGCTGAACGTAGGGAGTAATGGTGTCTCGCACCAATGTCCGCTGTTCAAAAGCATAAGCCAACCCAATGAGAAGTTCCTCGCTGAAATGAGGTCCCATGAAACTGATGCCGAAAGGTAAGTTGGGCGCCGTGGCGTTCAGGTTGTTGAATCCATTGGGCGTGATCTCGGTATCAACAGGGAACGCCCCTAGCGGCACTGTGATGACTGGCGAGCCGATCAACGCAGGAAAGTTGGGACTGAATTCCGTAGGCAGCACCAATGCATCCAACGAGTAGTTTGCAAGCGCGCCAGTAACTCCCAAGGGACCAGCCAGATATGTATTCATGGTATAGTTGGACCAGAACTCTGGCGAGGTATTGTCATACCCAAGCTCCAACGCAGAGTCCCAGATGAGCGTATCCCGCTCAGGCCAATCCTCAAGGGCAGACATATGTGTGAAGTTACGGACATCTTCCAAGTCATACACCTGGTTGGGGTTGTGCGACAGCTGTGAAAGGTACTTTGGCAGGTCGGACACGAAATCAGCTTCGAGGACGATGGTGGAGTAGTCGCCCTCGTTGAGAGCGTCGTACCCGGTAAAGTTGGTATTGTCGACGATGATGGCTCCCGCAGAGCGAAGCACGTCGAGAGCTGCATCGAAGGCGGGGACGATAGGTGCGGCGATGGAGTCATAGGAGAGGTCAATGAGGTTGCGCGGCACGCCAATGCGCTTGCCGGACAAGGCACTGAAGTTGCAGGCTGCAACGTAATCGGGGATAGTGTCGAATGGTATTGCGTCAGTGTAATTGTCGTAAGGCGATTTCCCAGCAATGGCGGCGAGAACGTAAGCAGCATCTTTCACTGTGCGGGCCATAGGCCCAATGGTATCCTGGTGCTCAGAGATGGGGACAACAAGGTCGCGTGAGGTAAGGCCGACTGTGGGCTTGATGCCAACCAAGTTGTTAACGTCTGATGGACTCAAAATGCTGCCGTCTGTCTCGGTGCCCAGAGCAGCGAGAGCCAGCCCCAATGAAGACGAGACACCACTACCGGAGCTGCTGCCGGAGGGATCTTGACCGGGAAAGTAAGCACCGACTGTCTGGCCTGCAATCGCCGACCATCCGTTACTGGTGTTATACGATCTAATACATAGTCAGAGTCAAGTTGCCGGGAAACGACAATAGTACCGGGAGAACTCACCGATAATTCGCCCATTGACTCAGGTTTGTTTTCCCCAATATGATTGCACCGGCTTTCCTCAGCTTTGCCGCTATTGTGCTGTCCCGGGGAACTTTAGCAGCAGCAAGAGCGTAGGAGCCCGCTGTGTTGTCCATGGCATCAGCAGTAGCAATGTTGTTCTTGATCAAAATTGGTATGCCGTGAAGCGGACCGAGAACATTCCCTCTTGCTCGTTGCGAGTCAAGCTGAGCAGCGATCGAGAGCGCGTCCGGATTGAGCTGAGTGACCATATGAAGCGTCGAATTGACCTCCAAGATGCGAGAAATATATGCCTCGACCAGGTCGACGCTTGTGAACAAGCCCGACTCGAGACCACGAACAAGGTCCTCTGTTGTCGCTTCGATCAACGGAGGGAAAGCTGTCCCGTTGATGGCTGTACTTTGGTTGTAACATGCTTGCGCTGCAACCAAGGTGTTCAAGGACAGCGAAACAAGGAGGAGACCTTGTATGCGGCGAAAGAGTCCAGCAGCCATATCGGCGGACGTGGTGAACGATGAGGGTTGAGGATGAGAAAGCCACCGTCAACATCCTACTTCTTGCATTCTATATGAGGTTCGATTTGCGCAACGTCCTAGGAAGATCGACGACCTCTAGCTTGGTTGAACGAACCCTTGTGCACGCCGGCGATCAGCGGCCGGCTTGTCGATAAGCTACTGGGAAGAAGGCTGCGACCACCGCACCGCCTAATTGGTGGGATTGTAAGCTCGACCGGTACAGAGATGTCGATGTGTACCTGCAGCCAGTCGCATTCAGGTCCCGGTGTGGCAACAGCTGTTGGAGCATGGCCGGCTACCCCACATGAGACGGATGACGAGCTTATCGAGCTGCCAAAGTAGGCAGCTCAGAAACGTGCCTGTCCAGGAAAACCCTGCTGGACAGCAGCCGGCCAACTGAACAGTTCCTTCGCTCTGTAATAGATTCCAGTGTGGGAAGGAGGATGTCGATTATGCAACCCGTATCGCATCGCCGGCTAAATCTCAGTCTTCGTTCGATCGAGGAGTCCTAGGGAATTTTTCGAATCTGCATCATGCTCTTCCTGCTTGCTTGCTCGAAACGAAACGTTTGACCTCTCTCAGAAGACCAATGATCAGAGGGACCCCCACCGGGCCTAGGAGAGGCAGATAAACAGCAACCTAGGTCGGGGTTAGTAACGTACGTGCGACTTGCGAAGCAGATGATTGCTACAAGTTTTTCCCGGGTTCTGCGATAGGTTCGGTGTTGACATACCTTGTGCTCGTCGGGAAAATAGACCTGACCAACCATCGACTTGTCAAAGAATGCCTTTTCGCTGTCTCTAAATGCTACTTTGGCGTGGGCCAGAGCTTCAGTCCACCTGCTCCCCAAGAACGCGCGACACGAGGCGGAAAGATGGGAAATCGCGTCGTCAACCAGTTGAGCAACGTTCCTCGGGATGGGGATGTTGCTCAACCTTTGAGCAAGGCGGGCAAGCGATCCCAGACTGGATCCTGCTTTGAGGTGGAGAGTCAAGGCCGAGTGCCTTTTGTAAGCATCAAGCCGCAATTGCAAAGGCTTGCCTTTCGCGTCGTGATCGGATTGCAAGACGCCCAGAAGTGACAGCAGTTGCGAGGCAAACTTTTCAAAAGGCCGGCGCAGCAGGTCTTTGTCCAAATGCTCTGAAAGCATTGGAGTACCGTGAACAGGATGCGGATACAATGGCGGGTTAAGAATCTGGATACCACCCCACTGAGGGATGACCCATGAGAGCTCCTTGCTATCTTCAATCGACAGTGGTATCTGATCCTTAGCTGGGATGTAGAGAATGAAGTTGAGTGTAGGTCCATCTCCAAGTGACGGGGCGAGGGGCCACTCTGCAGCATTCACAAACGCCGTCAAGTCATTTTGATGTAGGTACGTTCCGTTCTGGCCTTCTATGTGATGAGGCTGTACGGTGGGTGGAAGAGTCGCATATAGCTGCACCTGTGTGGTGACCTCAAAATCGGCAACGGCTGACAGTGCGTGCACAAGCGGATGGACGTGCTCTTGAAGCGCATGCTGTATATCCCAACTGGAAGGAGCGCCACTGGCTGTCAGAAGGGAAAAGGTCAGGTGGAATTCGGGAGACGACTTGTAAGCGCGGTTGATCTGCTTCTCAATCCCAGAAACCATGTCGTAGGGCTGTGATTGCAGAAATGCCTGAGCATTCTGGCTGTGGCTAGCAAGCGAGACGGTCTGCAGCGCTGCAGCAATCTGTTCCTCCCTGAAGAGGCCATAAATGGCTTCGGCCAAATCTTTGGCGTGACTAGGCCCTGCATTAGGAGGTATGCGAGCTCGAGCTTCCGCGGCGACGGCGCTCAGACTGAACGCAAAGCTATCAGATGTTGGCTCAAGATATAGTTTCAGTGCAGGTTCCCCAAGATTCAGATTTGTGAGATCCTCGCCGCAGCTCTTTCCCCCTCCGTTACCTCCACGTTCCTGCAGGTCCACGAGGTGAAGCTTTGGGTGGAAGGTGGGATACTTGGTGAGGTCGTCCAAGGCTTGTTGTGTGTCTCGTACAATCGTCTGGACCTCCAAGCAGGGCAGAGCTGGTGCCGAAACCCAGACGTCCAAGGGAATCGCGGCGGGGGTATTCTAGGGAGCATCATCAGCATTGGAAAGTACCGTCAGGGCTCTTCACTGCTCACCTGTCCGTCCGCCCAGTCGAGCATATCTTGTAGTGGAAGGCTCGCGCGATAGATTGATGTCGTCCTCAACCATGTCGGAATACCTAGCAAAACTATGACAGCCCAGAAGGACAGCACTATCTTGGTCCGCAGGTTGATGGCTTCGGCTTTCTCTGGCGGAGGCTGTTTCCTGATGACCGCGGCAACAGGGGGAGCGACGGATGACCCCTCCATGGCTAGGGTGGATGTGTGCGACCAGGAACCACCCGCTTGGACCAGGCCTTTCACAGAGAGGTAGCCATGGCGAGCGACGTGTAGCAAGCACCAGAACGGGTTGAGCGCGTTCGTGGTCTGGCCGCAAAGATGGGGAAACTGTGGTCGCACAAGTCTCGTAAATTTGCGCGAGTCGGAAAAGACATTGCGTGAAATTTCAATGACTCGCAGACAGCGGACAAAAATAATTGTCTCGACTCCGTTGACAATTGTAGGCTACACATCCATGGTCCCGGTCCGTCCTCCCTCACTCCCGATCACAATGAGGTTGATATACTCGTAGCACGCTCCTGGATCTTCGCTTCATTCTAGACTTGGCCTGGCCCGACCATCGGCAACATGGCAACTCGGCGGGCGGCGGGCGTGCTCCTTGCCTCCCCAACTCGATTAGTTCAAGCTCCAAGACCTTCAATATCGAGATACGCAGCATCACCAAACCAGGCCAGAACAATCTTTGATTCACTGCTCAGTTCAGCCCTTGGGCCCTGTGAGCCTCGGTCGATGAGCCATACCAAGGTGTTGCCGTATTCATCCGCGGCAGTCTTCAAAGCTGTGTCTGATGTTGCAGGCTACCCTAATTTCCTGCCGTTCACAATTTCCTCAAATGTGAAATCACGAGATCCGGCAGGCTATCCCACTCGAGCGAGCCTCAAGGTCGGCTACGCCAAGCTGGGGGTGGAGGAGAACTGGGAGAGTATCGTGCACTGCGATCCGGCCAATGGAATCATCGAGGCGAAAAGCAGCGAAGAGCACAGCAACGGCCTCTTCGAAGCACTGTCTACGAAATGGCAGATTGTGCCTTCAAAGGCGGCGGGTGCAAGCACTGCTGTCAAGCTGGACGTGGTTGTCAAGTTCCGAAACCCGGTTTACGATCAAATGTTTGCTCAAGTGGAGGGCAAGGTCGCGAGCACCATGATCTCTGCTTTTGAGAAGCGGGTGGAAGAGCTTGATCAGAAGCAAAGTGTCACACGGTAATCGCTATGTGAGCATGGCAAGTTCGACGTGAATACAAAGGGTACGCGTCGCATCGGTGATATTCCGCCGAGCAGCGTGTATGCTGTCGGAGCATTTCAAATGCTCCTGTCGATCGATGGCGATGCATACCATACCGCTGTCGTCCCCGTCGGTGTGAAGTGACCGCCCATCAACCACTGCGGAAACGCGATCAAGCCTGCCGAGCAATGGAGGTTAGCCACTCGACCCTGATCTCAGCACCTCGATCTCGTCTCTCTTTGAGTCTGCTGTGACATGGCCAGCTAGCGCGAGGAGGGAATTCCCGAGATTGAGTACTCTTCCAACACTTGTCATGTATATATGAGAGACTGTTTGGACTTTCGACCCGATTCTGAAGGGCAGTCACCAAGTGCGTTTTAGCAGCGTCATGTACATAGGGGATAATGGGTATGTCACTCGCAATGTCATCTAGAGCTCTTTGACGTTGTCGTCTTAGCGAGTAACAACGGCGGCTGTCAGTTCTGAACGTCTTTCCCTGTCGTCGCATCTCGTGGACGTCACAGCAATATCACGATCCAGCGCCGCGTGCCAGCTTGTACCGGCGGCTCGAGAAGAAACAAACAGTGGCCGATTGACTGCACCTGAGCATTCGCACTGCATCCGCGGCTTTGCGTTGCAGGACGATAAGTAACGATTCAGGAGTCCATATCCTCGAGTACCGCTAATGAGGCGACGGCTTCGTGATGATCTGGAGTGGTCACGACCAAGCTCGACGGCGACAGGCCGACCTGCAGTGTGACACAGTTGGCCGTCGAGAAGCTTGTCCAGGCCCATGTCGCCCATGTCGCCCACGTCCCTCGGCAGCGAGCCCTTCCGGTTAGTGCTCACTAGGTGGCCATGCGTTGCATCCATTCAGGTGAACGAACGCGGGCTTCATCACACCCTGCACACCCCAAGCCACCAATCACCACGCCCTCAGGCGAACCTCATCCTCATGCCGGCTCACAACCCCCGCTGCTGACTGGAAGATCAGCTTCAGTAACCGCCCATCGACCTGCAAGCCACCGAAGCATGGCAGCAACCTCTCACGGACGAGGAAATCGATTTCTCCTCTCCTGGTGCCGTGATCCTCCCTCAGCTGTGCCGGCGGGCCTGAACGTCGCAATAAAAGAATCGAAGCGCCTGCGTCTGCGCGCAATCTCTCTCGTCCGACGGCCTTGACGGTTCCTGCCTTGCGCTGCCCTCTTGTTTCATATGTCGCTGCCCTCACCGTCAGTGTCATGGCCTACTGGCATGACCGCCCTGCGACCGGCGCCCGCTCCCCTCGTCCTCCACGATTCAGACAGATAGCCCTGCTGTACCTGGTGCTGACGGCCTTCGCGAGTGTCACCTCCGCCCTCCAGAGCGTGCCCGGGTCGCCTTGCGAATCGGTCTGCTCGGACGCAGGCACCCTCGAGAACGATGTCGTCTGCCTCGATGCGAATTACCAATCTCTGTCGTCCGGTCGAGGATTCCAGAAATGCGTGGCATGTCAACTGAACAGCACGGCGGTGGACACAGTCAACAATAACACGGATGTAGAATATGGCCTGCGTATGATACACCTTTTTCTTGTTTTTTTCCCACCCTCCGAGGTCGCAGAAATGCTGAATGTACTTCCACCTGTCTAGTGGCCCTACGGTATACATTGGCGGGATGCATGTTTGCCATCCCGGAGGACCATATCTCGATCAGCAGTCCCTGTCAAGTCAGCTGTGCGCCGCTCAACAACTCGGTCGGCTACCAAGTAACGAACGACAGCTCCCGGACCGAACCGGGCGGTGAATTCTGCACGGCCGCCCAATTCGACGACACGACCATCAATAAGTGCGCTCAGTGTTATAGTTTCATCCCGCAGCAGTTGTTCCTGGCAAATTGTAAGTGAGCGAAGACGGTCTTTGAGTGTGCACAAGAAGGATCGCCCATCCATCCTTGTTCCCTCCCTCCTCCCTGATTGAGTCTTCAGCTCTTCAGTCGCTTGCTGCTCACGCACCTCCGTATGACAGTCCTCCAAGCCCTACACATCGCCTGCCGCGACCCTCCTGAGCCGGGCAGACCCTTCTTCCCCGACGCCCAGGCCATCTTCAACGAAACGCTCATCGCCGGCCCGGCACCGCCGTCGAGCGGCACAAATGACAACGGCGGCCTCCGGGGCTACAAGCTCGCCTTGGCGATCGCGCTCCCCATCGTCGGCGGCATCCTCCTCATCGGCGGCCTCTGCTGGGGTTGTTTCGCTTTCACACGCAAGCGACGGTACAAGATGGCGCAGAGCGGGCGGATGAGCCGCGTGCACGACGCCCACGCCGACGGCAACAGCCTGTACCAGTCGCCCATGTCGGCCAAGGCCGAGGCCTGGAAGAAGGAGAGCATTCCCTGGGGCGTGGTGGAGCCGGCACGCGAAATGCACGCCATCTCACCGACGCTGCTGCACGCAGGGAAGCATAGTCCGGGAGCCGCCCAGGGGAGATGGTCGCACCAGACGGGCGGGACGGGGGCCAACTCGGAGCAGAACACGCCCTTGAGGAGTAGTTTCCAGAGAGACGACGTTGGCCCTGGTCCCGCCCAGGTCAAGGACCCCAATCTTCATGAACAGTATTTCGGCGTAAGCGGGGACTCTGAAGATGAGAGAGCGGAGCACGGACATGGCGTGCCGTTTCCCGGCACCAGCGGTGTCGGGGTTGCGATTGGGGGTGAGGAAGGGTATTATCCTCACACAGAGGGTCAGTATGCGTACGCACAAGAATATCGTCCTGAGTATGGACAAGGGCATGGCCACGGACAGCACCGGCTGCATGACGACGAGAGGGGCCAATTTATCTGAACGCATGCGAGTCGGAAGCCACCAACGAAAGCGAAGACGGAGACAAGAACAGACACACCAACAATTTTACGGTACGACCATGGCACGCACGACACGACACGACCTTATACTTTGCTCTACCCACTTTCAACCACAATTTCCTCCACACATATTCTACCACACATCTCATACTTGACACTTTTACCTGAGCGTTATGATCCCCACGCATCTTGGCCTGGCGTCGCCTGGCACGACCAGTGGCGGCGGAAGAGCCATCCGACGCGAATTACTGGGCTCTCTAAGTATTGGGGTCCTTGACTTGGACAGCGAAGAGTTATGGCTTGTGGGGCGGCAGGAGTAGCGGCGATCATAAGTCGCATGCAGTGCAGTATAGTACAGTGCAAAACAGTGCATACATTATCAGTTCACTGCGCGCGAGGGTTGCCTGCGCTGCTCTGGTAGACGCTGGATGATGGATGATCGAAGCTCGATGCCAGCGAAACGGGAGTAAAGAGCCAGCCAAGCCAGCTACTGTACTGTAGGTAGATGGGTGCTTTTCCAGCTCTCATGAAGAGGTACGCTATGCTACGGTACTGTACGGAGTGTTCGGCTCCAAGGACGGGCTATCTCTGCGCCAGAGTTGTCTACCAAAGTACAGTACTACTCTGCTCTGGTCGTCCCGCAGCGTAATGTAAAGTATCATATCTATCAACCGTACGGAGTATCTATATCTATATCTAAGGATCGATATATGTCTATCCATGGCTATGCATGTCTACTTGTACTGTATCACGGTTTATTATATACTCTATACGGAGTACTCACATATGTCTATCAGTACCTACCTACCTACCTACCTACCTTCCTAGGCTAGCGAGCTATCTACTCTGGTCTGGTCTGGCCTGACCTGGTCTGGGCTGACTCTCTTTTATCCTTTCCCGCAGATGATATAAAGTATAAAGTATAAAGTACGTTACAGTACCTGGTCAACTACCTAGGTATCGTCAATTGGACAAGCGGTGGTGGCTTCGCACCCAACAGGACCATGGACGAACCGATCTGCACATTCCATCCCCATCCACGTTTTGGTGATCTCTGTCGGGACGTACGTACGAAAATGGCCTCTCGAGCATGACAGGACAAGCACAATGACAGGATATAACGAGACACTCAGTTAGCTTCCTGTACGCGAGTGCCACGACTTCAATCTAAGGAGGCGTGCGCTCTATCTCATCTCATTCGGCAGTGGGTTGGTACTTGTATAAACCCTGGAAAGGATACGGAGTATGTGTTGCTCAGACTCAGACAGATGCATGTACTCCGTACCCTACGAGCTACACCTATACTCGTAACAAGGCAGGCCCGTATGCTTGCACGACACCACGGTCATCAGTGTGCCGTGCAGTAAAGTGGTGTAAAATCGGAATCACGACAGGCAGGGGGTGGACGATCACTTGGCTTACATACTGTGTACAGTACGAGTACTGGCTCGTCCCCACCCGTTCTCCGAGAGGTCGAGTTGAATGAGGGAGTGGGCCACTGCAGAACGAGGTAGGGCAGGGCAGGGCAGGGCAATCTAGGGCAAAACAAAACAAGACAAGGCAAGGCAAAGCAGGGCAAAGTAGGGCAAGACAAAGATAACAAGGCGATCGAATCTCAATGGCTGGCTGGTCCGCTCCGACGGGGTGCAGATCAGCCAGGGACGCCAGGGAGCCAGCCAGCCAGCCAGCCACTCAGTCAGCCCCTTTTAGGGCCCAGCCTTGCTTGCACTACCCCTGCGACACCTGTGAGCCTTGCACGCAACCACTCACTCACTCAAACACTCACTCACTCACTCAAACACTCACTCACTCACTGACTCACTCACTTACTCACTTACTTACTTATTCACTCACTTACTCACTCGCTTACGCACGCCCGTCAAGCTCCCATGGGTGGTCGCTTCATGGCTGTCACTTTGATGCTGTATGAGTGAGTGAGGGTTATATTCTGTAGGCGTTGCTGTATAGGGGTGAGGTATTAAGTTGATCGTCGAGACTTTGGCCGGATCGGCGCTGAGCCTGTGGGTGGCGGATGGGGTACGAGTACAATTGCAGAAAGCCATAGAGCTTTTTTATCGCCTTGTTTCCGACACGAGATCTCCTGTACTTCCATTGCTCAGGAACCACGCCGAAAGATGTGAGGTTCGTCCCAGTGCAGCGACGAGTCTTAACCCATGTCCAAGAATGAGAGGAACATCCCAGTGCAGCGATGAGTCTTAACCCATGTCCAAGAATGAGAGGAACATCCGAGTGCAGCGATGAGTCCTAATTCACGTCCAGGAATGAGACGTAGAGAGTACATTCGAGTGCAGTGACTCCTTCGGGATTTCGGGAGTCTTAAAGTCTCTTGGTTGTGTTGGATATATAGTGTAATTGGGGGTAAGCCTGAAGGTTTTTCCTTGCTTGAGGGAGCCACGCTGGGTACAATGATATCAGCATCGGATCCTCACATAGCGACATTGGCGGCTAGCATGGACAGAAAAGATCGAACGTCCGTCAAAGAGGCAAAAACAGGCCGCTTCAGCGCATCTTGCAGGTTTTTGAGAAGTGTAGGCGGAGGCGGAGCAATAAAAGCTGCTGGCTTTATTGATACCTGGCGTCCGGTCCGCACGGTTCCATCGGCTTTTTAATCCGTACAGTGTGACCCCGAGAGTAGGAATTGAGTATCCGCCCCGTTCTTGTCTCTTGTTTGTGGTGAGACGTGAGACGCGAGACGCTGCCCAATCTGATGCCTTTTCTGGAGCTCACATACTGTGAGCTTTCTTGCCTACTCATATCAGCAAATACCCCCCCAGTCGCCTCGACACCCGTGGGTGTGTGTCTGGTGAGGTAAGGTGAGGTGAGGCTACGCGCACCGCCGAGTTTGATGGCGAAATCAACTTCACCATCCCAGCTCTTCGTAAGACGGACGATTTGCTGGGCGACAGCTCCTGGACCGAAGAAAACGTATGAGATTGGAGAAGTCGGATAGGCGCTCGAGACCGTATTCTCAACGCGTTTCGCCCTTCAGGACCATGAGACTTCAATGTACGTGTTCTTGATGTGGCCTGCCGGATGGTCACCTCTCCGATCACCCTTTGCAAAGCTCTTGAGCGGCAGAACGGTCCAGACGTCAATATCTCCTCCTCACGACATGCTGCTGAGCGATCGATTGGAGGGTAGGATAGGTGAGTGAGGTTCCGCACCGAGGACGAAGGATAAGCTTGTGTGCTTCCAGGCTCGTCAGTAGGAAGCTGCTTCTGTTGAGGACGCGTGAGAGAGGTTTTGGGACGATTTGTTTCCCGAAACAACTGACCAACAGTTGGCAATTCAGCTGGTTTTCAAGGCCACTCGCAGAGGCAATGACCTTGGTAGTATAGACCAGAGTCGGATTCATGGACACAGTCAAGAGATGTACCTCAGATAGCCACGCTCTCAGAGTCTGTGACCGAGAACGAGTGCCCGGACATGTCGCTCCAACTGGCGTGTGAATGCCACATTGACGTTGCGAAGTGCCTGGGAACTCGAAGGGAAGTCGAGGCAGCGAGCAACATCGACGGTTGGGGCGCAAAGAATGCCATGCAACGCACGACAGATTGTATCTTCAACCGGCGGAGGCACGAGGCGCGAGGTCCGAAGGGCGGGCGGTGCGTCCACTTTACAAGTAGTATGCCTCCATCCGCCTCACTGCTGCAATAGCGCCAATATCAGAGACAACATCAGGCAGAAGCAGCCAAGGCGAGCTCGCATTCGGCGCCTAAAGTAAAGAGTCCGGCATCTTCTTCAAGGCCTCAGACGCAGGACAAACACAGAATAGACACTCGCTTGGAATGCTTTCCAGCACTGGCTGTGGACAAATCGCACAGGCATGCTTTGCTTGGCCTGCGAATAGCGACGACCTGTAACGAAGTATCTTGGATGAAAGGACCCGAACTCCCGCTCGGTAAAGACGGACTGCAGCACAAGGTCACCACCATTTGGACCAGTCATGGTGCAGAGTTTCGAGAAAAATCGCAGAGAAATCCGCCTGAATGATGACTAGCAAAGACGACGCTAGCTTCACCGATACGAAACCGCTCCGTCAGGTGTGCGTCGCGGGCGTTCTGCTTCGTTCAGACATGAAGAGACTGCGCCCACTCGAGGATGTCGCTTGCAGTATCGACTCGAGCGCCAGTTCTTCCAAGGCCTAGAATTTGCTTCTGGTGAGGCGAGGGCGTGCGATTCAGGCCTCCAGATTCGTTCGTCCGCCCTGTAAATCGCTGCTGGATTACCCCGTGTTTCAGATCTGGAACGACTTCTTTTCCCAATATCATGCAACGACGGCTGCTAAGGCTGTTTCGCAAAGCCTCCTCCACCGCCTCGAGTTTGAGGTTAGGTGGGGGGCAGCAGTGCTGTTCCAAAACATCCAGGGCTTTTGACTTTAAGCCGTGCGTGCGTGCGTGGTGCTTTGCCCTCGTCTTCGGAAGCGAGTTCGGATATGGGAGTGAACTCTATCTCGCACTGAGACAAACTTCCGGAGGATCTGCTACTTGGAGCTACTGCAATTAGTAGGAGGGGATGGCTCCGAGGGATGAGGTGAAGCTGCTGGAGGGTAAGCGAGGCAGGCCTTGCCCACGTCTCTCTCTGCTCTATTAGAACGCCGCAGTACGTAACGGAGCAGCGGTGCAGAACGTTCTTCGCATCACCAGCAAAGCAAAGCAAATCTTCGGCCATGACTCAATTGTGCCGATCATTTCGTTGCTGCCCAAGACTTTTTCTTGCAGGCACTGACTGCTAGGTAACTCGCAACGGCAACTGGTCTCTAAAGCGCTCGACCGAAAGTACATGCCCGCCACCATGGGGCCGATGCTGGGGTTCTGTCGCAGCCCAATGGCTGGCTTGACGACGTCCTCGCCGTATTCGCCGGTCCCCATGAGATAACCTGCCCGCTCCGTGCCTAACGGCGCAACACTGTCGCGTTGGGTAGCCATTAAGTGGCAAAGGCTTGTCTCTCGAGCACTAGACTGATCTACACCGGTCCTCGCCGCCACAAACGCAGGCCAGGACAAGTTGTCCGGCTTGGCAATGAAGGAAGTGCAAATGCAGGGCTGACGATGGACAGACACCCTTTGCTTGGGCAATATTGCGGATCAGGAATCCGTCTGGAACTGGCACTTATGGCTCGAGAATGTGTCCTCTCGAGCGACCCCTACACAGTGCCTTCGATGCCCTCCGTAGCCAACAGTATGATAGCTGAGTCGTCGTGGTCTCCTAGACCCGTGTTCCCATTATTCTTTGCCATGCAGCACCATCGTTGCTCTCTGGGTAGCTATAATGCTGGCCTGCTCTCCTTGTAAAGCAGTCCTCCTTCCACGCTGGGCAATACCTTTCGTTACCCGGAGACTTGCGCCTGTACAGGCATTGCACTCAACAGTCTGTAGGGAGTTCTATGCTGTCAAGCCGATGGAGAAGCTTGCGCCTGGCAAACTAGGGGACTGTGATTTTTCTCAGCTCTGTCAAAATGGACAGCTGGGTTGCTGTATTCCCAGGCGTCTTCCTTTGTCTTGAGAGCCGTTGTCTTCTCGCTGCAGCTTCACTCTGCAGCCTCCGCTCCATTCGTATCTGCGAAGCGTATGTGACTTGGGGGAATCCCCCCTATTCTTCATGAAGTACAGCTCCAACTTTAGACGGAAGGAACTGGGTTGAAGCGCGAGGGTGTCCATCGGTTTGTTCTGACTCCGTAAGAGTATTCGTGATCGAGCCAGCAGGGAGGGACGGTCAGGTGACGCTTCCTGGTCACTCGGTGCTCCCTCCCTGTGGGAATCGGAGAGCTGCCCAGCAAAAGGGCATTCCGAGGCAACAAGAGACGGGTCTTCGCCGTTTGAAGGTCGCTGAATGTGATGGTTAGCGAATAGTTCCTCCAATACAGCCATTTTCCAATGACAGACACAGGACGACGTACTGAAAGAAAAAGAGACCCTTTTTTCTGGCCGGATCCCCCGACGTCGAGGCGGGCCAGCTTACATTCCCTCCAGGAGGGCTGTGGTCTGAATCCTTGATCGAATGTGGTCTTCTGCCCAGCGCTGGCTGGAAAAAAAATAGGGCAGGGAAGAGGACGCCTTGGTCCCTTCCGACCGACAAGAAAAGGCACTATGACCTGCGAACCTTGCGCAACTTCAGATCGGATGTGTCGGATCTGCTTGCTGATACCGAGATCGCAGGAGGTCCAGTGGGCTGTCCAAAGACGTGTTCCTCGTGTATGTAGGAAGCCCGCCAGGAGCAAGTCCGGTGCCGTGTCGCACCACCCTCAGTTGCATGAGTGTGTATATCTCATGGTCGCCGGAGTTGCATTGCGGTCTGCCTCATCGTTTAGAGTCTCTGTCCAAGATGCGGTGTGCAAAGTGAGGCTTGCATCTCGTTTCGGCGGATGCACCATGCAATTGGCCTGGCCTGGCCTGCAGGCTCAGAGCCCCCCCCCCATTACTGGCCGAGTAACCCAATGATATAGGGGTGACAGAACACCGATTCAGCTCGGATGTGTTTAATCATGTGCCAGCATGATCTCCCTTGCTAACGAGAGCAGGGGTCGTCAGCGAGGACGTGGCGCAAAAAGCAAAGACCTGTGTATAGGATGAAGTATCTGACGCCTGCATCGTCGAAGAAAACAGTGTGCTTGTCTTCATAAGCTTTGGGGCATGAAAATATCATTTGCGGGGCAGTTCATTGAAATCCCAATCCTCTAAGCCTGGCTCTTCTTTCGAGGATGACGCTCTCCGTCTGCCTATATAGAGCGTCGAGCTGTTCCATTGATAACGAGTCCATCAGAATTCTCGCAACCTGCGTGGCTGCACTGACAAGTTGTAACATATATCGGTCGTCCTTGGGGGTCCTGGGCTGTTGATCTCGGTTGTTCTGCCTGACCGCAATGGAATTTTCCAGCGTCGTCACAAACTGTTTGATCTGGTTGTCGTAGAGCACGCGCGCTGGGATCCTCCGCTTGGTCGCCAGCCTTTTCAGCAGATAAGCCCACTCGGTCCACTCCCGGTCGGCCGGTGTTCGAACCCGGGGCTTATCTCGCTCCAGCGGAATTGGAAACTGATACTTCGCCACGAAATGGAAGGCACATCGCGACAATATGTCGTTCACGTGTAGAATGATCTCGTCTTGCTCGTCGAGTTCGAGGTGGACGGGGAGTGACGGCAGAGCCTGGGACCGCGCGTGTTCTTGCTGAGGCACGGGCAGTGGTAGCAGTTGGGAAGGACCGTCAAACTCGTCCTGATTAAATGGGCGCCTTCGGGTGTGGTAGCGAGTCGCCGTCCTGCCGAGTTCAGACGCCCGGCGATTTTGCGTCTCCAAGTCAAATTCTGCGTAGCCTTGACTGGTCGGCGATCCAGTCTGGAGGATGAAGCTGTCCTGGCTTTGTCGTCGAAGCGCCACGTTCTGGTCGTCCGGATTCGACCTGGGTGGCGGGCCGTGCTGCTGGTAGGAGCCCGGGTCCGACGTAAAGGCCGATGATTGCGATATGTACGACAGCGGCCGGAAAGGATCGCCCACGGCGGTCGTTGGGGGCATGCGAGTCGCGCCATGTATCTCGGGCGGCAGCCGTTGCCGCAGCCTCTCCGACCGGTCAGGAGAGACACGTCCGCCGGGCTCTCCGGCGAAAGGATCGTAGTTGGACGACGGCCAGTGTGTCAACCTGCTGTAAGCACGTGTTAACAAGACTGATCCGAGCAGCCCTATCGAGCTGGCACCTGCCTTGGGAAACCAAACGGAGCCGAAGCGTCCGCCGGCGGTCTCAGTGTGGCCGTGTCTTGCGGCCCAGAGAAGAGAAAATCGTCCTTCCCAGACATGCCCGCGCCGTTATCTGTCAAGTCGAGGGCAAACCGAACCCCAGGAGCGAGACCCGAAGAGTATGTCGGATGTAGACTGCTGATCGGAGAGCTCAACGCCAACATGGTCAGAGCGGGCAGAAGACGTGCAACCGGGGAGGGAGGCAGAACAAATGAAGGTCGAAATTGGAGTGTGTACTGCTTCCCACTCTGGTAGGAGAGTGTCGGACGATCTGTTGGCCAGGGGTTCGCATCGGGCACTCGTCCAGCAATTGGGCATTAGTTTCGAGGCCGAACCGTGTGCGAGTGAAGGACGGCAGAATGAAAACACGACGAAGATATTGAATTCGTCATGGGCACGTGAAGAGAGAGGGACCCAGGCAGTAGAGTTTGTGGCTCGCAGGCACATGGACTGGAGAATGGTTGTCTGATCACTGATGCCCCCCCGATTCCCGCAACCCCCCGGAGCAGCCTAGTTCTTACGGCCGGCCCACCTAACAGGGGCTGAAACAGAAGTGCCCGACCCTGGGCGACGGATACTTGCCGATATCTGGGATGAGGCGTTGAGGCGCTCCCTGTCCATTGCGCACCATTTTAGCACCTGGGACCTGGTCTGGTCTGAGCGCCACTTAGTCGTGCCTTCGAGCAAAAGTTGGAACTCGGGAGATGGAGGCTCGGGTCCCGGGGTTTTCTGGAAAGATTCTAATTTCTTCGCGAGCAACGGCGCCGAGGGGGATGGCCAGGGACGGCAGCACCCGATATGACACAGACTCGAAGTCTCGCCGCTGTGCTGCCCAAGTACTAGTAGATGTCGAGGGCGACCAATAACTATATCTGGTCGCGAACTTTGAATGCGGGCTGCATCACCTGGCAGTCACGCGTTTCCACAAGATCGACGAAACGTTGAACGCTTGCGGGACGTCGAACACTGTCAAGTCGCGAGTTCATGGCAGAACCACCCCCCAGGAGCACCACGAGCACCAATCTGGAGTAGCACGCCGCCCGATGTTGGAGACGAAGGTGTTCCAACGCGTTGGAGTCGGCCGTTTCGAGCATAAGCGGCGGATCATATTGCAGTGGAGATGCACGGGCGATGAGCGTATGAGGCGCTGCTAGCGAACCCGCATGGCATGCACCGGCGGGCATTATTATTAGGCCTCGTTGGTTCGATCTTCTGGGGCCCATTGCTACGAGTAAGAGAGTGGTCCTCTGTACTCCGATCTCCGTGCTGTGGAAAGCTGAGCTCATGCTCGTGGAGAAGTGGCCGGAGAATCTGAGACTCGGATAGAGAGCTTAGATGTTGCTGGACGCATACAAAAAGCCAGCAAAGATGACCTTCTGGGCGACCTCGGACGATGTGGCCTTCCATCATGTTCTCGGTCGAGTGCCCAAACGTCGAGGAGGGCGCAAGGTGACTTTCCGAGAGCGAGGGCTTATTCGGTAGCGAGGAGTCCAAGACTGACTGGAGAAGACCCATCTTGCTGCCCAAGCGTCATAGTAATGGCTGCCCTGCTGCCGATCAGGGGAGTGATCTGCGACCGCCTTGGTGAGGCTACCGAATTTTCTCGAAAGTTGGACGCGAAATTAGACGACCTGGACACACGACATTTACATCCACAATACCCATCCGCCAACGCGCGCGTTCATGGATGAAGCACCGAAGCCAGAAAGGGAGCAGATGGGCGACAAGCGAGACGAACTGCCCTATCCAGGCGTGGTTCCGGCGGCGCAGAGATGCCAGCGGGTTAGTACGAGTACGGCCGGCTGGCTGTCCCAAACAGGCTCGACAAGGCAGGTACTCGTGTACCTAGTACCCAGTACCCGGAACTCAAATGTTTGATAAAACGCCAGACGAGTTTCGGCAGTCAGGTCTGGACCCGACTCCAGCCGGCCAGGGTACCGAGGCCCTGACTGAACGGCACGGTTGTCACTATTGGCCTGAGCGGGGGGATCGGGGCCCAACCAAGCTGGATAGAGAGTGTCCTATCCTGCTCACGTCTGCCCAGGGATCGTGGAACCGTGGAAGCGGGAAGTCGGTGGACGCGCAACGCTCGAACCTTTGATTCTTCGTCCTGGATAGTGAGCGAGGTCCCTGTGTAGCAAGGTTTGAAGCGAGAACGAACCAAGTAGCCCGTTACCACTAGGCTAAACCAGAGAAGGAGCATCGGGCAATCAACTTGCAAACGGGAAGTGGGCTCCAGCGGTCAAAGTGGACGTGAGGTCGCCGGGGAAAGGGAAAACGGGTAAAAAAGGGGTTGATGTCGGCGAGAGCCTCGCTGCAGAGAATCGTTCCCCTTGCACCACCCCCCTGTCCCAGTGTCCCGAAACGTCTTTGGCCTGCCGAGCGTTGCGCAACGTCATCCTCAGGCTTCCAGTCGGCGCCATTGGTGAGTGGATGGCCGTTGGGTGGTCTATTACTCGTAGTCCTGGATCCGCAACCGCGAACTTGAGACAGCGACCTCGCAAGGCTATGATAGCACCACAGTAAGCTCGTAGACAGTGCAAGTAATTAGGCTATCGAAGGACTGGAACCACTGGCATCATCGCATCTCCTCCTTTCTCCCCAAAGAGAGCTAGCCACAGACCACGGACGTGCTTGTCCTGTGTACCCCGTCGACCCATATCTGCTCCTGATGGCACAGGTTGAGAGGGCCACACAGCCCCTCATAACCGGCACTCAGGTACCGGGATGAGTTTCCACTTCTGCGAGTATTTGGCCCCATTGCCAACGGCTACATCCACGATCCTGGGTCCTGGGACGGTGGGCTTCCAGGGCCTGGATTCCGACTTGCCCGACTCGGCGACGAAGTAAGCACTGCTGAGCCAGACGCAAGGTTGGCGTCTGTTCAAAAGTTCCAGAGGACGACCTCGTGCACACCACAACAGTAATTGTGCATCTGCCATGATGGTCCGACGGGGGATTTTTAATGCTGACATGATGCCGACTGGACGCTCGGGGCCAGGACGGAAAGTCCTGCGCTTGATTATACTGTCGACAATTTGTATTTTGCTACGTTCAGACATGGCGGCACAGCACAGCACAGCCCTCGGCAACCAGTCTTCTCATGGCCGTCGTCGTCTCGTCAAGCGTCTCGCATACTCCTGATCAGCGTCACATCCCGTTAGCAGAGATGATTCCTGGCTAGCATGGCACCACTCACCCGACAACTCCTCCTGATTCCAGCTTCAAGCCCGACTCGAGGCTGGTAGCCGAGGATCCTTCTGGCCTTGTCACCACTGGCATAGCGCATTGCGCAGGCGTCCATCACGCTTCCACGCGAGAGGGTCGTTGGCGTCCCGGAAATTCGCGTAAAGACTTCCGCAACCAAGCCCAGTACCCACCCCAGTCCTTCTGGGATTTGAATCTCCCAAGCTGGGGGGAAGTGCCCGAATTCCTTCCAAACGGCAAGGCTGAAGTCTCGAAAGGACACGGGCTCGTTATTCTGGATGAAAAAGGTCTGGCCGGCTGCGGTTTCGGTCCCGATACCGTCGCCGTCAAGGGGGGAGGAGGTTTCGGGCAGGAACTGCAACAGGTTTTCGACAGCAAGCACATGCGCATCAGCCACGTTGCCTACGTAGACCGTGTCCCAGAGATTTGTGCCGCTGCCGATTATCCAGCGAGTTTCGCCCTTCGCAATGCAAGCATGGATCGGAGGGATCAGCTGGTCGTCTCCTTCTCCGAAGACGACAGAAGGCCGCAACACGCACGTGGCCATGGACTCTTTGTTTGCTGCAATGACAATTCTCTCGGCGGCGGCCTTGCTCTCGCCGTACACGGACGACCTCTCGGCGGCAGGCCACGTCTCATCGATGTTCGCGTACGACTTGCTCATGTCGTCGGTCACGGCGCAGCAGCTACTCGTGTACACGAATGCCCTGCATCCGCACTTGCTGGCTGTGTCAACCACATGGCGCGTGCCTTCCACATTGATGGTGTTGACCAAGGCTTCTAGACGTCGTGCATACCTGCCAGAATATATGCCATCAGCCATCTCCTTTCGTGGACCCGTCGAGGTGTGGGCTCGAGGCTGTCAACACGCCGCGACTCACTCGCCATTGAACACATCTGGCTGACCTTGAGAGAAGCACCTGATGACCTACCTTTCGCTCAACGAGGGCACAATCCCTGCCGTGTGAACAACAGCATCGGGATGAATGAGGGACAGCGCTCTCACGACGCTGCCCCGATCTGTGATATCTGCTTGCACATAGTCATACTTGCAGCCGCTCAGCAAGTCCAGCTCACCGGGCGGCTTGTCGACAACGTTGCATTTATCCAGAATCCACACATGCCACTCGGGGTGGAACTCGTGCAATGCGCGAACGATTGCCGAGCCCACGAACCCCAGTCCTCCCGTCACGACGACTGTGACGGGCGGTGCATCATTGATTTCTGTATTTGGCTGTACCTTTTCATAGAACGCTGTCGCCGACCCGCCGCCGGCAGCGTGAGACAGTCCTTCCGCATCCTTCGCCATTCCTTGTAATGCGTAAGGTATGTATGTAGTATGTCAAACAACGACACCGCTGCAAGGATACACGCAAACCAAGGAGAATGAAGGCCACGTAGCTATTTCATCGCAATGAAATCCATCCCATCACAATCACCGTGATTATACTGTCTACAGTCCACGTCGCAGCATCCGACGACTGCGACTGCATTAATCATCACGAAGGTATGCCGCAAGATGCGAGCGAGGTGACCACTGCCTCCTGCGAATCACATCACACCGGAGTTTGCGCCCTCCGTCTGTCCACTCCTGGTACCTCGTGTACCTCGTACCACCCCCCCCCCCCCCCCCCCCCCCTGGCACTCGCACACTCAGGACCCTGAACAATCTCCACGCACGAGGCTTGACCCGACCGTGCACCGCCCCCGGAACCGGACATGGTTCCCCCATTCGTCCTCGGTAAACACTCTCGCAATCTTGAACTTATCAACATGTTATCTCGCTTAAGATGCTTCCATGCCTTCCATTCCTTCCATGGCTCCGATGTGATTGACGCCGTCGACGCCATCACCAGGATCATCGAGGATCCCGCGTCCTTCCACACATGCTTCCATGGTCCTTCCATTTTCTTCTCATTCCAAGATGTACGTACAGTAGCACCAGTACCGGTTGTCCCCCGTTTTGGATACGCGTACCCGAATCCCCAAGCGAGGGAATGGGATCAACGACGACGACGACAACAACGACAACGCCAGCCCGGCAAAAGCCAAGCAGACAATCTCACATGCCATCGATGCGGCGCCAGTCACTAATTACTTACTTAGGTCTCCTTTCAAATTAGAAGAATTACATACCCTGTGCGCACAGTACCGAGTACAGCAGCGTTACTGTAGGTAAGCGTGGCTTCAGCTTCGTTTCCCGAGCAAGATTTGATTATTTCTCACACTCTTCATCTCATTCTCACCCAGCGTGCTCCATACTGTAGCATGCATGCATCCACACCGAATCTCTCGCAGGACCATGCGAGTCCACTTGGCAAACCGAGCACCGTCATCGTACCGAGCACTGGTCATGTCATGTCATGTCATGTGGTACCATAGTACCGTGGTACCGTCGTGCCGTGATGCCGTCAAGCCCCCTACTGTACGGAGTACGGAGTATCTACTGAGTAGACTCACGGAATTGGAAGACTAGACAGCAAACCAGGGAAAGGCAGCAGAGCAGAGCAGAGAATACTTCAGTGCACTTCTGCGACACGTGCATGGCCATGTCCCTTACTGTCAGCACCAAGAACACGTTTGGTCCATACTGCTACATACCTACCAAGTAGGTACTACAGGACGTTCTTTCTACTTTGTACAGTGGTATGTTCGGTCCAAGCCCAAGGACCCGGGCAGATTGTAGATTGTTCTGAAAAGTTGCCCAGACAGAGACCCAAAGGCGAGATACCGTAAGGGATCGTGGAGAGTATACTCCGTACATACACAGTTGGACATGAAACGACACCCAACCGCCCTCTCCTGTATGTATCACCTTTACGGAACAGCCGTCGGCGGATAAGCGTAAATTGAGCCCTCACCGGCATAAACACGCTGAGAAAGGAGATCTCGGAACACGGTGAATTGATCATTTTATGGCCTCGGCCAGGTTGCCGATTCAACGTCGCAGCAGTGCAGGCCAAGCTGGAGTAGTACTGTAGGCGCTTCTCTGCGCATTCCTAGCAAATGCCATCCTTTCCAGGCCATGGCCCTTGCCTTGTGTGACCCAAGGCTTCCCTGTTGCCCATGCACACGCCCATGCACCGCGCACGCATCACCAGACTCCAATTCTGTCTCGAGACCGATTGATAGTAATACACTTTTCTCGCGAGCGGGTTCGAACCTCCAAGCACATCGCGCTGCCGCCCGAATCTCGCAGCTACACCTCCACCTCCACCACCACCACCGCCATATCATTGCCAGAAGACAGGATCGTCACTCGTCATCCTCGTCGTCGTCCACATATCTCGGTCCGCCCGCCGCCGGCGTCGGCGCGTCAAAGGCTCCACTGGCATATGGTGTCGGTGCATTCGCCGCAGGGGTCGGCGCATCATACACCGCGAGACGGTTATTCTTCAGTGGAACACTATTGGCCGCCTTGGCAAAGCTGGGTGGTGCGGGTGTGGGCGCATCTTGCGGGCCCGAGCCAGAAGCACCGGGAGTGGGTGCGGATAGGTAGGGTGTGTATGCTTCGTCGTCGTAGCGGTTGCCTGAGGCGGCGGGGGTGGGTGCGGACATGCCTGGAGTGGGCGCGTCGTAGGGTCGAGCTGCAGGCGTAGGTGCCGATACGGTCGAGTTGCTTCCTGGTCCACCCCAGGCGGGTGTCCGTGAAGAGGGATTGTATGCTGGTGTGCGTGAACCGCCAAAGGCGTCAAAGCCAGAGTTGCCGGCGTTGCCCGAAGAGCTGTAGTCACCAGCGCCGTAGGGAGTTTTTGCGCTTGATGACCATGCTGGTGTGCGAGAACCGCTGTTGGTGGAGTAGTTGCCTGCGCCGCCGTAGGATGTCATGCCACCGCCACCGTAAGAGGTCTGTGACCCAGAAGGACCTTTCCATGACGGCGTTCGCCCAGAGTCGAGACCACCCCCTGCACTAGGACCGCCCCAAGCAGGTGTCCGTGATGATGCACCCCAAGCTGGAGTCCGCATTCCATCCATTGCGTGCATGGGCGTTCTCCCACCAAAGACCCCTCCATCCGGCACGCGAGAAGAACCGATGCCTGGGCCAGCCCTCATCGACATAGGACCGCCACGCTGCTTGATCCAATCCTCGTATCTTGTTCGGTTCTGCGTGTTGGGACTGGGAAAATGTCAGCGATGGTCTTGAAACGAGCTCAACTGCTCCACTTACTCAATGATAGAGAGGTCGAACTTGCTCAGGTTAATGGTCTTGTTCTTCGTTTGCAGTTCAAGTCTCGCCTCCGCGGCTGTGGTATCCTTGACGATGGCACGGTGGCCTTTGTATGTCCCCTTGCTTATGTGAACAAGCTTTCCTTGGAGCGGATCGCGCCCAGGTCGTTGCGGCGGAGCCATAACAGCCTCAGGGCGCTTGCCGAGGAGAGCCGGATTCATCTTGGACAAGTCCGTGGTGGGGGCGGTGATGCGCCCACCCTTTGCGGCAGTTGTGACCACATTGGTGCACCGGTTGACCCAGATTCCAGAGTTCTCAATCCCTAGCTTGTTATGCGCAAAGACGTAGCCTCTGTGGATGTGCAAGATCGTGCCGGATTTGTTCTCTCCAGTCGATTCACGCACGACGTCGCCGACACGGATCTCGGAGCCGTTCTTGTCTGTCGCGACGGCATTCTTGCGTGTCACGGCCTTCTGGATTTGAGAAGGCAGACGGGTCATGATAGAGCCATTTTGGTCCAGGATGCGTACAGATTCGCGGTCTGCACGAATCACGATACCGACAGTGGTTGGATCGATCTGCACGAGATCTTGCACGTCGAACTGGCTGTTTCCCGCTGCATCCCCACCGGCATCCGTGGCTTCTCTGAGATCTTTGCTGAAGACCGTGATTTCCTCGTTGGTGTTATTTGTAAGCACTGTGACTTTGTCGTCTTTGATGCGAAGGACCATGCCGACCTCGTCCCGGTATTTGCTCCCACCAATGATTTTCACGTTGTCACCCTCCCGGAAGCGCTTCCGCAAACCCTTAACAGGCACTTCAACGAGCTGGCCAGCGAGCTCACCTTCCGTGACCTGGATCGAGACGATGTTGCCCTTGACGGCCTCGGTCCGACCAATGATGCCTCGCTGTTCACCTTCGTACACCTCAACCTCGTCACCAGGCATGTAGTTGCCTTCGGCCGTGGCGCTTCTAAGGCTGTGAGCCAATTTTTCGAGGTCAAGGGTCTCAGTGCCATCGTCGCCGGTCTCGGTCAGCTTCGTAATCTCTTCCAGCTTTGGGTTGACATTCTCCATGGCAAGATGTTGGAGCTTGAAATTTTTGATCAAGAAGCCGTTTTCATAGATTTCCTTGTTGTAGGTGTAAGACTTCTTCGTCAGGGTGTGGTTCGACTGCAGGAGCCGATCATGCCTCTTTCTGGCCTCTGCTTCGTTAAAGAGTCTCTGCGGAGGCCTCTCTTTCGGGGCGCCAGTTGGTGCAAAAGCATTTGGACGCTTCCGCTTCGCGTCGGCAGACGGGGCCTTGGCCGGGTCGTCGTTGAGCCCATAGTCAAGTCGCGGAACTAGTCGAAGAGTCACTTCCAGACCATTAGTCTCAACCGTGTCGACGACAGCCAAGTCTCCGGCGTAGAGTCCACGCTTGATACGAACGTAGTCACCAGGTACCAGCTCTTTGTCCTTCCGGGTCCTCAACAAATCGGGCATCTCCTTGATCGGCACAAGGTTCATCTTCGTCCGGGGGTAGACGTCGGCGACATTGGTGAGAGCATCATCGACATCGCTCTTCTTGACAGCCTCGACAAAGATATAGCCGGCCATAGGACCCTCGCCATCACCTCTCTGGAAGACCGAACAGATCTTTACCGCGTTCCGGCCCTTGCCTTCAAGCATTTTCTTCAGAAGCCTGGTGACGATCTCTTTCTCTTTGCCTTGCTTGCACCGAACACCCCAGATGCTCGGGTCAGAAACATCGGGCATGAGCAGGTTCTGTGGCACGAAAGATCCTTGACTCAGCGCGGTAGTAGTCCGTCGCCCGTATCGCTCCTTGTAAGCAGCAGCCTGTTTCTCGAGATCTATTGATGTTTCAATCTGTCGTTGGCGGTCCAATTCTCTGTGTCTCGCATCGTCTTGGTCGGCCTCCGGCGGCAGATCATCATCGGGATGATTAGGCTCGATGAAATCGGGTCCGAGGTCGTCCTCATCGGCTTCTAATTCGTCATCGTCCTCGTCAACCTCAGCCTCTTCCTCGAAGAATTGGTTAAGGCCCCGTCTCCGGCGCTTGCGAGGTCGACTGGCAACTGCATCTTCATCCTCTTCGTCCTCTTCATCATCTTCTTCATCGTCACCGTTGAGGTCTTCCCCTTCACCTTCGTCATCTTCGCCGTTGTCATCTTGATCGCCCTCTTCATCCTCGTCGTCGTTGTCGGGCGCTGGCTGGTTGTCGCGCCTCACAGGCGATGCCGATTTGTTGTTCGAGGGGCGACGAGCGCCAGCGTCATCGCCGTCATCTTGCTCGTCGTCCCGCCTGGCTGCGGTGTTGGGTTTCGCGTCTCGGTCGCCGTCATCTTCAGCATCAGAACCGCCCTCGAGTCCCGGGTTGAAGTCGTTGTCGGACTCTTCGTCATCCGCGCCAAAGTCTTGGTTCAGCCATGATCCCCCGGACGCCATATTGGGCCCGAAAATGACAGAAGGGAACTGGCAGAACGGAGATGCCGCGACAAGCAAAGGCTCAGCAACAGAGGCGATGATTCATTCGGAGAGAGATGAGACAGGAGAGGCTATGAGAAAGCTGTGCGGAGCAGGTGAAGAGGAGATGAGGTTGTCGTGACAGACAGACAGCCTGCGGACAAAAAGATTCCCTTGTCAACAGCCGCAATGACAATTGCGTGAATGGACATTACGCTTGGCCGAAGATAGATAGAAGGATATCACGTGAGCTGCGGCGGAGCAAAACTGCTTGTCCTAGCGTGGTGGCCTGTTCGCAAGTTCATCCGTTTGGATCAGACATACGGAATACGTAACTGTCGCACCTGTGAAGAGCAGATCTGATATTCATCCAGAGTGTGTCGCAAGCTCAGACCAGAGACCTGTCCAGGTAAGCCAAAGGTATGTCGTCAACAACAAGAGTGTGTGGATATTATTGCTGCTGAAGTACCAGTGGGAGGTTATCATCCCATTCTGCTCAGCTTCTGTGCATGAGCCACAATCTTTGTGAGCAAGATCCCATTCCACCCGGACCTTTCCCCTTTGTCAAGAATATGCCGCCGTTGAGCTCCCTCAGAGCCACATGATTTCCCCAGATCAGCGCATCGACACCACGTCACGAGAGCGTCGAGCGTACGAGTACGAGTACGAGTACATTCACCAACTGATCTCACCAGCCATACCAGCCCCGCGTCCTCAAACTGTATCGCAGTCCCCCCATTCGATCCTTACGAACCCATCTCTCATATGCTCTCTTCAACATCATCTGGTGCTCCTTCTCCTCGAGCAGCTTGGTCGCAAGCGCGAAATCCTCGCCCTCGACGGTTCGTCGCCTGGCCATTCGGGCAGCCAAGTTGGCAGCTATTCGCGGGAAGGTGGCTGTTAGCAATTGCCTCTTTCTCCAGGTGTCATCCGAGCAGACAGAGTAAGAGAGCTCACTCTTCAGGGTCTGTGCACGCCAGAGATACGTACCTCTCATGATGCAAGCAACGTGGAACTGCGCAAATAGCAGCAACACCTCCAGCGCGTCATTTTGAATCAGGTAATCGCGCCCGAACTCGGCCAGCATCGTCCCGTGTACCAGCCTCTTGAGGGACTGGCGAGTGAAAGAAGGCCCATAACGGATGAAATCTCTCGGAAGCTCGTCGCCCGTGATCACTTCGATCTCATCTGCAGCAAAGAACAGCGTTAGGAAACCGAGGTCAGCGGGTCTCCCACGGTAAGGATAGCTAGGGAGGAGCGGAAGTGGACGATCAAACTTGCGAGTCAAAACCTACCTTTGATTCTTTTGATCAGTTGGTCGTCGACCGCTTCGGACGACATGGCTAAGAAGATGATGATGATGGGGTGCGGCTTGGTATTGTTGAGATGGTTATGTGACTGAAGCAATGAAAGGATGAAAGGATGTTGGTTTTGTTTGTGCGATCCAGGAGTTGAAAGTGAGGTTATTGAAAGGTGGCAATGAATTGAGGGAAGAGAAGTCGAGATTGTCTCATGGGCAAAGTGAAAGAGGGAGCATATGAGATGAACTTGAGAGCAGCCTCACACGGATGGAATAGAGGCCACTCACTCCTGGGCCATGCATCAGGACCTGAGGATATCAGTCAGTCGACCTGCGACAGCCGCTACCGAAACGAGCTGGAGACAGTCAACATACGATAAACCGGAGGAACCGCAGCTGTGCATAAGATTCTGGGAGTCTCTTTTACGGTCAACTGAGCGCCGTATTTGATGACTGAGCTTTTGTCTCGAGTAAACATTGTGGCGTCTTACGGCTGAGTACCCAAAGACAGACTTTTTGCCAAATTGAATCTCACTTGTGGCCTGATAGCTATCACAACTTCAATCCCACGTTGACATGAACTGCCTTGGTCTGTGAATACGCCGCCAATCCAGCCTCACCCAGCTCTCTTCCAATACCACTCTGCTTGACACCACCAAATGGTACTCTGAAGTCCGAATCATTGCTTGAATTGATCCAAACCATACCAGCCTCGATCCTCGCTGCCACTCGGTGCGCCCTCTCGATGTTTTGAGTGAACAACGCAGAGCCGAGACCGTATGTGGTGTCGTTCGCCATGCGAATCGCATCGTCCTCTGTCTTGAAAGAGGCGATGACAACGAAGGGACCGAAGATTTCCTCGCGGTAGATCTTCATGTCATCCTTGACTCCTGTGAAGACGGTTGGCTCGATGAAGAAACCCTTGCCATCTCCGACATTTTTGTGTGGCACGCCACCCGTCGCGAGTGTTGCGCCCTCGGATTTCCCACTTTCAATATAGCCCAGAACTCTTTCGTACTGTGCTTTCGTGACCTGAGGGCCCTGGAATGTGTCGTCGGCAAACGGGTCGCCAACTTTCGAAGTCGACTTCACGATCTCCTTGAATTGCTCAACGAACTTGTCGTAGATTGAGTCTTGCACCAGGACGCGAGATGTTGCTGTACAGATCTGACCCTGGTTCGACATGATGCCAATGTGCGCCCATTTCGCAGCTTGTTCGAGATCAGCATCGTCGAAGACTACAAGAGGTGATTTGCCGCCCGTCTCGAGTGTGATGTTCTTCATGTTGACACTGGCTGTTTTCATGATTTGCTTGCCCGTGAGTGTGCTACCGGTAAAGGCGATCTTGTCCACGTCCAAATGAGAGGCTAGGGCGTGACCGGCTTCTTTGCCGTATCCGTTCACAATGTTGATGACGCCTGGAGGGAAGATCCCAGGGACGAGACTGGCAAGGTATAGGATCGAGAGGGGAGTTTGCTCCGCAGGCTTCATTACCACCGTGTTGCCACATGCGAGTGCAGGCCCGAGTTTCCATGCCGCCATAGCCAGAGGGTAATTCCAGGGGATGATCTGACCACACACACCGATAGGTTGCTTTAAAGTGTACGCAAACTTCTGTGGCGTCGTCGGTATGGTCTCTCCATGGATCTTGTCTGCCCAACCGGCATAGTACCGTATGCAGCCAACGACTTCGGCCAAGTCCTCATTCAGTGCGACGCTGTACGGCTTTCCATTATCCCAGGTCTCCAGTGTGGCCAGCGTTTCCTTGTTCTCTTCCAAAACGTCGGCGAACTTGTACATGAGGGCGCCCCGATCGGTGGCAGGGAGATCTCGCCATGACGGATCGTTGAATGCTGCCCGCGCCGCTTTCACCGCTTTGTCGATATCATCTGCCGATGCTGCCTCAACGGAGGTGATCTCAGACTCATCTCTAACTCAGACATGTCAATTGCCACTCTCTCAACAAAGTCTCCCGGCGTGAAGAAGCCTTGGCTGCGCGGTCACTCACGTAGGGTTGATGCTGGTGATCTTATCGCCTGAACTCGACTTGACAAATTCATTGTTGATGAAGAGGCCGGTCGGCAGGGTGATCTTGCGGCCATTGGGAGCAGTAAGTTCAACTTTTAGGTCCGCCATGCTGAAGACCCGCGATCGCGTTGACGAGAATTGTCGCAGCACCGTGAGAGAAGCAGATGATTTATAACAAGTGATTGAACCCGAACTCGAGATCGAAATGCGGGATATAGACCTCGCAAGACTGTTCAACATGTAACAGGCAAGTGAAAGGAGAACCCCAAGAATTTGTTGATGGAACCAATGCCGATCCAGCGTACAGTCAGCTTTTTTTCGTTCAGAGCTTCAGGGACTTGATTGCCTGTTTGGAGCTCCAAGCTCACGGCGATCTGCGTCCTTCTGTGTAGTCAAGCAATGCAACACCAGCAAGTCGCTGAGCTCCGATAAGGAAGCGCAAAAGCAAATGGAGGGGAGGGGGAAAGTCAAGCATTAGGGACCAAATGAGGGGCAGTTGCCCTTGCGATAAGTTGCTTCCGGCTGCAGCTTCCCCTTTAAGGACTGCAGACGCTCCACTGACAAGGAATTTCAGCCTTGCTCAAGGCCATGCCGAGGTCTGCAGCGCTCCAGGATCAAGGGAGACAGCTAGTGGAGAGGCTTTCCTGCGGGTAGAAACGCCCTCATGCAGGCTGCGAAGCTGCATGGCCGGAAGAACCAGAGCGCTGGGACGTCGAAGCCCAGCTTAACGCCACGTGGAAAGCTAGGTTGGTTATGAACAGAGACAAGCACATGACATGCTCGATTTCACACTTGCTCGTATCTGCCTCGTGTATAAAATCTGCATAAGGACGATCAAGATGCCCGTTGCTTCAGCTAAGTTGTAGGTCTATTAGAAAACCTTTTCCCAAGCGGGACGCAAACACGAAGTCGACGGCCTATATAGACAGACACCTTTAAATCATTCATTGCCTCGGGGTGACTGGACAAGGACCAGCCGGTTGAGCCCAACCGAACGAAAAGAATACCGTCCTGACCATAGTCACGAATCCTCGGAGGGTGGCTTCCACGAGCGATGATCGACAGGAGGATGCCGTAGCCTTAAGGATATCTCACGACTCGACAGCGGGAGAATGCGGCTCGATAACGATGGACAATCCTTGATCTAAGTTGACCATTATCTTTGCAAGATATGTGTGGCATTCATGGTTGTCCGAAGGTTGAGCATTTCTTTTGTGTCTCATCCGTCCAATCACCACCACATTGCAGTACTGTGTGTCCAGCTATCTAGCAGTGCGAAGGAAGCACCGGGGTGAGATAATGAGACTTCTCGCTGTGCTGTTGCCTTCAGCTGACACCGTCGATATTGCGTTTCTAGTGGCGACAAGCTTGCATCTTCTTCTGATGGCATCAGTCGCCGTCAGATGACAGAGTCTATCAACCATCAGATTTCTCGCCCAGGGATTTCCAGCTCATAGTTGCTGGAGTCTGATCAGTACCAGATATGGTCGCAGGCATTTATGGCCCATTCCAAAGCTGTACGCCGGTAGAGTTCTGTCCGCTTAGCAGCGGGTGGACACAGATCCTTCGTATGCGCCGCTAGACCTTTCCCTTCAGACTTTGTCGGCAACATCGGCAACATCGGCACCATTGACAGAATTGGAGCTGCTGTCGTCCTGAACAACGTTGACAGCTGATTCTTCAAGGTCGACACCGCCTGCCACTCCAAGAGCCTCGCCGTCGGAAATACCGTTGAGTCCATCTGCATCGCTGACGCCGGCTGTGTCTTCACCTTCCCCATCAATCTCTGATTCGTAGCCACTCATCCCATCTCCATGGCCCAGAGTGGTTGGCTCACCAGCGAGGTCGAGAATGAACCGCCATGCTTCGGGGCTGACGGCTGAGACGCTGAGACGAGAGAGTTTCAACATCTGCATGTCCGCCAAGGCACCACCAGGCTTCGCGAACGTCTTCAGCTCTCGTAGAGTGATGAAGTTCTCAAATTTCTTGACGAACTCGACATGGACGACTTCCCACTTCGGATTGGCGCGGTCTGACTTTGGGTCGAAGTAAGGATGGTCAGGGTTGAATGCACTCTCGTCGACCGAATGTTCGGCAACGATCCGCATGACGCCTGCGATTCCAGGAACAGAGCAATTTGAGTGGTAGAAGAATGCCAAATCGCCTTTGCGCATGGCTCGCATATGGTTTCTGGCCATCGGATTGCGCACGCCTAGTCACCACTGTTAGAACAACCGTCGGAAAGCAGGGAGGACAAAACATGACTGACCGTCCCAAGCTTCCGGCTCCGTCTTCGCTGCAAGGTCATCGATAGAGAATTTGACATCGTGGCCCTTCTCAATACGAGACTCTGGTTCCGCCTTCATCAGCCAGTATTGTACGTCGGGGTCAATGCTAGAGAGGTCATCCGGCTTGCTTTTGTCGCCATCGACCGCTGTAGCTGCGCCATTAGCCCGCGCCACGGGATCTTCGGGTTTGGACTCGGAGTCGAATTCGGAGTCTGGTTGGACTGCTTCGGTCAGAGCCTTCGGCTTTCTTCCACGTCTAGCAGGGACGGTAACGGAGGCTTTCGGCTGGGATTTCTGGCTCGTCACTGCAGGGGCGGGTTTGGCAGAGGAGGCGGCAGGTTTGGGAGTTGAGGCTGCTATGTGATTTTTAGCCCAGAGTCATTCTCGGAAGTCTCAGCTTCAACTCACACTTGGTATTCTGGGCCGGTCTTCCCCGTCTCTTAGGCGTGACATTCTCTTCCGCGGTGGGTGTATGAGCAGCAGCAGCAGCAGCAGCAGCCTTGGGAGGTCTACCGCGTCTCTTGGCCGCAGGCTTCAGTTCCGCAACAGCAGGGCTCACATTCTGAGTGCTAGATGAGCGGCGTCTTGTGAACTTGTACTGGGGTTCACCAACAGAGGTACGCTTGGGCCGCCCTGAAGGTGAGACAGTCGGCGGATCAGGTATGTTTGTGGTAGAGCCAATGCGAACTTTCTTCGCGGGAGCGCCAGGGTTTGACGCAGCTTTGCGCTTCCTCGGCTGGATTGTGAGAGGCATAGTGGGCCAGAACTTTCAGAAAACGGAAATGTGAGAAGAGTGCGCGACTGAGTGGACGATCAGCCTGTCGCGGGAAATGAGGTTATGGTGAACGAATGACCGCGCAAAGTAGCCTATATAAAATAGGCGCGTCGCGGTTGGGGAAATAAAGTTAATTAAGTCTAATTTAAAGCCTAGCCTATTTTCCCGATTAGGTAGACAAAGCTTGGCGATATCTCAACGGAGGTTTGTGTGAGCTGAGCTTGACTTGCATGTTTACAGCTGCGTGGTTGAGAGGTGATTGTCTTCAGACTTGTCTACAACGAAAAGTCTTTTAGAGCCAACTCCAGTACATCTTCCTGAGCTGGATTGTCACTGAGAGGTGATGTTCTTCGGACTTGTCTATAACAGAAAGTCTCTTGAAGCCAACTCCAGTACAACTTGTTGAGCTGGATGTATCATACCTCTCTCACCAAATATTGTCTGTTGTCTCTGGGTGGTCTTAGAAGGTTCAGTTCCCAAGGTTAATTAGTTAGTCACCCATAACATCCTTGTAGCAACCAGCAGCAATGTCCCGTATATAGAACATACCCAACTCTAGTACGATATCGTATAGAAAGCGGGTACCTAGCGACGTCCGTACTGTGATATCGGATGTCCACAACTTAACACCTTCAACTCAATTGACATCCCTTAGTGCCACCTCACGGTGATGGACCACCAACCCCTGGGTCCGCCAATAGACAGTTTTTTCAGGCGGTTCGCGGGCATTGTTGTGCACAAAGTAGTGTGTAGCAGCTGAGAGGAAGAGTAACGCAGAACATCCCGCAGAGCCTGTGATTGTAGCTAACAGAGAAAAGACCCAGTCATAGGTACAGTAGGTCGCTGACACTTAGCACAGGACGTACGGAACGCTGTCTCAGTGCTTGCATAGTACGAGTAGCACGCATAAAGGTAGGCCTGAGACATCCTGCCATTGGCGGGCCACGATTGGAGTCGCCTCAAAGAAGTTGTACTGTGTAGGCGCGTCAGTAGATGGCTGGCCGGTGGTCAGTCAGTGGTCAGTGGTTGACTGTGACCAGCTGAAGCTACTGTACTGAGTACGTTTCCCGTCTTCACCCCTGTCAGAATGCAAAGTGACTGCACTGTGTACCTCTCACGGGCCAGTCTTGCGTCAGAAAACCCCCGCAGGAAGGGCCTCCTGCAAGGTATGTCGAAGTGAGGCACCAAGGAATCATAAAACGATGCTGGCAAAAAGCAAAAAGGCAAAAGACGCAACCAGCATGGCACCACGCATGGATGAGAATGCATTTCCCCCACCCACTTCTTCGTTGGTGAACACTGACCGCAGAAACAGATCATGAACCTGCCAGAATCCCTGTCTTCGCAATCTTCTAGGGCTAACCACGAGCCACTCAGAGATGCGAGACACTCTGCTCGAGGGGAGGGCGGGGGCGACTACGATTTGGAATCCCCTCCCCCCCTCCGCTTTCTCACATCTGCAGCCACGTGTCCGCCCGAGAATCGCGGACGTGCCCTTGCAGCAGGATCGGTGTGGTGGCTTTCGTTTTGGACTGGCAATGCCCCCACTCAGCCCCGGGATGACGCCTCACACGGCAAGCGCTCGGGCACTGGTCAGGACTGAGGGAGGTATCTTTCCTGCCCTGGAGCGTTGTCGTTATCCCTTTCTGGCTGGGCTGGAATGCAAGATGGAAGACGTGCACGGTGAAATTGGCAGCAGGCAGATCGGAAGGATTTTCAGAGCACGCAATTGGCGTTGGCGTTGGTGTGCGGGCAGCGAGGGCCGCTATTTAGTAATGTCAAGAAACGATACTGGGTACAGGCAGCATGCCGTGCCGCCAGTGACGGACGCTGGTCGAACGGGTCAAGCAGAGCAGAAGCAAGCAGCACGGCAAGGAAGCAAGCAAGCTGCTACTGCAGGATGCAGGCTCGCAAGCTATTTTTCCGACCCATGTCCTGCACGAGGTACTCGTATCACCTGCAGGTCAAGTGCTTGCATCACATCACGCACATCACTGACTCGGCGCGTGAAATCTTCAGTGACAGTAGTGTGGCCCGCGCAGCCCGCGAGACGAGCCAGGCACTAGCCTGGGACTGTCCGGTTAGTGCTCACGGATGGTGCTTGAAGCTCCATGGACAAAAGTGCTGCTGATGCCAGAGGTACTGTACGAGGTGATTGCACATCGATAGCTGAGCCACCGCATCAGCATCATCATCAGCATCGGCATGCTCGAATGACGTCCAGGACATCTGGTCTCCTTTCCAGTCCACATTTCTCGTACTCGTACGAGCACACAGCACAAGCTGCGATGGCGGTTGGGATAATGGACGCCACGCCACAGCAACGCCAGGTGACATCAGAAGGAAGGGTCCCTCGAGCCACACACCTTCAACGCCAGCAGTTTGGTGTGCAGGGAGAGAAACGTCGATAAAAGTGGGCAGCCAGCAAGCAAGCAAGCCAGCAAGCCTCTTTCGTGATGGCGATGGGGGAGAGGCTCCGTTCCCGCCCACGTGTGGAATGCCTCGCTCGGATCCGCCCTCTCCCCCTGATCCCTGCCGGTCGCGCTAGGGGCTGCTGTGCGAGTTACTGCAATGCAGGATGCGTCGTTGGGCCGCTGTGCATATTGCATAATGGGTACGGAGTACAGCCAGGACGTTGTGTGTTCCGAGCGTGTGGCTTATTTGACACCGTTGGCCAGGTGAATCTACCGTTTGACATACGGAGTACGTCCTGGGAGTGATGGACGAGTCCTGCCAGTGGTCGTCCCCAGCCACGGTCTTGTTTCCTACTTCTTGTGCTGGTGCCATCATTTGTCGGATTGCCCGCACCAGCTGCGTCTACTCGACCCCCGAACACCTGACTGCCTGGCACTCCGAAGCAAAGCCCTTCCACTCGCCGTGACGCGTCGAATGCCAGCCATACAGTATTCTTAGGCTGGCAGGACATTGCATGTCGCCTTTAGTGCCCTCAAAACCGGCCGGCATCCTGTCCTCGCACTCACAATGCCAATACGTATACAACTCCCGTGAGATTCGACGCAAAGGATCCAAGATGGTGTGCTGGTCAAAGACGCTGACTCCGGTGGGCGTCCTCCGTAGCGACTTAACCATGTAACTAGTCGTGCTAGTCAAAGGCGGGCATAAGTAACTAACCCTCGTAGTAATACTCCATAATGTACGGAGTACTTAGCCTTCAGTCCTCCTGTAGCTGGTGAACCCAACCGACGGGATCTCACCAATCTTTCATGCATTATGGGGTCCTGACCATTGATCTCCCACAAATGGAGCATCAGAGCATCACAGCATCAAGCCACAGAACGTAACTAGTACGTACAGTAGTGTGGCTCCGTCCTCGGACGTACTCTCTGTCCCTCTCGCGCCGGTCCCATGATCCCAGCCAGCCAATCCACCCAGCAGATCGCCGCTCGCTAAATAGTCTGAACCATCATGTCCAGCGAACGAGTTACGGAGTTCTGTAGACGATGGTCCAAAAGTCAAAAGAAGATACAGTACTGGATACTGTCCTCCTTACGTCCTCGGTCGTGGAGCATCCGCCGACACGACAGAGTCGAAGATGGGGGCCCCCCTGACATGCCTGACATACAAAGACAGACTCTGGGCTGGCGCTCGGTGCGAGCGGTTAAGAGTTTCGTCAAGTCCGGAGTACTACTTACAGTAGGGTACTCGTGCCGACGCCGTTGCGCGCATTCGGGAAGACTACATACAATAATACGTACGTGGTCAACGCGCAAGATTGGACTTGGACTACTTCGTACTAATGTATGTAACTTGCTCCATCTCCATCTACCGCACTGTACAAGTACGTGCCTTGGCAAAAAGATCGAGGCCCAAGATTAGAGATCACAGATGAGAGATTAGGATTGCACAATTATCGTACTGTACTCTAAGAGGAAGCGGTGGTCGGAAAGCAGGCGACTCGACTGGCTGGTTTGAACGTACTACTGCAAGCGTCCGGGCGCTGCGAGCGGTCACCCGACTACGAGGTACTCCGTATGCTTGACGTAGTAGCTCGTCCTGCCGAGATCGTTGTTTAGATCTACATGGACACGCACAGTAGTCACGCATACGCGCATACTACGGAGTGCGAGGGTACTTCTTAGTCCCTATCCCGCGAACCTTGTCTTGTGGCTCCCAGCCCCAGCGGTTGACGGGCACACGGGGTTTGGCGGAGATGGGTGGATGAGTGGCAAGGTACGGACGGAGGACGAGTACCAGTAGAGCAAGACAGACATCACACAGACACTACCGGTAGGGAACGATGCTCCGTACTGTAACTCGTCCTCCACGGGCCAAAGGTCACCAACTCACCAACTCACACTTGAAAAAGTTTCGGGCGAAAATCCCGGTCTGCCACCACAGGACTCGTATATCTTTTCTGTGCCTACCAGGTACCTGCCACCATGTACTCCGTATCAATGTATGAGAACCGCTACGCGACGCTCCGCAGGATGATAAACCGTGGCTCCGGTTGGCAGCTGTCCTGCCTCTCGCTGGCCAATACCGAATCATGGTCACCGTCTTTGCGCATTGATTGGCCCGGACGTCACATTTTAGGAGCTGAGAGGCCATGAAAATGCAGAGGCGTCAGAGCCAGAGAGTGGAAACGGAGCTCCATCCTTAGCGCTCCGTGTGAATGCAGGCTCGAGAAATGGGAGCCAGTAGCTAGCTGTTGGCTTGCTGTGGAAGTAGTCAACGACTTCTATTCTGAGCGAAAGTGAGTAACGCGGTGAACTAGTTACTGTACCTAGGGATCATCTGCTCTGCGCTGTTCCCAGCTCCGAGCTCGGCAAAGGGTGGCAACGGCATAGCCAGCGTGTAAGCAGTTGTCGGTGAGCCACGCTGGAAGCTACGTCCTTCTCAGTGGTTGAAAGGCAGGTCAGCGTCTTCGTACGTTCTGAGGTCCCCTGCTCGTGCCTACGGTGGCGATGAAGCGCGCCGTACACAGCAGACTCGGAACAAAGGGCATCTACAGAAAGGAGCTTCTGAAGCATAGTCACAACATCCGCGGATAGGTGGATAGGTAGGTAGATATATAGAAGTACATTCACCAACTATACGGTGTGCCCGCCCACACAGCCAGATGCAACAAGGCCGTGTCTCTGATTTTGGCTGCCAATCTGCAAGGCCTGGGAACTGGATGTCGCTCTTGCTGCCCTGGTTTCCTTTGCCCGGCCCTGCCCTGCCCTGCCCTGCCGCTTCTCTTCCAGACATAACGCCAGATGGTAACATATTAATCCAACAAGGGGTATAGTTGGGTATCTTGCAAGCAGAACGCCACGACAGATATGAAGACGGAAAAAAAAAAAAAGGAAAAAGATCAGCCAAGATAGTGTAGGATGTGTCCAAATCTGCTGCAGAAATGGAAAAATCGGGGCCAACGAAAGGAGCCCTTGTGACGACAAGCGCAAATGCCATTCTTTTTGGATATACCGTCAGTCGTAATCGTGTCCCACCGGGGTCGATGGGAGTATGGTCGCGTTTTGAGGTCGCCCCCATTTGTCGTCTCTCTAGGAATAAGTCATGTCGAAGGAAAGAATTATCTGTGTAGTCTGCTTCGTTTGGGGCGTTTCTTCATTCACCGGCCGGAACTCCAGGTCCTGTCAAATGGATCTCTCCGAAAGGCGTCGTACGAGTGTGAGCGCGTGACGTTGGGAGGCGGCGGCGGAGGCACTGACCCTGCTGGCAAAGTCCTCGGCGTGCCATAGGCGCTCTGTCCACCAGGCGGAGGAGGGAGTGTCAGAGGAGGAGGAGGCTGAGACGGGAACGCCCCTCCATAGGTCGGTGGAGGTGGTGAATGACCTTGCCGCCCGGTGAAGGTCGGCTGGTAGTCACCCGTTCGTCGACGTTGTGAAGGCCCGGGCTCCGTGCGCTCGCGATACGAGTCGTCCGATACTGTGGGATCGTCCAACGTGCCTCCTGAGGGTGGTCCGCCGACTGCCGCCGTCGCCGCCAGTCTTCGTTGCTGGGGGGACTGTGGGCGCTGTAATATCTGTGCACCGTGCCTGGCTGCCAGGTCGCGAAAATAGTTCCGTTCCGACAGATAATGGTCGCGTTCTTCTATCAATTCCCTCAGTTCCTGCTGCAACCCGGTAATGGTCTGTGAAGCTTCCTTCTCCTTCTCCTTCCTCCGTGCGCGGAACCGGGCTGACGCCCCGGCATTGCGCTTCCTCTTCTCGTCCGCCACTTTGGATGCCTGCTGCAGGTCCAGCTCCACGGGAATGTTCATGGGTCCTTGGTCGGTGTCGAGCGTCATCTGATACGAAGCCGGGCCTTGTTGATACCCTTCGTGTGGTCCATGACCTTGGGTCTCCTGACTGTAACCTGTCGCGCCCCCTGCTGGCATCACTCTAAAAGGGGCCGGTGCCTGAGATGGCGGCTGAATGGCGCCGTAACGATAGCCTGGAGAAGGCTGGTCGAGCTTGCCATACGACGTTTGAGACGTCGAGGAGCGCTCGGTCTGGGGCGTAACAATGCGCTCGAATCCGCGAGCAGGGCTCTCCGGGACGTGCGCCGAACGGGGTTGGCCCGATTCGGCCGGTGCCAGGTTGGTCAAATGGGAAGCCGTCGCGATCGACAAGGGAGGCAGAGGTGGGATCTCCGAGCCGGGATATGGTCCAGGTTCTGCGGTGTAGGTGCGACCGCCGGCGCTCGGGTGAGGCTGCAATGGCTGGATCGTGGAATGAAAGGCCGGATTCCTTCTGGCGCCCAAGCTCGCAGCACGCATTCCTGGCGACTTCGGCGTGAGGACGCGCCTGCCCACGCGACTGCCTGGTAATTGCGCTGGCTCCTGAGCGGGTGATCGTGGGTCTGTACGTTTTCGGCTCCGCGGTGACTCGGTGGGCGCCGGGAGAAGACTTTGGGTGAGGCTCATGGCGGGCCGACCGGTGTGACTGACATTATGGGGCTCTCTATCATCGGGCTCTACTGGGGGGTTCAGAATGCTGTGCACACCAAAAGCCCGCGAGGGCGTTTGCGCGGTCGATTCTGCCGACGGACGACGAGAGCTTATCCCCAGTCCCACCTCGGTCACAGCGCGTCCTTGGGGAATTCCACCATATCCGCCATAGGCCTCCGTCCGGACAGCACTCGCCGTGCTGGGTCGTGACGACTCGGCGCTGGCCCCAGAGGCCTGCGAAAAGGGATTCTGTCCTCCGGCAGTGGTGGGAGTGGTGATTGATGGATTGTCCGCCGGGGGCGAGGAGTGTGACATGTACTTATTGTGAGCCTCCTCGTGCGGCGGATACCCCGGTCGCAACCATGGATGTTCCTCGTGCGGCACTCCTCCGCTTCCCCTCCTCCAACGATCCTGAGGCCCTGTGCGAGGTGGCGGGCTGGTCTGGCGAGACTGGTAGTTCCAGGACGGCTGAAAGTATCCCGCGTTCGGAGGTGACCTGGGGTATTGTTGGAAGGGGGAGTAGTTGGGGTCGATAGTCGCCGCCAGATTGAAGGCCTTCTATTGCCAGAGAGGTCAGACAGAGAAAGGGCGTGGCTGTAAGCTCGCGCGCGGCCAGACTTACAAGAGTACTTCTAGAGGTCGCGGTAATCCGGAGTCAGAGCAGGGATACGACCAAGGCCAGAAAGCCGGACAGCAGATTGCGCATCCCAGATCAGAAGCATTTGCGCAAGCCTTCCATTCCCTTGCCAGGATCGTCAGATAATTCGTGCTTGGGGGCAATAATGGATGCGGCAAATGAGAGTCATCAAACGACAACCCTGGCCCTAAGAGGTCCGTTCGAACAACCAGCACAAATTGCACCAGGCAAAGCCGAGCGCACAGATGTCGACGGGCACAGGAGAACAAATAGTGTCGTGACGGACTAGCCTGAGGTCAGCTCGTAATATTTCACCGTCCGGAGTGGGCAGCAGCGTAAGCAGAGGTACTTTGAGTGAGTGGCCCGCCGCAACTCCTGGGACGGGGAAGCGGGAGGCATTATTTGTTGGTGTTCGAAAGCGAAATGCTTCCAGGCTTCTAGCGCGCGTGGTAGCGTTGATGCCAGCCTGCCCTCGTCACGATCTGAGCAGTGCGCTTCGAAGGAGGAGCCCTCGAGGCAGGGACGTTTGGGCCTGACGCCGACAGGCTGTGGTCCCCATCAGCAGGCAGGAGAGGCAAGTGGGTCGCGCCGTCCAGCGGGTGTCAACCATGCGAGTAGCCGGTGGACGGCGGATGGGGAACGGCCACAGGTGATGAGGATTCAGATTCGATATCCAAAGGGCAGCCGGGATGCGAGGAAAACTAGTCCCATCGCCCGAGCATGCCTTGACAAGCGCGTGATGGCATCGGCAGGCGGAATGATGGCATCGCTGGGCAGCAACTGTGATAGTAGCGCGCCTCTTGGTCGGCACGGCGGTGATGTGGCGCTGCGGAACGCCCTGGGGGGTCGGTGACTGCCAACCAGCGTGGGTCTGGTGGGCTAATTAGACTTGGAGCTTTGCCGTTAGCCTGGAGATAATAAAGAGCTAGCTGTGCCCTGTCACCGGGCCTGTGGAAAAGAGCTGCCCAGGGTTTGCCAGGGGGAGGACTGCGGCTCCACACAGCCCATCCATCCTGTACCTGCAAGACAGCCACCCGTGGCCAACGGGAGGAGGAGATTTCCATTCCTCGAAGAGGGGGTTTCGAGGTGGCGCACACGGCAGGTAATCCTCTTCTCGTCTCCCGGCCGAGGGCAAGGTGCAACGCAACGGGCAGGTGGTAGGGGCGGTTTGAGCATAGGCCCAGGGGCAGGAAACGTCTGCCATGCAGCCATGTCAGGCATGCCGACGGCCACCAGCAGTGCGCGTTAGCCTTGCTTCTTGGCCTGTGCCCATTGGCATCCTGCCGACGTCGGCTTCGCTCCCCCGTGCAGTTTGATCCCCAGTTGGCAGCTGCCTGGATCAGAAGCTCGTAGCGGGCGTCCCGGGAATTCGCTGGAAATGCTAAAGCAAGGCGATTAGGGCGTTCGGTGGCCGTAGCCGCTTATTGGATCGCGGCTCATCTGCTGCTCGCCTGGGTTCAGGCTTCAAGAGCTCTATCCCTGTCCAATGCGAACGATCCTTCTGCTTTTGGACCAGGAAAGCCACAAGCTGTCGTCCAATTTGGACAATCGACCATGGACGCAATGCACAATAGCACCATCTCTGAGCGAGAGGCACAGGAAAGGATCCTGCGTCCCGCTGCACGTCCAGCCCATGGACTCGTTCGAGTATTGGTACGTGCCCTTGCAAGTGAAGCAAGTAGCACAGGATCCGGCTTACCATCACTACTGGGTATGGGGGTACGAGCTACCTGGCAGACGGTCCTCGAGGTGACGAAGGCCCCCTACTGGCCGGTCTTCTGTCTTGCTCCCCGTGCATCGTAATCAATCAAACTCTGTTCCCGCTGGTCTGCTCCGCGTGCCGGGGATTCGACGTCCTGCGAAGGCAAAGCGACACCGTTGAGCTTCCGTCGTCTTCGCCATAAGCCGTCCCTTCCCTGCACTTCGGTTACTGCGTGACATAGTCCGTACTCCGTAGGTTCCAAGGAATTGTGGTTAGCTTGTCCCGGGAAAAAGTCCACTTCGGCGATCACGTCGATCATATTATCCATACCCTGGGACTAGGTCTGAAAAGGTCCCCCTGATCTCGCTCGCATATCAAAGATATTTCCGGGATAATCGATCCCAATGTGGCCAGTCACAAGGAGAGGCTCGTCTCTTGGGCTTCAATTTGCGTCTCGGCCAACCCTTGCAGCCCTGTCCGCGAATATCCGCAGCCAGAGACATTCAGGCTCTTCACTGTCTGGCTTCCGATGCTGGGCTGTGACAGGAACTCGATATCTGCGTCGCCCCTCGTCCCGCTGGCAAGAAGGAATCGATAGAGTCAAAGCTGCAGGCCAGGACAGAATCATGCCCTGACTTCAGATTGGAGTCATTTCTCAGGGTTACACGGGCTGCTGCAAACTCCCCATCAAGCGATCCTGTCGCTTCCACTTTGGGGTCCTTGACTGCGACACCCATCCTCGTTCTTCCCAGCTGGGGCAATTTGGAGGATTTCCATGTAGAATCTGTGTGGGATGGTTCAACTCGATCCACATGACTCTCCACACAGACAAGACCTGCCAGCAGAGGTCGTGACAGGAAATATCTAGCTCGACGAATGGTCCTTCTCTCATCTTGGTAACTACTCCTGCAAACTCTGTATGGGGCAAAGCTCAGCTCGAAGTGGACAATAAGCGGACACGGGGGTATCGAGGTACCACAAGATGTCCTCCAATTCGTGGAAAGCCTCGCCAACAGAATTTCGTACGTCCTACGACAACAAACTGTTCTCTATCTCAGACCATGGACGCGGGGGGCTGGCTGTAGTGTCTCTCGCTAGGATCCGTAGGATAACGTCCAGAAAGTCTCATAACTCCCCACCCGCATGCATCCTGTACGGTACCAGGACTTGACAACTGCAGATACGGGCGTTAAGGTCTTTAACTGCAAACAGTTAAGGCGACCTGCGCGCTGAACATAGGTGCCGGATCTCTGGAACTGCACCTTCGCTAGCCCTGCATGAAGACTATCTCGTAACAACAAGAATAAGTAAGCGGTATGGGTCAGGCGGTCTGGAGAGCAAGCTGTCCATCCACAGGGGCAACCTTGGTACCTCGTACCATCATGATCAGCCTGCCAGTCCTCGAGCTCGGAATGCTTTACGTCATTAGATCCCGTTCCACCAGCCTGGGTAGGTGACATGTTGGTGCCACGCGGCGTGCAAGCGATCCTCTGCCCGAGGCTGCTGATTGCGACCGCGACCACCGTTCACGTCGGTCGTGGTGGCATCTCCCATCTCAGGGGCTCCCCCAATACGGATGCGGCTCGGTTGAAATGGGCACCACGGGACTGGGAACATTCGCGCTCGTGATCTGCACGCATGGCGACCAACCGCGCCCGGTGAAGAACCCTTTTGACGCCGCGTTCGTCGGCTATGCACCTCGCTGCAGCGTCGATTCGTGGTACCATGCAGGCCAAGGACTCAAAGCATCCATTAGCACCACGATGAGTGTAGAAAGGGTGTGTTGGAGAGCGCAGGGTAGAGGTCACAATCGGTGTCTGTAATCCCCCTCTTTTCACCTGCTGCTCTTCTCCTTCTCATGGCGCTCCGTCTTCACCAAATCGGCGGTAAGGCAGCGGTATTACCCAGTGCAGTACCCTTTCGTGGACGCCTATGGGGCTGAACACGACTCGCCGTCAAAGGCCGTTAGTGGAGACGGTGAAGGCTTGCGAGGACGAACGAACGGCCTGTTGGACAAGCGACGATAGGTACGCCATCTCGAGGACATGCGCCCGACTCGTGCGGTGCTGCTGTGCCCAGGAGAATGCGCCCCCACTGCGCCAGACACCTTCCAGAGTCGACAAAGTGTGACTGTTCGCATGATGTAAGTGAACATCCGGTGGCGAGATGGTGGGAATGGCAAGACTCAAAAGGCTGGTCGAAAACAACGGCCACGTGGGACTGCCTGCCGTTAAGGCCGGACCCATGCCCAGAAAGTCCAACAGGCGCCACCCTGGGGGCGCCATTCTTGCCCCTGGAGCCTGCAGCCTGCAGCCTGGGGCTTAACTAAAGCTCTTTAGCATGACGCCTGCCGAGCAAAACCATTTGCAGCCTCCCCCTCACACCCCCCTTGCCGATTTCGTCACCCTGGACACCGGAGGCCTTGACCTTTGGCAAGCCCTATTTTGGGAACCTCGACAGAACATTGGTAATGCGTCGCAAATCGACCTGAGGCGCTCGGCTTCGTATTCTTTCGCTCTGGAAAGGGAAATCATGAACTAGGATCTTTTCCCAAGGCAGATTGAGCATGCTGTTTGGGTGCGCCCAAGCTCGCCGCCACGGCCTGCGATAGTCGTGGGTACCCGCTCATGGAAGGACATCCGACGACTTCCCTACCTGTTAGGCGATGCGAGTTCTCATGCCCTTTAGCGAGATAACAGGTTGAACTGGAGAGCCGGAGCAAGACCTGAACCAGGAGTTTGTGGCCGACTCGGTCGACGGCATCATCGTCCAGCACGCTGCATTGAACTGCAAGGGTTTCTCAGGAGCGCAGATTGCAGCCAACCCACCGCCAGCTGAACAACGAGTCAGTATCTCAATATTTTGAGTATTCACGACCCTTGCAGACTCGTTCAAGTCGAACATCACAAGGTAACCCCAATTTCGGCTGGTCGGAGTCCTGTTCGAGCACGAGGTATCCTAGAAACACCTTCTGTTCCATGACTAGTCCTGGATTCGTAGTGGCAGGCACTACTGGATCGCTTATCAGGGTGTATCGATTTAAGCCAACGGACACTACTCCATCAGTGCTACGTAATTGTCATCCTCGTCTAGGGGGATGCAGCGAACTATTTCTGCCAGGACCAGGCTACTTTATTGACGTTCCAGATGGCCGTCAGTGCGCTTCCACCGGAGAGCTTTGAGAACACGGATGAAAGTCTTAGTTGGACCGCCATTTGAGACCATGACCCCCGACATCCAATCTCGCTTGGGCAAGTCCCATGGACAGTCTTCCTTCTAGAAGCATCAAACGACCTTCTTCAAGGTCGCCTAGTCCAAGCGAGCCTTGTACTTCGGCATGCCCTCGATTCCGACGTCCACCCTGAACAAATTTCCAGCAAATTTGGCCGACTCTGGGAATTTGTCAGGCTCATCTTCCTTGGCACTAGTGATGAACAGCTCAGTCCCTGCAAAGGTCGGACAGGTGATGTTGCGCGTCGGAAGGTGGATGACCCCTGTGACCGCACCTTGGGGCGATATCCGGATGACTTTGGAGCCGCCGTAACAGGCGTGCCAGATGTTGCCTTCGACGTCCATGGCGTGGCCATCCGGGTGCACCCCCGGCTCTTCATGATGATAGAACACCCTCTGGTTGGATATGCTTCCTGTCTTCCTGTCGTAGTCAAAGGCATAGACGTTCTGGGGCGGCGAGTCGGTCAGGAACATCGTGCTGTCGCTTTGGTTCCAGGTAATGCCGTTGGGAATGGTCATGTTCTCAAAGACCGTGTGCAGCGTCCCATCGTGGTCGAGGCGGAAGAGGCAACCCTCTTCCTTCAGCTCAGTGATGGTGGGATCATCGAATGCTTCTACCCAGAAGCGACCGTCAGTATCGACCGCACCGTCGTTCGAGCGCATCCTGTGCCAACCACGTGAGTCAAAGACCATACGTATCCGCCCGAGCCTATAAAGTAAGCATACCTTTGTGCCTTGTCCTCGGCATCGGGCCCCGTCCAGTACTTGGCGACATATTCATGCTCTCCTGTCTTCAGGTTGAATTTCGTGACCCCATCCTTTGCCCCGGCCAAAATCACCTCTGAGGAATCGACGCCTTCAATGTTGGCGGTGACGCCAATCGGCTGTTTGGTGTCGATGATCTTGACCGAATCAGGGCCCTTGTTGAGATCGATGATGAAGAGCTTCTTGTTGTTGATATCCTGCTGGCGAGTCAGCGCGAGGAGGCAACCAAGGACGGCCGGTCAACCATGTATCGGAGCTCGTGCCGCTCTTTTGTATAATAAGGTCCTTCGCCCAAACTACACCTTGACGGATAGTATGCCTGGAGACGATTAGCCGTGAGTGGAGGCGGGTAACTTCGGAAGATATCCAAGACTGACCTCCTTCACAGTCCATTCCTGCATTCCCATCGTGAATACGGTTCGACGGTGATGTCGTTTCTGTTGTCTGTTTCCCTGGCTGGAGGGTGATGAAGTGGTTAATCGAGGAAGAACAGCCTGTGCCGCTTGACATCATGGTTTTGTGCGGGTAGTAGGTCATGATTTATATCGGGTCCGTTTTCGGCCCACGGTCACCTGGGTCGTTCTACACCTCTATCTCGGTCCTACCCAGTACAACGCTGCTAGCCACAGGGCCCTATTGGCTTTTGCGGCACGGCGTAGGCACTCAACATTTAGGCAAAAGGTGCAGAATCTCGACCGCCATCACAAATTCGAAATAGTCCAGCCCGAGGATGACCCGGACCAAGGCCGGAGGCTCAAGCCCTCACCGGGTCAGGCCTTCTGATGCTGGCCGGTGTGATACAAGAGCCAGAAGATTTGTCTGAAGCATCGTTCCAGGGGGGGGCACCCACTGGCTGCCCCGAAACACCTGAAGAACATCCGATGAGCGGACATGCATACTACAGTCATGCAGTCCTGTGTCGCGGCAGGCTATTCTAAGCAACCTCTCCCGTACGTCCAAGCAGGGACCAGTTCTCGAGGACCAAGGTTTTCATGGTCGTATGAGTGTAGGCCGTCGAGCTCTTCCGCCATCACCTGTGTCTGGCTCTACATGCTCCAAAGCACACCTCACTGCTGGAGATGCAGGGAGCGAGACCGGTTGGTCCTATATACTTTCGCCCACTTTGAGGCAACAGTCTGTACTCCGCGTGAACTGGGGACACTGCGAGCGGGCTGTGGACAGCTGCAGCTTGGTATATCGCCAAGCACACCAGACCAGCATTTCACCAATAGAGTGGCATGCATTTCAAGCCCCGACAGCAGGAGTAATAAAGGCTTTGATGGCGAGCGAAGCGTTTCCGTCATGCGACCTCAACAGCTCTGTGGCCTTGTTCTTGGAAAGATCGAGCTCCTCCACCTGGAAAAAGACATCAGTCAATTACTGTAGCATAGACACGGGCCCGCGATACCCACCAGGAAGTTGACATCCTCGGCTGCGATCTTGATTTTCTTCTTCACCTCGATCTCTTTCTTGGTCTCTGCCTTTGTCGGGTCCTCCTTCTTCTTGCTGACACCACTGGCAATCTCGAGCCTAGACATGGCCTTGCCCAACGCCTCTTGGTCAGCTGCGGACGGCTGCTTGGGACCGGTCTCGCCGTTGTCCGTCGACATCTCGTTGGCATTCAGAGAATTGAGCGCCACCGCAGCTTTGCGGTCTTCGGCATTCTTGGGGAGATTTTGAGAAGCCTCATCGTCGGCTGCATCTGCGGCAGCCGCTGACGCCGAGGGGACCGGTTCCGCCATGTCGTAATGTGTTGTGCCTTGTCAATGTATACACGAATACAAGGAGCGACTCGCTGAAATTCAATGCAACTACACAGTATCTGGCGCGATGGAGGCGAATGATCCACCGGATAGTCGCTGTGCCTCGCCGTAGGCACAACGGAGCCCGCTAGCCAGGAAGGGATTGGCGCTGTATCAGAAACATTCCATTTCCCTGTGTTGACTCATGACTGTGTCCTTTGGAAGCATTGAAGCACGTCCATTAACACGATACCTGGGTGAGCAACAATCTACTGCAGACTTGGGCTCACTTCAATCTGAAATACTCATTTGAATCTCTCTCCGAAGACGACCTTGCCCACAACCGTGACTCAAGTCCCCTCGAAGAAATACTCGAATGCGCGAGTGAAGAGGCCGTGCAACCGAAGAAATTCTCGAGTAACAGCAGCCAAAACACATCACTGTGGAGAGTAGCGTCCACAAGCCGCATTCTCGGTGTATCCAGAATCACGACACAAAAGCAAAGGCCGAACTCAGGATGGAGATCAATGGTTCAAGTGGTGCGAGTGCTGGTGGCCCATGGACGCCCTCGAGCTGGAAAACCCGCCCGATCGTCCAATCAGTCACCTACAGCGACACACACTCCTTCGACACTTCCCTTCAAAAACTCAACAAACTCCCACCCCTCGTCACGCCGCGAGAAATCGTCAAGCTGAAAAACGAACTCCGCGAAGTGGCTAGGGGCAATGCCTTCCTCCTTCAAGGCGGCGACTGCGCCGAGCTCTTCGACTACTGTACCCAGGATATGATCGAGGCCAAAGTCAAGCTCCTGCTCCAGATGTCCCTGGTCTTGATTTACGGCGCGAAGAAAAAGGTTGTCCGTGTGGCGCGCATGGCCGGCCAATACGCCAAACCACGGTCCTCGCCCATGGAAGTCGTCAACGGCGTCTCCATGCCCAGTTTCCGAGGCGACATTCTGAACAGCTACGAAGCGGACCCCGCGCTTCGGGAACCAGATCCCAAGAGGCTGGTCGACGCGTACTTCCACTCGGCCGCGACGCAGAACTACCTCCGTGCAGCACTGACGAGTGGGCTGGCCGACCTCCACGCCCCGCTGGATTGGAGTCTAGGCCACGTCCGCGACCCCTCGGTCCGGGACAACTACCAAGTCATTGTCGAACGGATCACCGACACGCTGGAGATGATGCGGACGATCGGCCTCGACACCGGCGGCGGGCTGGAGACGGTAGACCTGTTCACATCGCACGAGGGTCTGCTTCTCGAGTATGAACAGGCACTGACGCGGCAGTTCAAACATCCGACGAATTACCACCACCAGCAGCGGCGTGACGTGCCTCGACCCGTCTCACCGGTCGCACAGCAACCACCAAAGAGTCGGAAAACATCACTGCCAACGCAACTGCCCCCGCCTTTACCCCCGACGAGAGGCTACTACGACACATCCGCCCACATGGTCTGGGTCGGCGACCGCACGCGACAGCTCACGCACGCGCACGTCGAATTCTTCCGCGGCATCGCCAACCCGATCGGCGTGAAAGTTGGCCCCTCGATGCCGCCCTCGGACCTCGTGCCCCTCCTGGACATCCTCAACCCGGGCTGCGAAGTCGGTAAGATCGTCCTCATCACGCGGTACGGGTGCGACAAGATCGCCGCCCACTTGCCGGGACATATCCGCGCCGTGCAAAACTCGCGGCACCAAGGCACCGTCGTGTGGCAGTGCGATCCCATGCACGGTAACGGACGAAACGCCACGGTGACGATGCCCCCGGATTCGACCATCAACGGCTCCACGACGGCCGGGTCGGGGTCCACGACGATCAAGACCCGTCGGTTCAGCGACATCCTGTCGGAACTTCGTCAAGCTCTGCAGATCCATCGCTCCCACGGCAGCTATCTTGGCGGCATGCATCTGGAACTGACGGGCGAGGCGGTGACGGAGTGCGTGGGCGGTGCAGAGGAGCTCACCGAACAGGATCTCAGCCTGAATTACGCCACGTTCTGCGATCCGCGGCTGAATGAGAAGCAGGCTCTGGAGCTGGCTTTTCTGGTCGCGGGCTTCTACAGGGACGTGAGTGGTGGAAAGTAGGTAGATTGCGAAGCAGGCAATCCCTCGAGCTGGCTTTTTGAGTCGCGCGGGCTTTTACAGGGACGTGAGTGGCACTAGTAGTGGGAGGGAAGTAAGTAAGTTGAATGAGGATGGACGATCCGGTATGGCATAGATGGCAGTAGGCGCAAGTCAGAGGGGGAGAGCGCGCGAGACAGAGTGTGCGTACATCTGTAGCGGAATGTTCAATGGACATACCGTGTATGTACATACGTCTATTGCATTCAATGCCACTTTTTGTACAGTACGCATCCAGGGACGGGCACGCTGTGTACACAACACTACGTTACATTCTACCGAATCGAGAAAGCAAGTACTGTGGACTTTAGGCACAGTAAGTACTAAGACGCAAGAGCAAAGAGCAAGAAGCACCCTGCATGTTTGTCCTGTCTTGTACTCAGAGGTACAGTATCATCTAACCCAAAACACCATGCACGGACACCCAGACACTACTGTAGCTAATTAGGAGCCAGAGCAGACCGATCGGCCAGAAGCACCAGTGTATACTGTACTCCGTACTACAGTCGAAATCCAACGACAAGTCCCAAACGCCTTTCATGCGCTCGCTGAACGCCAGCAAATGCATGAATCTCCCAACGTTCGTCATCAGGTTCGAAATAACCACAAAGCAAAAGACCAAAACACAAGCTTCAAAAATCACTCCTTCCGTAGAGGACTTCCCACAACCGGCTTGAATCCCATGCCCGGCACACCGAGCGTCTTCCGTCTGCCGTCGAACACCTTCGCACCCTTGACCTGGAACTTCTTGGCACCACCGGCCTGGTTGTCCATCTGGCCGAGGACGCTGTTTTCCTCTTCGTCCTGATCGAAGAGACTCTTGTTGACCTGCTTGGGTGGTGCACTCATCTGAATCAAATCGCGGCCCTTGGCGACTAGGTACGGCGTCAACGGCGTCGCTGCTGTGCGTGGATCGTAGTCGACAGCCAGCGAAGTCGACTGCGGCGTCGCGACGTCGACATTGGCACGTCTTCTGGACATGACCGATCCCGGTGTGCGCACGACATCCTGCTGAGCCATCAGGAGACCAACATTCGCAGTATCCCCGCCTCCACCCACAGTCGCTGCGGTTGGGGAATTGTACGTCGAGCTGATCTCGGTCTCTCCGTCGCCCTCAACACCGTCTGTTCTGTTTTCGCCAGCATTCAGAATCTCTCTGCCTCTCACGGGCGTATTGATCAACTCCTGCCTTAATTCCTCCCTCAGGCCGTGCATCTCCACCCCCATAGAGACACTTCGGCTCCGTCGCTCCTTGCTTGCCGATAAAAGCCCATTCTCATTGACCAGCATCCTGGGCTCCATGGACTTGCGTCTGTTGCTCCCACCACGCGGCATAATACTCTGGTTCACCGCGTACACAGATTCGTCTAACCACTTGCCTTCTCGCATGCAGTCAAGCACCCAGCCAACACCGACACAGAGGACTTGACCTCTTGCCAAGCGGACTTTCTCGAGTGTGCGCTTGCCGCCGTCTTTGTAGACAACGTGCGTGATGCCGGGATTGGAGCTAGGTGTTTCTCCGGATCCTTGGTCGTCGCTGGAAGTCACTATGCTGGAGCGAGGATTCCAACGCCATTCCTTGACAACGCGGGCGCCCATGGACGTAAGTATGTCAATGTAGAACGCCGATGCATCCATACCCTCGCTGGTATGGATATCGGTGTGGACGATTGCGCCGTGAAGGACACCGCTGCCTACTGCTTTCAGGGGTGTGCGGTCCGTCTGGGGTGGTTTAGCGGCGAGTTTGCTCTTAAGAGCCGTGCTGGGAGTCTTTGCTTTGGCCGCAGTAGCCGACTTGATCGCCGCAGGAGTCGCTCCTCGTGTGGGTGTGATGCTCGGCGTGGCTGCAACACGGCTCTTGCTCGACTTTGTGCTCATGGCGTAGCGAGGAGTGGTCGTGCCGGTGGACCGCGTACTAGCAGGAGCAATGCTGTGTCCCTTCGCCGGAGCAATGGGAGTCTTGAACAGAGCAGATCCAATGGTCATGACACTCTCATCCTGGCCGTCAACTTCGGTCTGATCCACGCCTACACCCACGTCATCAGACATAAGCTCATCCTCAGGCAGCTCAATACCATCTAGCGTGCTGTCTCCAAAATCGTCGATGGAAAAGCTGATCTGACTAGGCGTGATCAGACTGGTAGCCACAGAATTTGCAGGACTCGGCGCAGCACTGCGAACGCGTCGCTGGGGGGCCCCTCTGTTCGCTCTGGGCGTCATGAGGGGATTACCAGCAACCATAGCCGGGAAGTCAAGGCCGAGACTGCGTCTCTTAACACCCTGTGGAGTTGAAGAAGATAGTGATCGCGCTCGCTTGCGTGGAATCCTGAGCGGTGACAAATTGGGGACTTCACCTTCAGGGCGGAGCGGTACTTTAGAGACCACAGTGTGGATTTGTCGGGGAAGTGCAGGGTCTGGTCGAACAGGAGTGACGCTGAAGTCCATTTCTGCGAGAGAATCACTGGTATCACCCTTCCAGGGTGAGACTTCGATGCTGGCTGCTGTTGTTTCGCACGGCAACTCAGATATGGGGTTGTGTGCCATCATGGTAAGCTCGTTCTCATAGAGGAGTGTACCAACGTCCTCCTCGCCGGTGTCATGATCGCTCTCACCATCATCGCTTGGAGCAGACGCTTCAGCTTCCTGGACAGACTCGGGCTGTTCCGGAAGTTCGACAATCAGTGCAGCATTTTCGTCGCCGATTGAAGTCGAGGAAGATGAAAGCATGGACTGCTCTTCCTCCTCTACCTCGGAGACAACGTTGGGAGCCGTCTCCTCGAGGATTTTTCCACTTTCAGTACTCTGGTCTTGTTCGTCTGTCGAGGAGAACGATGTATTGGACAACATCGATTGGTCGTCTTCATGACCGGCAAGCTCCTCGGCTTCATTTGCCAGAGCTTTGAAGTCAACCATGGCAGTATCAGAGGCATTGGTGAAGTTGATGAGATCAGTGGTAAGTTCACCCGTTTCTGGAACACTCTCTTCAACCACTCCTTCTGCAAGTCCAGCTTGCACCTCACTTGCACTGCCAGCGTCTGGCTCAGCCACGTCTGACCGAATAAGGCCGTGCAAATCTTGATGCTGCTCTGGAGGGATATCCTGCCCTCCGTCGACTTGCTCTTCGAAGTCCTGCGCAGCCATGCCGTCAGCAAAAAAATCAGGCTTGAGTGGACTTCCAGTTGAAGATGGAGCGAGAGAAAGTCGTGTGCCCAATGATTTCCGCTTGGAGCCCGGTGTATCTGGTCGGTTCAGCTCAACTAAGCCCTCGACGTGCATCTGAGCAGCAGGAGAAAACAATCCCTGCGAAGGAGGCCTTGCAGCACCAGGAGTTCTCTTTTCGGGACTTCCAGCTCGCCAGCCTTGAACTTGAGCCACAAGAGGAGTGAAACCAAGATGTCGAGAGGCGCTCTGCGGTACGATGCCGGTTGACAGACGGGTTCTCGTGTTGGTGGCGCTCATGTTAGGTCGAAAGGTTGGTCCGAGGACGCGGTTAACTGGGGTCTGTTCTCCGGCAAGTTCGTCTTCGGATTCATCATCCAGTTGACGCATGCGGCTGAACAGGGTATCTGACATTCTGGGGTTGTGTGTGGACTGCCCGTATTGGGGTTTATCCATCATGGGTTCATCTGCGGAGACCTCATCAAGAGAAACGCCATGGTGAGCTTCATCGTCTCCGTCGGATGCTTCTTCGGCTTCAAGTGCAGGGTCCACGATGGTCTCGTCGTAATCTGCATCAGCTGCGATCTCGTCGCGCAAGGTGTGTAGAGAAGTCTCCCCTTCGACTTCATCGTCTTCTCGTTCGGCGGGATTCTGCAGAATTTGAGCTGCGGCGGCGGTGATTGTGGCTGTCGCATCAGTGACAACTGGCTTGATCTTGTGAACTTTCAGCGGACTTCTAACATCCAACACAGATTCATCAAAATTAACTTCCGCTCCGAGCTCCTGAGCCAACTCGTCCTCACTGAGTCTGTAGACTCGGGCAGATCGCTGAGGCGAAACCGAAGACCGGAAGTGTGACGAAATTTCGATCTCGTCAGGCTCTGCCACTTCAGCCAACGCTGTGTCGTTCTCTCGCCCGAATGCCTTCTTCGGTGAAGGTGATAACCGAGTGGGAAATCTCTGCTTCGACGCTGAGAAGAGTCGCCGCGCAGGAGAAGACAGGAAAGAGTTCTTCAGTGGAGTTGCCCGTGATTTCATGGCTGATGGCGGGAAAACGATCTGTTCAGCGAGGGCACGCTTAGGAGACTGCTGAAGCAGAGATTGATTTTTTGGAGGACTCGACGCGCGCGACCCTGTATTGCCCGCATCTAGGATTTGGGCTCGGAAGATCGTGACACCTTCAGGTGCGCGTCGTGGGGACTCTTTCAATGAGTCCTTGATCGGTGATGCCGGCATTCGTCGAGGTGGACTCATCATGCTGAGCGGTGCGCCTGAATGAGACTTCTCAGGCGAATTGGGTTTGAGGGCGGTTGCAAAGTCCAGCGTCTTCACGGGAGACAAGGGACGCGCAGCAGAAGGAGTGAAACCTCGTCGAGGCGACAAGCTGAGATCGCGAACAGGAGTCTTAGCTCCTGAAAGCTCGTCCTCATCATCCTCACTGTCGACGGTATTAGCTTTTGCAACTTGTGTGATCTTCTTTGGAGTCAGTGCTCGAGGCATCCTCATTTCCGGTTTGTCGACCTCCATCTCTTCAGCTGCAGGCATTGCTGTCACACGAGAAGCGGTCCGAGTTGCTTTAGTCGTTCGAGTAGCAGCGGGCTTGCGAATTGGCTTGGCCCGCATCCCAGTGGCCGCTGGTTCGGATTTCTTGGTGGTCGTGGCGGAGGCCTTGCTGCTCTTGGTTTTGGCCATGGCCTTGGGCCGCTTGTTTTCTTTCTCATCCTCCTCATCTTCCGGCAATGGCTCAAAGGTGACTTTCTTCCTTGACGGGACGACAACACTGATTCTAGCCTCACTGACGGCAGGGTCTTCAGCCGATCCACCGCGGGTTCTTGTTTGGCGGGTGGTGACCGGCTCAGGCTCAGTCTGTCCAGCTTGGTCTGTAGGAGCTTTCTCCTTCTTACCACGGCCCCGCGATTTTGCGGTTTTGGCAACAACATCGGGCTCGGGCTTCTCCTCAACGTTTGCCGTCCCAGCTCTTGTTCTACCTCGCTTCTTGGGCTCCGGCTCTACGGTATTTGGTCCGTCGGAAACTTCGTTAAGCTTGGCCTGTGCAGCACTTCTCTTCGTACGCATGGAGCTAGATGGCTTCACCTCCGCTTCAGGTTTCTCCTTCTTTGACTTTGTGGACGACTTCTTTGCGGTCTTGTCATCCGGAACCGGTGCGGGAACAGGTGCTGGTTGAGGGTCATGTTCGATTAAAGGGGTGACCTTTATTCGGCGACGCGGCGCCGCAGCGAGTCCGGTCGCGGCAGAGGTTCGTGTTGTGGTACCGGTAGCGGTTGACGTCGGTTTCGTAGCTGTTCGCGTTCCCCTCGACGGCTTAATGGCCGGCTCCGCCACCGTGACCTCAGCCGCAGCTTCTACCTCTTCCCCATCGCTCTCAACATCGACGTCCACGGCGGGGACGACAGTAGCCTTTGTCGATCTAGTAGTGGCGCGTGCACTTCTCACAGCTTTCGATTTAGGTGCTGTGGTTGACGTCGTCTTCTTCGCAACTCGAGACTTCGATTCCATCTCTTGAGTTCGTGTGGTCGTGGGGATGCTCGCAGCTTTGACGTTTCTTGTTTTCGTCGGCTGCGCGGATGTGGTGTTGACTGTGTCGGCATCTCCAGCTCGAGCGCGCGTGGTCCGTCGAGGTTTCGCTGGGCTGGCAGGTCTCCGAGGCGCCATCTTGGTTGCCGCGAAGTTCTGACGCTGGGATTTGTTTCAAGAATTAATCGATTTGCGGTTGCAAGGAAACATTTGGGATGCAACAGGCTTCGTTGTTGTCTGCATTAAAGTAAATGCGGGGAATTCGAAGAAGTCGAGCCTCGATTGTTTACTTCCAGGGTTGTTGACAAGTCCCAACCAGGACTAGTGTGCTTGGGAAGACACTTTGATTGGCTGATGAGCTCACGTCGTGCTAACATGATCACGTTTCACTCAGCCTTTGATCACAGTTTACTCAAAAACTTGATCATGATTCACTCAGAACCTGATCTCGATGCATTCGGCGTTCTGTCGCAACATCCGATCAAAACTCTTGGACTCAATTATAATTTCATTACCAATAACTTTACTCATTCATGGCCTATCCAAGGATCCTTTTGTCCCGATGTCCTGATCCCATTTATTCGTTACGCATACACATCTCTTTCCCCATTTCAATAACGCTCTAGCAAGTAAGCGGATAGAACGGCGTGGTGGGAGGAGGACTGCCGGCGCCAACGACGCCAAAGCTGGGCGAGCTTCCGGTGTCCTGAAGGATGTACCACCAGGTGTTGATGTTGTCACCAAACGCGGTGCAGGCAACCTCGTCGTAGTATGTCTGTGCGTTCTCGACTGACGCAACAGCTTCACCGCTTGCCGGACCTGAAACCGGCCACCCGGTCTCCGTGATCCAGACAGGCTTGCCTTGAGCAACGGCGACTGTTTGGTCGTAATCATCCCAGAAAGTAGCGTTGGCGTTCTCGATGCTGTTTGCTTTTGTTGTCTCGTAGTAAGGATAGGCGTCGACGCCCAGGAAGTCGACGGCTCCGATCAAGCCGTTCTGGCTAGAATTTGTCCAGACATTGTAGGTGTCGACGTGGCCGACCGGCTTTCCTGCCGCGGGGGTACCAGCAATCGCTGATCGAACCTGCCCGATATAGTTTGAGATCACATCTGGCCCGACGCCCAGTCCGGCATTGTTGGAGATACCAATGGGTGTAATGCGGTAAATATCCTCACTGCCAACACTGATTCCGGCGATCAAGTCGGTAAAGGGTGATCCATACTGTGAGATTGCCGCGTTAAGAGCGGCGATCTCGTTCGCGAACTGAGCATCGCCGGCGGAAGCCCATAAGCCAAGAAGGAGAGACGTGCCGGTGTTGATAGCTGCTGGTATGGCTGAAATGGGGGCATTTGTGGTGCCGTCCTGGATCATGGTGTACAATCGGGCAGAGTCGAACCCCAGCGCCTTTGCCGAGTTGAATTGCCCTTCAAACGCGGCTTGATCGTTCCCAGTTGATCCATAGTTGAAGCCTTTGTAGGCGGCAAGTGTAGAAGGAAGGGCGGCCACAAGGGCGAGAATTGGTGAGATACGCATGTTGGGGTATGCTATTATGTGTTGGTAACGAATGTGGTCCGAGGTTCACCAGATACAAGTACAATACACGAACAGCCGGATACTTGCAAAAACAAGGAAAGCGCAGGTGAACCAAGGAGATATATAGCAAGCGCAGTCTGCAGAACGTTGGGGACAGCCCTCGACAAGGCAAGAAAAGTCCCACGTTACTTACTCTACGCAGGCCGGCAATCGAGTGGCGGCAAGAACGAGGCGCAGGGCTTGAGATGGAGCAAAAGAACTGGAGATGACACCAAAGAGGGAGGGGTGGGTGGCATTGGACCTCATGATGGGCTGGCACCACAGGAAAGAGTTTTCGACACGCATCCAGGTCAGATGCTTGTCTATGCTATCCCTCGCTTTGCCCGGTTATGCAGGGGAACTTGCTCGCATCCAGCCAGAGAAGCCAGCGCTAGAAAATTTCTCACGGCGATGTTGGTCGATTGGTGACGTACCTGCATGACGGCAAAGCTTGAAAACGGTTCTGGCTACCCCGCCTGAAACGCTGCCAACCAGGATACGGCCTGTTGGTGCCGGGCATCCACCAAGAGCATCATGCATCGCGGCCAACGTCCATCGTTGGTGTCGTCAGCTCGGAAGAACCTGGCACCACTGGGACACACCGGAGATGCAAAGCGAAGCACAAGTACTGGGTAGGTGACCTGTCGTACACAGTACATCCAGATAAATCGTAACATACTCATGCTACAAGTTACAGCGCACATCCTCTACAGCTTCATCCCCAGCGCCTTGTGCACCTTGAGACTCTGGCGCATACTGAGATCCAGCATGATCTCCTCGCTGCCACCAGGAATCTTGTAAGCCAGAGTATCGCGGTACAGCCGCTCAATCTTCCCACCCTGGCCTCCTCTTGAGTAAGCCAGACCCCCGAAGACCTGGGCGGCCTCCTTCGTGCAGAACTCAAACGTCGTGGTGGCTTGAGCCTTGAGGCCGGCAATGGCACCGCCTAATCTCAGCATGGCTTCGGTTTCGCCCATGCGCTGACACTGGTAGATAATGTTCTCCAGCCAGTTGTAGCTGGCCTCGATTTGACGGGCCATGTGCGCCAGCTTCATGCGAATGACGGGGTGGTTGATGAGTTTCTGGCCGAACGTCTGTCGTTTCGACGCATACTTGACGCTCTCCTCGTAGCAGACGCGAGAGAAGCGCAGGCACTGGATGATGATGCCAATGCGCTCGTGGTTAAAGTTGGTCATGATGACCTGGAATCCCTTGTTGACCTTGCCGAGCACGTTCTCCACGGGCACCTTGACATCCTCAAAGGTGATGTATGTAGTTCCGCTGCTCCAGACACCCTGGCAGTCCATCCGGCGCGTGCTGACGCCCTCGGTCCGCTCAATCAACAACAGGCTGATCCCGCCCATACCAGGGCCACCCGTCCGGACGGCGGTGGTGAAATAGTCGCACCAGATGCCGTTGGTGATCCACTTTTTCTCGCCGTTGACGATGTAATGCTTGCCGTCCTCCGACAGCTTCGCCTCGCAGGTCAGATTGGCCACATCAGAACCGGCGTCGGGCTCGGTAATGGCCAAGCAGATTCTCTTGTCTCCAGAGAGAATGCCCGGCAAGATGCGATTGACGAGCTCCTTCTTCCCGTACTTGATCAGCGGCGGGCACCCAATTCCGAAACCTCCAAGCAAATTCCAGACGAGACCGCCAGAGCCGGTCCGCGACAGCTCATCCGTGAAGAGCATCTCATGGAAGAGATCCCATTTCTCGGGAGGCACGCTCTTGACCGTGTTCTTGACCAGATGCGTCGGGTATTTGACGCCCAACAGACCGGCAAGATAGCCCCGCTCGCCCAGCTGCTTGTAGATCTTATCCGGGACCTTCTTGCCCTCGTCCCATTCGGTCACGTAGGGTTCGATCTCGCTCTCGACCCATTCTCGAACTTCGGCACGGAGGGCAGCGTGCGTTTCGTTGTAGTAAGGTGAATGGTACTAGGCAGCGGATTAGATCGAAAGGCACAGCTACGTGCCTATGCTGGACTTACACCTTGATACCAACTCGGGTCGCCGAACGGAATCAGAGAACCAAAGGGGTCCATCGCCTCGATCTCTTCCGGAGCGGACGGACCAGGCGTAGGCGCAACGGTGCCGGGCTGTGCTTGCGGCTGTACCTTCTTCTCCTGCTTTTCCGCCGGAGGAGTGGCAGGCGGAGTCGGCGGTGCCTCGACCTTCTTGGTGTCTAACGACCCAACCTGCAACTTCGCCTTGTATTTCTTGAGGATACCCTCATTGTGGTATTTCCAGAACTGTTTCGAGGCATCCTTGCCGGCCACGCGTTGGAGGACTACACAGCGACATTAGACAGGGCTGATGCGGCCTGGAGTGCGGGCCACGGCTCACTCTTCTTTCCACCTGCGCTTCCGTTAGTATACGCGCTCCGGAGCATGCGGATCAATGCCGGACATACCTGGATGCTCGTCCTGAAACTTGGTCAGGTCGTAGACATCCTCGTCGACGATAATGTAGAGGTTGTCTGATTTGTTGTGAGATGCCACATCGGCGGCCGAGAGACGTTTGGACATGTCGATCCTAGAGAATAAAAGTCTAGAGAAGAAGGGCAGTTATGCGCTCGAGCAGCAGAAGTCAGGCAGCCAGACGCGAATTCCAGTGATGGCAAGAGAAGGGACCTGATCTAGGCTTTGTAGAAGTACCGGAGGAAGAGAAACATGACAGGAATGCAGCTGCGCAACACCGACGTCAAACCTCAGCTTGAGACGCTTTCACATGCCAGCTGGCAACGCATCCATCCGCCATGCCAGGCACATAATCTCGGGTCACGCTTCTCCCCAGAACAAGAGGGAACTGGAGACTCCGGACGCTCGATGACGCCGGGCCCAATGAGCAAAGGCGTAATGCTTGCTTTGTTATTCGTTGTCGAGGGTCAGATGATGTTTCCTGGCGATCCAGACAAATGCCACTTTTGAAACGTGCCGAGGCATCTTCCAATTGCCACTCATCACTTGCGATTGTACTCCGTACTGCGTACGAGGTCACAGGAGAATCACATGCCAGCCACGGAGGGACAGATCTGAGTCCGGGAGCACGTGCTTGCGGCGATTCTCTTCTGCAACCCGCCATCTACTGTGTGCAACCGGGGCTTAACTACGAGTATCGTGTACTGGATAATGTGCTTCCGGGCTGCAGTGGACAGTACTGTGTAAGCGCACTGCTTCCGGCCTCGAATGGCAGAAGCTGTGTCGACTCTATTCACCGCCCGTATTCGCCCTCTCCCTCAACCGTCGTCCTTCCATCAACCCTCTCAACCCTCGTTTCTGCAGCCCAATCACCGAGCTGAGATCGCCCGTCCAGATCTCTCGCGACTCTCTTTCCCCTTTCCCGCTCGGATCGCCATTTTCATTAAACGCCGAGTTCTCGGTGTCCGTGTGCGACATGTCAGTAGACGTCGAGGCTGAAGTCGCCGTCGATGCCGAGTCCATGGAACTGGTCTTGCCATGGCCTCTCTTCCTGCTAGCTTCTTCGTAATTGGTGGCAAGTTTGAGTCCGGCAGCCTTGTTGGACAGTGAGTCTATTATTGTGGTTGCCTCGCTTTCCCGCCG